GTTAAGTCAGAATTTCTTAAAACGACCACCTAGAATTAAATTTTTTTTTTTTTAACCTAATAAAAATGTTATATTTAAGATATTATAATTTTTATTTCAAAAAATTTGTATTTAAAATAATTTTTTATATTACAAAAATGTCGTCTAGGTTAGACTTTTAAAAAAGAAGGGAAATTTTCTTGGCAATGCAAAAAGCAGAGAGATAGAAACAGAAAGGAATAATAATATTTCTTCTCGGTTTATTTCGTTGGTAGTGAATAAAAAGGTTCTTTGTTCTTTAAAATTTTTCAAAAAAGAAAGTGGTTTAACGACCTGGCGCAAAGATAAACTCATTTTGTCAAAATTAATTGCACTCTTTCTTTGTCTTTTTTTTTTACTTTGAAGAAACAAAAATACACAACGAGAGAAAGAGGTCAGAAGAAAATTTGATTCTCTCTTTTGTAAACGAAATAAAGATGTTAAGAGGGTAAAAGTAAGGAGAAAAGGGTGATGTAAAGAGTAAAATGATGTAAAGACGCGACAAGATCATTGCTTTATTTTTTGCCCATTTCGATATTCTCGATTCAGTGAAATTTTCTCCATTTTCCTCACACCGGAAGTCATATCATTTTTTTTTTAATTTTTCACCTCACTGAACCAAAGTTAAATTGATTATTGAATTATTTATGTTTTAGATATATACTTTTGTCAAACTGCCAACGAACTGATTAGTAACATTTTTTTTTTATTTATTCTTACTCCATATATACTTTTTACGGCAAAAATTTAAATACATAAACTTTGCATTTAATTAAATTCTTAAAAAAACATTTAAAAATATTATTTTAAAATATTACTTGTAAAATATGAATATTTCAAGATACATTTCGATAAATAAATACTATTATATAATAGTATTTATTTATCGAAAATATATAACTTTAGAGAATCAAATTCCCTTGCAGCGTGTGTATACATGTCTAGTGTACATATAATTTAACCGAACCTAATAGCTTTGGGAGGGGTATGCTTGAAACAAGTTTTGCATTTCAAAATAAGGAATCGATTAAAAATTGTTTGCTTCTTTTTCTTTTCTTTAAACGAAAACTTGAATGATTATAACAAAAAATTTTCTTCCGTGTATAAATAAAGAAAAAAGAAATGAAGAGTACACACGGTTTTCTGTAATCTCGACTCTCAATTCCACGATGTATAATTAATCAGGTCAAACTCAAATTTAAACTAATTAATTTTACTAAGTCACGAGAATTACTGAAACGAATTTCAACTCTAAAACTAATAAAAGTTTATATAAATATTGATTTTATTCTTTAACTTTTTCATTTTTAACCATTTCCATAAAATTAAATGACTTTTTTTTTCGTTTGTATTTTATTATTATTTTTTTAAGGTAAATTATTACTCTACTTAATTATTTTCTAACACTCAACAATTAATTTTATAATCATTATTGAGTTACTGTTCTAAAAAAAAATGTTTATTACTCATAAAACATACTTAGTTTTATTATAAAGAATAGAGAAAATCTATCTATAAGACAAAATTCTAACTACACATAAAAGGTATAAAAATCGAAATATAAAATGCAAGCCAGCGATATACTTTCTATACTATGGAGAGAGAATAAAAATTCAAAGCTAAAGTTCAAAAATCTACAGGAACGTTTGGGAATCCATTTCATGTTTTGCAAATTCTACAATTCAATTTTTAGTTTCAATTACGAATTATAAATAAAGATTTATTATTCGTGAAAATTGATATTAATTAATTTATTGAATAATTAATTATAAAAATGAATTTATTAAATAATTAATTAATTTAAAACTAATAATATAAATGCAAGTAAAATCATTGTCTCGTAACTTGTGGAAAGACCCTAAACGGGACCATTCTCCATTGGCTGTTTTTCAAGGACGCGAAACAGCCAATCGTTGATAATGACCTTGAAAAATAACCAATAGCGTAAGCGACAGTTTTTTTTTTTAAACTGAATTGTAGAATTTACCGAATTAGAAACGAATTAATTATAATAAAGAAGGTAATTAGAATATAATAAACAATAATCAAAAGATATAATATATATAAATATGTATAATAAAACGATTACCAAAAAAATGCAACTAGAGTATAAATTTTTCGACTGTATAAAGGGTATAAAGTGTATATTGTGTAAAGGAATATGTGGTACGAACCGATGGATGTTTTTTGGGCATTTTCTACGATTGCACACTCTTGAAACAAGTTGTGACATCCAGACTCGAGGCTGCACACAAAAGAAATACTTGTTTGTACAGAAAACGCGATTTTATTTTTTTAACCATTATTAATTTTATCTGTATATCTATTATATTTCTATATATAAATATGTAAAAATATATTTAATTTTATAAACATTTAGAAAAAATTTATTTTTATCTATTTTATAGATTAATTTTTTAAAAATTAAAGTAGATACATAAATTTCCTTTGAGTAAATTCTAATGTAAATAAAAAAATTTTAATATTAAATAAATATTATATTTATTTTTATATTTTAAATTAAAAAATAGTTTCGTTCAACGGATTTAATTTAAAAGAAAATAATTGCAAAACCTAAAGTGTGATTTTTAAATGCGTGTCATCGGAATTTCGAAAGTACCTAAACTTTGTTATGTTCTTGTAAAATGTTTTGCACTTTTTTCCAATGTTATGTCAATTTCAGTGAACCAGCACTCAAATAAACAATTTAATTTATTTTCATTTCCATTAATGTTATATCGTAAATATTTTTTATAGTTTTAAATTCCAAATGTTAAACTTTTTTTATATTCCTTTTAACTAAAAAAAATTTGAAAAATAAACCTTTTTCTTGTATTATAAATATATTTATTAAAATTTATTTAGTATTATTTATATTTAATTATTTATTATTATTTTCAAATTATTAATATCCTTACAAAAATTAGAGAAAACAATGTAAAAGTATGTAATTTAAAAGAAAATAAAACGCATAAAATAAAATTTGCCATTTTCCATATGTGGACAATTACAATTTATATTGTATATGAAAATATCATATACTTTTATGAAAAATTGTGATTCTTATCGCGAATGATAAAAATAAATTGAGGTAAATAACAAAAAAAAAAGTTACACACGAATAATTGGGTCAACTTTTAGCTATATGTATGTTTTGTGAAAGCACGCGGAGAATAAAAGATGAAAAGCAATTAAAATGATATCCTTCCTATAACTCTGCATCCACAGAGAATAGCAATAATTCATGAATTCATCTCACGGAAACTGACTGCTTTCGACTAATTACACAAATTTAACTCAAGTTCGTTTTCTTAAGAGTTTAAGATTGAAGCGCACGAGTCAAACAGTTGTTTCTCGAAAATGTATATATACACATATACTGCTTATTTTAAGTGGCATTTATTATTTCAGATAACACCTGTTATCTTTCGTTTTTCTATTATAAACTATTTTAATAAAATTTATTAATAATAATATAAAAATATTGTTGAATAATAATTTTTTTTATAATCATTAATTATATTTGAAAATATCGAAAAATAACTGCTAATTAAATAATTAATTAATTAGTTCGTTAAAAAATAATGATAATAATAATAAAATATAAATGTCTCTATAAAAATAATTAATATTATTGTTATATAAAAGTTAATAAATTTAATAATAACTCAGAAAAACTTTATATAAAAAGTTTATAATCCGGAATTTCTTTGATATAAAAGAAAAAAGAAAATTATTGTCCGCGAAACAAAAGAAGTTTATAGATTTCAGAATTGTTTAGAAGTGTATGTATGTGTGTGCCTGAAAGTTTTTTCAACAAATTCGCACGTGAAACGATATCTTTTATGGGGCTTAATTAAAGTAATTAGAATTCTCAATTTGATTTCAAGTTTCCTCGTTAATGTCGTGATACTGAGAGAGTAATAAAAAAAAAAAAAAAAAAAGTTGTTGCAAAAAGTGCAAATATAAAATAAAAGCTAATAGAATTTGTCTCAAGAATTATAGAAAATAATACTTAAAACTTATTTCAAAAAATAATTAAAAAATTTTTTTGTATTTAAAAAAATGTTAAAAAGGTTTTGTTTAAAAAAAAACGGGAAAATAATATATGTGGAATAATTAATTAGCTAATTTCAAATCTTACTAATGGTCTCAATTTCCTTTGCCATCACGCGATCTTTAAATGTTTAAACCTAATCTTCATAAAACTAATTTGTATCCGGAATTGTCATTAAAATTATGCTCGAAAATTAGTTTCCTCTGAGTTAAAAATAAACCGCGGAAGTTTTCAAAAATAAGAAACAGAATAACAAGTTAAAAAAAATCTTTAAAACATTAAAAAAAGAAGAAATAATTTCACTCTTTGTATTTGCAAACAATTTTATATATAATATAACAAAATTCGCGTTTAATCAAATTTTCATTGGGACAGATTTTCAAATAACCGAATTTTCTTATAATCAAATTTTTATTTAATCAAATTTTGCATTTAACAGAATTTTTATTTAACTGAAATTTTATTTCACCGAATTTATGTTTGACCAAATACCGAATTTGCTTCTGATCTAATTTATCCGAAATGCAACCAATTTTTGACCGAATTTTACATTTAACGAAAATTACCGAATTTGCATTTGAGTTAAATTTTATTTTACGCCTGAATTTTGTTGATCAGAGAATATTTTTTACTTCAATGAAAAAATCTCCCCTATCGCCAGGAATCGAACCCTGGACTTTCAGTCACAAGTCGAAAGCACTACCCATTGAACCACGTTACATTATGAGAAACTTTTTTGTAAAACTAATTATTCTCCTATGAGAGACAAATCTCAATGAATGAAAATAATTGAAAAATTAGTTTCAAATCTGTCTATAGTGGAAAAATAAATTTTCTTTTTTCACTAATAATATAAGATTTAAAATTTCATTATTCTTTTTTTTTTGTTGCTAATAAAATTTGTTAAATATAAAAATCCTCTCACCTTGAGATTAGAAAGGACCGCAGCGGGATCTGAGGGGGTCCGGGCAGAATTAGCGTGACTAGTCGCACCGTAACTCAGCTGATGCTGATAGGTGGACAAGATCTTCCGTTGAGCGCTAGCCTGTGCTCTATAAGCCGACACGGACAACTTCATTTCTTTATCTTGCCAACGACAACAATAATTTTATGTTGCCTCGTGCACCAATTTTCACTTCCAATTTGCATCCTCATCATCATCCCTTTAAATTTATTTTTTTTCGCTATCCCCACGGTCAAAAAAAAACACTTCTTCACAAAATTTCACTGGGGTTCTTTTGGAGAAGAATTTTTGTTTTTTGAGAAAGAAAAAGAAAAAAAAATAGCAGCACTCTTGTAAAATTCTTTTAATACCACTATATTGAAATTTGAGAAACACGCTTCACTAATCCAATAAGAGAGGAGAGAGAAAAAAAAGGGAATCCCTTTTTTGCGATGCACCCTCAAGAGAAAATTAACGACTCCCTTTTATAGGTCACGAGGTTATACCCCACATTCCGTTATTGCTTCAGCTCTCTTGTTATCGCTTATGTTTTATATACCTTGGTTCTTTTTTTTATATATATTTATTGGTTTGTCCATACACCTCCCTCTTTTTGGATTTCCTGCTGACTTCTTGATTGAGTTCTTTATATTTGTCCTTTTCGAGGATTTGACAACTATTTTTCAGAATGGTGAGAAAAAGAGTGTGAGATAGAGATTCTCGCCTGGTGAATTGACTTCCTTTGTTCCGCTTTTCTTGACTTCCTCACCTTCTAAAGGACTCTTGGAAAATTCCCTTTTTAAACGGAGATTCTTCTTGAAGGCTTTGTCAATTATCTTTGTCGGGAGTCTATAACTTTTTGTGTTCGCGTTTACCTTTCAAGTTGATTTTTGACTTTTCCTTTGGGGAACTTTATATCTTCTTTCTTGTTTGTTTCCTCTATTTTATTTATTTAGTCTTCTTTTCTTCTTTTTTTTATTGATTAGATTTTCTTATTCTTTTTTTAGCTTCTGAAATTCGGTCAGAATTTTTCTTTGCTGCTTTTTCTTCTTTTTACTAGCAATGCATAATTTTTTAGCTTCTGTCAGATTTATTTCCTGCTATTTCTTCTTTTTCTGATAAACTTATCTTCAGTTCTCTTAGCTTCTTTCTTTAATGCTTTTTCTTCTTTTGATAAATGTTTTTAGCTTCTGTCAGCTTTTTTCTTCGTTTCTTCTTATTACTTTTTTAGCTTCTGTTAGCCTTTTTCTTTATTTCTTTTTGTTTTGCTTTCTTCTAACATCTTCTTTATCTTCTGTTAACCTTCGACTGTTTTCTTCTTCTTCTTTTAGCCTCTGATTGACTTCTAATAGCTTCTGTTAATATTTTTCTTTCTTTCTTCTTTATTTACTTCTTATTTTTACGCTTTACTTCTTTTACCTTTTTCACTTCTGCCTTTTCTTCTTTATCTTCTTTTTTCCGATTGACTTCTATTATTTTTAATTAACTTCTTTTTCTTCTTCTTCTTCTTTTTTCTTCTAATTACTTTCCAGATATTCCGTTCGAAGTAAAGAATATACTTGTATATTCAAAGAATACTCTGAGAGAAATTTTTTTTCGCAAATTAATTCAATTTTTTTTTTTTGTTATTTAATTTGAAATAATTATATAACAAATATGTTAATAATTATGATAATATTTTATAATAACTGAAATTGATTTATTGTTTTTTTAAGTAATTTTCGAAAAGAAATAATTCAATTAATATAAATATACATATATTTGTTTCTCAAAGAATACTTTGAATACAAAGTACTTTGGGTTCACTTATTACTTTCTTTGAAGTTATTTTCAAGATGATGTACGTTCTTTTCGCTGTTTCTTTCACTTCAAATTTTTTTCGCTCGTTATTTTTCTGGTCAGTGATTTTCTTTTCTGTTTATTCGTTGTTTTTTTTTGTTTTTTATCGTTTCTTTTTATTCTTTTTCGTGTTTGTCGTTTTTTTATTGTTTTTTCTTCTTTGTCTTTTTTTTTAGTTCTTTCAAGTGTTTGTAGTTTTTTATCGTTTGTAGTTTTTATTTTTTATCTTTCTTCATTGTTCACAGTTTTTTCATTCAAAAATATTCTTATTTTGCTTCTTTTTCTTCTTTCCTATTTTCCGTATTATCTTCGAGAAACTATCTTTCTTCTTCGTTATTTCCCAAAGACTTTCTTCTTTCTTCACTGTTCCATTTCTTTTTCTTCTTTTTTTCTGCAGCAACTACACTATTTCTTCTTTACTTTTTTTCTTTTTGTCTCTAAAAAAATTTCTTTTTATTTCTTCTTTTTTGTCCCAAAAGAAAATTAGTTTAATTTCTTCTTTTTTCTAAGATTTCTTTCAAATTCTTCATTTATTTTCCCCTTTCTTTTCTTAATTTTCCCTTTCCTCTTTCTTCAGTGACCTTATTATAGGGTTTATTTTTTTCTTGATCTCTCTCTCTCTATATTTGCTTAAATGACTAAATCCTCGGTACTGGCAACGTCTCAAGGAATATCAACTTCTTATATATCCCAATCTTAATTTCCTCCTCTTCTTCGTCTACTTCTTCTTCCTTGTTCTTTTGAGGACAATAATTTCCTTATCTTCTTGAAGCGTGCACCTTCTGGCTGGCTCGCGCACACGGTTATTTCTTAAGAAAGACCGTTAATGATTTCCCCTGAGGGTATATGTATATAGAAGAAGACATTCATAAAAACCCTTTCGCACTTTTACATTTCAGAATTATTCTCGAATGTCCTTCCTTCCTCGCGGGAGACTCAAATTGCGAAACGAACATTCCAAGTTCGTGAACTGAGAGGACATTAGGTTGCACTATATATTTTTTGCATATATATATACATGCCTTTTCTGTTTTCCCTCGTTCTTTTTTTTAATACTCAAGGGTTTCCCGTGGGTCCGAGAATCCGCTCTGATTGGCGGAATCCCTCGGGCCCAAGGACCCCTTCTTGTTCGGTCATTTTCTAAATAATCACTATTTTTTTTTTAATTTTGTCACCCGCGTTATTTTTTTTTTTTGTCACTCGCGAATTTTTTTTGGATTTTTTCACTCGCGAAATATTTATTTATTTTTTTGTTTAGAATTCCGTATGGAAGCACTACACTCGGAGATTGAAAACTCGGAACTGAGGGAATGTGGTTGTGATAGGTTTGTGGCACTGGAGCGTAACTGGATTATTTGCAACTATATAACGACACTGGATGCATCGAGAGAGAGAGAGAGAAAGACATCGACTCGGTGACGACCACCACGAGGTCCGGGTGCCACGCCTGATGCGCTCTATATTCAACCCCCTATATGTATATATGTATAAGTGGATTAAATATTATCATAAAACTACTGCGAAGGGCCTCAATGACCTGCCTATACAATATACACACACCAGTTCCATAATGACTTCTTTTTTTTTTTCCAACTCAAACTAGGGTTTCCACAAGACGAAACGGGATTTTTAATAATGGTAATTAATTTTTGTTGTTCTAAATCATAATTTCAGATTTTTTACATTATGAAAAAAAAATTTTTTTAATTAAAAAATGGTTTTAGATTCATTTTTGATATAATAAAAGTAATAATAATAATGATAAGACAATAAAAAAAATTATTATTTAATAATTAATTTAATATTTTTTCATAATAATTTTTAGATTTAATATTAATTTTTAATTTAGTTTTATTGAAAAAATGTTAATTTGCCAATTTTTAATATTTCAGTTAAATAATGATGCTATTAATATAAATATTGATTAATATGTAAAATTATTATTAATGTATGCCTAATAAAAAAATTATTTCATGATAAATATTAACAAAAGAAAAATCAATATTTCAAATTGCGAGAAATAATTACATTTAAACGATGAGTGTGAATAGCTTTTGAAACAAAAAACACTTAATAATAAATCGTTAACAATACACGGTTAAACAAAGCAATAAATTATAAAATTTATATTCAAACTTTATATTGTACTTCAACTCATATACATAAATAGGTTTTTCTTTCTTTTTTAAAACAAAAAGTCTATAATCTGAACTAGTTATGATTGAATAAAAAAAGAAAAATTAAAAAACAAAAAAATATTCTCCAGATATTTAAATATAAAATTACGTTTGTAAAAAAATTGAATTAAAATCTTTATCACTAAATGGGGAAACAAATTCTTTTTCTACAAAAAAAGAATGTAAATGTTTATAAATGTACATACATGTTTTAATTCAATTAGTTAGTATATAGTATATTGATTTTTCTTTTTATAAATAATAAATTCTGCAGTCGTTTTTTTTTTGTATTTTACAAAATTTTTATTATTTCTCGTTTGTAATATGCGATCACGATACGAATGGAAAATGAAGTATTTAAACTTCATATCAGACATTGAATTTTACTTTTATTAATTTTTTTTTCACTTTTTGCCTTCAATTCTTTTCTTGGCATCTCTTCGTCCTTGAGGAAATTTCTAATATCCTTTGCAAACTCCTTTACTGTCTTTTACGTATATATTTTTTTCCGTAAAATATTAACGATTCGTGTGGTATTTATCGCGTGTGAATTATATATAGAAAATTACAAATCCTTACTTGACAATTTTCCCAAATTTACTAATCAAAATTAATTTAAAGTAATTAACTAAGAAACAAAAAGGAAATTTTTTATTTTTGAATATTATTATCAAAATTCATTTTTAATATGTTTATTATTATTTATTTATATTATTGTTAAATAGTTATAAATTTAATGTAATTTATTTTTAAAAAACACTTTTTTCAATTTTTTGTTAGTCAATAGACAAAAAATTGGTAAGTGATCTTTTAAATTTCGCGCCAGTGGCGCTGGTTATTTTTTTAGACGATTGGTACTAGTGGGTACCATCTGATTTTAATGGCTAGGAGGCCTAGAAATAAGAATTTATAACCTAAAAATTCTCTAATAAAAATTTCTTATCTATAAGAAAGCTATCGACCACGTAAGTATTTAAATACAATAATACGAAATTATTTGTAATATATTATATTATATAAAAATCTAAAAAATATTCTCATTAAAGAACAAATGAGAAATAAATAAAATTAATTAGAAACAGCAAAAAAGAAAGTTATTGTAATTGGCAATTAGAAAAATTGTTATCGATTCGAATTGGCGTGTTTAGGGGAAGGTTTTTAGTACTTTGGATAAAGTAGCCTTGGACTGAGAAGGTGTCTCTGGGGCCTCTCGTTTTACGGACGTGCCTCTTGTTCCAAGATAATTATATAGTGACGTCAAGAAAATATATGTATACATATATATATAAATTTTTTTTTCACACAAACCCTTACAATGTATATTGGGCTCAAGACCTAAAAATAAATAATATAGCTTTACCTAATTATTGCACTGAATTAGCGATTTAATGCCTCAAAGAATATTCGTCGTTTCGTAAACATTTTTCACAAAAATTTATATATAATAATATATTCTGTGTTCTCGCCATATGTCCCAGCGACTTATTCATATTAAACTCGACCCACTTAACCGGATACAGTTTTCTAATTTATAAAATCAATTCGCGCCATGATAAAAATACTCAAAAATTATAATGCATTTTATTTTTTTATTCATTTCTTCTTTTTTTTTTGTTTGCCCTCCTCGTTAGCATTCGTTGCACTCGTTCATTTTTATCTGAATCGTGATTTTAGAAAATTAATGAAAATTCGAGGTTTTTTTTTTAATTCCAGTGTGAAATTTGTATTTTACATTTTATTTCTTACTTCTTTATTATTTTTAATTATTAATGATAATTTATTTAAAATTTATTTTAATTTATTTTTATAATTTACTTTTATTTATTTTTATTTTTAAAAAATTTATTTTGATAATTTTAGAAAATTTTTACATTCAATTCAATCAACTCTTAAGTTTATTTCTTTGCATTATGATTATTTTCAAATATCCTGAATAACTCGCTGATGTTTCTTTATTTTATTATATATATATGCTGCTTTAAATTTATTGCGTATGCACATATTTTACTTTTGCTCCTCTCTTGAATTGTTTACATTTACTAGAAAAATACGTAAAACGAAAGAAACCGTAAAATGAAATAAATTTCCATAGAAAATGTTGGATAATAATGAGAATAAGAAAACTCGGTTAAAAGTTTTTCACGTCTTTTTACATTTTTTGCATTTTATATATATATATATATACAAAAAAAATCAAAAGAAATAAGTATGCAAGTAACAGAAGTGAAATTTAGTTTTTTCGTTAAAAAAAATCCCTTCTCATGAAAATCACACTTTTTTTTTACCAAATCCCCATGCTTATAGAGTTTTCAAAGAAAATGAAATTTAATAAAAGAGTTGAATTGAATGTGTGTGGTGTACTTTTCTTGTGCGCGTTTGTGCACAATAGTGAAATCGTCGCTTTTACCCAGTGTGCACAACTTTTGATAAATCCCAATTCACGGGGTAAAGTCGAAAAATCCGCAGTTTTCTCAAGGACGAAAAAGAAAAAGAGAAAGAAACTGCTTGTATATAGGAGTTTTTCAACGATTTAGGAAAAAACTTTATCCGTGAATCACACTTTTTTGTATTATAACCGGAAAAGTCGCTTCGAAAGTCTGCTTCTGACTCAGAATTTATATTGCTTTTTTTTTTGTTTGTTTGAAAAACCACTTGACAATTTTTCATTTTTCGACACTTATTTTGCTAGCAAATATTGATATTTTTATATTTTTTATTAATTTTATTTTATATTGATTACTTTTTAAGTTTCGTTTCGTAAGCCTCAAAGTTAAAAATAAAAAAAAATTTACAAATTATTTTTTTTTATTATTTTTTTTATAATTCATAAAGTTTTTAATTAAAAGATTACATTTTCTTTATTTTTCTGCCTTTTAACAAAAAAAACCAAAAAAAATACCTTTTTTGCATTTCAATTTTGCTGACCGCAAAATTGTATTTTTTTTAGGGTCAATTTTTTACAGGGATGCTTTATTTCTTTTATATATTCAGCTCTTGGCGTGTTCAATTTTTTTTACAGTCACTCTTGTTTTATATATATATAATATTTAAATTTTATCTTGTTTTTATAAACGCTATATTTTAATTTTGCTTCTATATTTTAATTTTAGTATTTATTTATTTAAACATCTTTTTTTTTAATTGAATAATTAATATTCTAATTTAAAAATTATATATTTTAATTTTAAAATTCTCCACCTTATTCAATAAAATACTCTATAATATTATATATGAAATATTTTAATATTATATGAGAATTTATTGTCATTTATATCGAATTTCGATTTTTCAATAATATATTCATTAAATTTCTGATTCAATTCTTTGCAAAAGAATGCCAAAAAAAAGGCTAGAAGAAAGAAAAGAGGTAAATTTTCAAAAAAGTTTGGTTTTTGAACCAAACAGGTTGAGAAGGTAGAATAAGGGTAGGGGGGGGGGGGTAAAAATGGGTCGTGTCGTGTCGATTTATATCCACCCGCCACAACGTCGGAAATCCCTCATTTGAGTTGGAAAACTTTCGGAGGGGGAAAAAAAGTCACACGGATATATGATGTAAGATAAAAAAGAGAAGTTGATGAAGAATAAAAGGATGAAGAGGAAAATGGTGTTTTGAAACTGTATAAGAAAAAACCTCCGAATAGATAAGAGAAAATAGAAAAAAAACCCTAATTCACTCACACTTATCCTTCGATTTTTTTTTCAAACTAACACTTATTTTTGTTTCGAAAAAAAATTTTTTTTTAATTTATTTTTTTCTTCAATTTTTGTTTTAAAGTTTCAAAAAAAAGGGCCCCCCCTGTTTTTGTGATGGGACACGCACACGTGCTAGTACCCCAAGAATGTCACACTACACCCATATTATAGAGAAAGAGAGTGAGAGAGGACCAGAGAGGCGGCGAGGGTGATTTAACTGGCGCGCAGTCCTCGCGTACTCTGACTATACATCCCCTCTCTACCACACCCACGGATTAAAAACCGAAATCCCACCCTTCACTTCTGATGTGAAAACCGCATGCGCCCTGGATGCTGACTCTGGACCACCACCACCATCACTACTAGGATGAACATTCCAAGAAGAATGAAAAGGAGAAAGAATGTTCGTCTCACTCACACACTTGTCACACTCAAACCTATATTAAATGCTCGGGGGGATGATTGTCAATTTTCACCGAGAGGCTAATAATAAAGTCAGATTTCCCGCGAAGATATTCTTTTTTCCTCTTTTTAATACAGACGTAATAATTTTCAGGGGATTTTAATTTTGAGGGAAACTTAACTAGTTACGATCAATGTCATATTTGAGACGTTCTACTTTTATTCAAAGGAATAAGAATTAGAATAATTGGTGTAGAAACACCTTTAAAAAACTAACCCGAAAGTGATGTCACATTTTGGACTTTCTACTCTAAATGGCATGGGAATTTACATTACCAACTCTGGTAACTGCCTTATGTGTCGTCTGTAGTTTAATATTTAGTATAACACATATTTTTATGTCTAAAAATGATATTTTTGTTGAAAATTAGGATGTCAAAATAAAAATTTAACTAAATTTTCTTTATTGATAATCGGTATTTCAACTAACTGTTTTGTTCGAGCTTTTATTCTCAGTAATTTTCCTTTATTTTGACTATTTTGAGTAATAATAGGAAATTCACCTATAATTTAAGAATTAATAATTTTTTCTTTAAATCTATTGTTGAATTTTTCAAAAATGACATTCCTAAAATACCATCCTTGTTGATTGGAAAATTATCAGGTCCACCTGAATCTCCCTAATCGTAAATATTCCTTCTTTATTTATTCCAAATATTTTTTGTTTATTAGGCATAATTTATAAAGACATTTGATTTTACACATTTAGATTTTATTAAATTTCCGCTCCTATATCTACTACCATTTTTACTTTATTGTTATTAATTTTTGACGTTAACACAATACACAAAAATTCCTCTAAAAAAAGGAAAACAAAAAATTCTAATAGTAATTCCGAGGAGTCTTCAATACTTTTTTTTCCATTAAGAAACAAAAAGAAGATAAAATTCACAATCAGTAAATCATAAGAGTCCTCAAAGAAAAATCAAATTCTATTTATTGGAATGAGAAACATCAATAAGAAAACACGCGTACAAAAACATTTGTTCTGAAAGGATGAATCCTCTAGTCAAAGGTTCGGTAACCTGAACGGAGGGACATGTGGATTGAATTTTTCCACTTTTCTCAACAATTCTTATACACAAGACTATATCCACATATATACTTGAAATGAAATCGAGACATTCGAACAGAAAGCAAAGACCTTTTGACGATCGGTTATTGAACCCATTATGTCACTGACACTTTTCTTATATATACAGATCGCAGAGGAATATATTTATACAGACAATTGTAGAAATTGCTTCTGTTTGTCTGCGAACTATAGATATGTGTAAATAATATATATATAGTATTTGTATATAGTGTAGTATTCGCCCCTTTTCAGGGATCATGCGCATTTTTATCCTTTTCATTTCTCACAACCTACAAAATACCCTTCAAATCTTTCTTTTGCTGTCATCGCCGGGCGACTAACTCTATAGTCACCTCTTAAACCCTCCTTCCTCCCGCTCAACCCCTCTGATGTCACCCTTCTTGAGAAGTGAACTGTTTCTTTTCAGCCCTCTCGAAAAGTCCGATTCTCCCCATCCTCCTCTTATATTCTACAGAAGCATTTATATAATTCAGGAATTCGTCCTTAATGCACCCTTTTTACTTATCTGCGATTGCTAGGATTACGGCTATAGGGAAAAATGGTCTGATAAGTTATTTGAAATATAAGGAGGGCATATTTCACTTCTATATATATATATTAGTTGAATAAAAGTGAATAACGCATCACAGACTTTTTGTGTATGAAATTAAATATTTTATTTCTATACCATGGCGAATTCGAAGAATCTGAGCCGAATTTGTTTAAATTTTAAAAGCAAAATTTTGCTGCTAATGATTTTTAAGAACAATAAAAAGTAATTTAAGTATAAAATATTCTAAAATGGGTGCCAAAGATTTTTTTTGTCGGTGAAGAAATAAGAAAATTAAGTTGAAAAAAATTTTACGGAAAATTTATAGACAACGTTTAGGTATATATATATATATAGTCAATAATGTAATGACACTTTTAAAGTGACATTTATAATGCAAGAGCATAATAAATGACAATTCTTGAGAAATCGAAGACGTTTCTAGCGAAGAATAATAGGAGACTTGTGAGAACAATCGCAAATCCTATTCAATCACGTTTATATTCAAATCTCACAAGTTGTTTTATTTGAAAATTTCCCAAGTATAATAAATGATTAAAAAAAAATTGCTACTTATTCACTTTTCTTTTAAACAATTAAATTGTATTTTTTTATAGAAATACTCAATTTAAATTCGATATTTTTATGTCGATATTCAATATGGGAGGAGAAAAAATATTTAGAAAAAATAAAAACAGAAAATGTGAATTTTTAAAGCTTTCACGCACTCTGTGAAATTTTGTTTCTGACAGAAATAAAAAGTCTTGAGGTAATAAAAAAATTGTGACTTTCAGAGAGGCAGAGAGGGTGCATTTCCATTCAACTTTAAACTTTAATAACTCAAAAGCAAAGCTTGTGATTAGAGAAATAAAAAAAATACGTGTTCTCTTCATTTTTTCAGAGAATACAGAAATATAGAAAAGAATGCCTTTAGAAGAGAGTAATAAAAAATTTATTATTATTTCAAAAAATAAATTACTTTCTGACTCCACTTATTTGAAATCTCACTTATTCACCGAAACAAATATTTATCTGTAACAGCGAAAGGTTTCACTTGGAATAGCAAAAATTTTAATTGTTTCACTTGTCTTTCACTGTTCTAGTAAAAATTTTCACTGTTTCAGATGAAGCTGTTTATGTGAATTCCTACTTAATAGCCGGAAATCTGATCCTGCTGGAACATTCAAGAGGGAATGTTTTAAGTGAAGTATTAGTTGGGACGATGCGGTTTGCAGAAGGATCCTCATAGGGGTTGAAAGTATGATTTATTGGCCATACCAGATGATTCTTAAATCCAGATTTCTACATGCTGGAATTATGGTGGATTCGGACTCATCACGGTTATTGGAAAACTGAATCAACTCCTTACAATGGTTCTTCTTTTGAGTAGGATCACAAGAACTATATGAAAAATCCAAGTGGATTTCATCTTACCAGAGGAACTTTTATATATTTTGACCCTAAAAACGACTGACCCATGAGCGGATTTAAAACATAGGGATCATTTCTACGGAAGAAGTCAAAGAAAGGATTTTCAATTTGGGGCGAGTACAACGGATGGTTACGGAATCTGACCTTAATTGCGATTAAGATGACAATACGTAATTAAATAAAATGGATAAAAATAAGTTTGAAGCTCCGAATCCTAATGAATATTCAAAAACATATTCGTTACGTTTGATTAATCTAATGATTCTCATCGGATATTTTGAACATCACATATATATCGTGTTTTGTTTGTCAGTAATGCGAGGAGATTGAAATCGACATGAAATTAATTAGATAATTAAATTAACAAAGTGTGATGGTCTATCGAGAAGGGGGATTGGAAAAGAGTATATAGGGGGACTTGACGTATAGATGCAGAGTAGAAGAGGGTAGCGAAAAAAGGAGATGAACGCGACGCGAGAGAAGAGGATAAAAATGGAGCGCGATGATGGTTTAGATAAGGATGGAGTGTTGGACACGAGTAGATGCGACCTCGGTTCATTGATTCGGTGGCTTTATAGTGATTGTAAATCCGCTGCATGTCACGCTCCTGACTCCTAGCTCAGCGCAGATGCTATCATTCTCCTTGCAGCATCCAACACAAATCGATTTTAGCCAAGGTACCTCTACCGAAGAGGCATTTACACTTTATAAGAATTCCAATATCATTTTGTATACAAAATGTTATATTTTACAATTTCAATCTCTCCTTACAAACAACAATCTCTCCTAAATATTATTTAAAAGAAAAATAATCAAAAATTATACTAGAATATATAAATTAGTATTAGTATAACAAAAAGTTACTAAAAATTAAAAGAAGTATGAAATAAGAAACAAACATTTGTACAAATGGTAAAATTTACAAAGAAACAATTTTTAAATTAGTTTTTGAATTTTTTCCCCCATTTGATGCCAGCGAACCTAGTGGAGAATATGACAAGTTTCTATCAGTTATACCAACTAAAATACGGCGCACTATTTTTATAATTTTGGTAGCAGTGGCTGTCATCTGTCAAAAATTGTTTCGCGCTCCTAATCAGCTGATTATTCTTACTATCAATATTATCAATTTTATATAAATGCTAAAATAATGTCATCGGCACATTTGTCAAGTGGCAGATGGAATGTGGGTTTAATACAGGAGGAAGCAAGAAAACAATTATTGTGCTTACTTGAAAGATGCGAAGGAACAAAGGTGACATAACCTCACTTTCAATTTTGTCGATAATTTATTTTTTCGCCTAATAAATAAATAATCGCTTGTCCCATTCAAAAAAAGCAATAAAATTCAGAGCATATTTAGAAAAGACTTAAGTTCCAGAGACAATGTAGAAAAGACGTAACTCTCAAGACCATTTAGAAATCGCGTAACTCTGACAACATATTTGGAAACAATGTAACTCGCTTTTTTTGAGTTTTGTCGTATTTGATGGAGAATAAAATTATCTTTTTTATTAATTATGTGTTTTTAATGAAGTTGAATGTAGTTAAAAAATTATATTCATATTTTGGAATGATTACGCAATTGGTTCGATTCATAAATAATCATTGCATTTTTAGAGTTTAACCCTTAAATATTTATGCTTTCCAAATCTCTCTATTCTACTATATTTTTAAGATTTATTTTTTTTAATGATAACAAACTTAAATAACCATTTTTTTAATCAAAATTATATTAGTCTTAATATTAAAAATTGAAAGCGTATTAATTTTGACTTTACACAACTTTTAATATTTATAATATTTATTTTATTTATCTTCTTTATTTCCTTATTTTAACTATTTAAAACGCAAATTTTCAAATTTAAATTATTAAAATTTTTATTAGGCAATTGTATGGGACAAATCACTCGCTGGACCAATTGGTCTTGTAGCAAAATACAGTTTACTACAAGAGCACGATGTTATTAAAATGTATCCACTTGGTGGTGGACCACTTCCGCAAATAAATGTTGCAAATATTATTTTTATCACAAGACCACAACTCGATCTAATGGATTTAATTGCCGAAATTGTTCACGGGTAATTATTTATCTTTTTTTTTGGTAATTAATTAAATAAATTAAAATTTCATTTCACTTTTTGAACAGTGAGGAGGGCAATAAACCACGAAAGGAATTTCACATATTTTTCGTACCACGGCAAAGTTTATTGTGTAAACAAAAATTAAAAAATCGTGGTGTCTATGGAAGTTTTACATTAATTGAAGAATTTGCTTGCGATTTATTTCCCTTTGACAATGATCTTGTTTCAATGGAATTAAATAATGCATTTCGGGAATTTTTCATCGAAAACGATCCCACATGTCTCTATCAGGTGGCGCGTGCAATTCAAAGTTTACAAAAAATTTATGGCAAAATTCCTAAAGTCACAGGACGTGGTCCAGCGGCAAATAAAGTTTGGGAACTATTACAACGACTCAATCGTGAAGAAGAGGATATTAAACAAAATAATAGTCAATCATCGATTATTGAACATTTGCTAATTTTCGATCGTTCCACAGATTTATTGACACCATTAGTTACACAATTAACATACGAGGGTCTTATTGATGAAATATTTGGAATTAGTAACAGTGAGGGAATTTTTTTTTAAATTCAACTTCTTAATTTTCATTTTTACAATTGATAAATAAATTACATTTTAGCGACTGTTCAATTGCCGGCGGAAAAATTTCACGATTCCGACGAGTCACCAACTGTAATGTCACTTGATAAAAAGGAACAAATTATCTTAAATTCAGGGGAAGAAATTTTCGCCGAAATCAGGTAGGTATTTTATGAAAAAATTTAATTTAAAAAAAAAAATTATTTTATTAACGAAGCATATTTCAGGGATAAAAATTTCAACGGCGTTGGACCAGTTTTGAGTCGTAAAGCAAAAGTAATATCATCACAATTTGACGAGAGACACGGGGATAAAAGTGTACAGGAAATAAAGCAATTTGTCGCCAGATTGCCACACATGTTAGCCACGAAACAATCACTAGCAAAACGTAATTAAAAAAAATTCATTTCTCCTTTCAATAATAATTTATTATCGTTCAATTATTTTTTTTTTACGAGGGCAAAAATATATTCTAAAATTAATTAAATCAATAAATTACTTTTTTTCCGATTGTGTCTTTTTTAGATACAACAATTGCTGAAATGATTAAAGAAGTAACTGATTCGAGTTCATTTCTCGAATCATTGCAAATTGAACAGGAATTATTGAATTGTATCGACACGGATAAACCAAATTCATTTATTGAAGATATGATTGCCCAAAAGGAGCCAATTTTGAAAGTATTGCGTCTATTGTGTATTCAATCGCTCACAAATTCGGGATTAAAATCAAAACTACTTGATTATTATAAACGTGAAATTATTCAAACCTATGGCTATCAACATCTTCCAACATTGTTAAATTTGGAAAAAGCGGGATTATTAAAAGTTCAACAATCGTTTCGACAATATTCTGTACTCAGGAAGGCATTAAAATTAACAGTTGAGGATGAGAGTGAAATTACGCCAAAGGACATTAGTTATGTGCATTCAATTTATGCACCATTAAGTATAAGACTCGCGGAACAATTGGTACAAGGTGGTTGGGAGGGAATAACAGATATTTTGGGATTGTTGCCGGGACCCGCTTGCGGTAGTGGTTCATCGAATTTAAATCCAATTATCAAGACTGAACGAAGTTAGTTACTTGTTCATTATTTAATTTAATTAATATATTCATAATATTTTTTACATTATTAATTATTATATTATTATTTTTTTAATTGTTAATTTAATGATTTTAAAATTTTAATTTCAAAAAAAAAAATTTAAGCACGACTATTTGTTTGTTTACAGGAAATTCATTAACTAGCGAAAATTCAAATTCCGAACCGCCTAAACTTGTACTCGTATTTTTTATTGGAGGCTGTACATATGCGGAAATTTCCGCTTTACGTTTTCTCTCCCAACAGGAAGAGTGTAAGTATATTTTTTTTTTTTTTTACTAAATTTTAATATAAATATTTTTAAAATACGTAATAATTCAAAAAAAAAAACTAATTCATATGAACAATTTTTTTCTTTCTTTCAGTAAATGTGGAATTTGTAGTTGGAACGACAAAATTAATAAATGGAAACACATTCCTTACATCCTTAATCGAAGATCTTCAAGTGAACTAAATTTTTTGTTATGTATATATTCGAATTTTAATTGTTATTTAATTTAAAATAAAATTTTACAAAAAAAATATACTCATTTTTTTGCAAAATATTGTCGTTTTTCTACCTTTAGAACAATATAAATATAAACATATTTTTAATATTTAAAAAAAGAAATTATAATTTTAAAAATCTAAATTAATAATCATCAATGGACCTTTCCCCCCCCCAAATTTAATAAATTTCAAAATTTTCCGCCGAAAAGTGCTGCCATCTACAAATCATTAATCTTTAAAAATGGTGACTTTGCTATAGCATTTATTTAATTGTTCCATGACGCGTGTGTTGTGTTACAATTTATAAACTATTTTTTCTATTTATTTTCATACAAAAAAAAATCTAAATAACACAATTTTTTTGTGAATTTGATTTCTAGTTTTTTGTGTAATTGTTTTCTTTTTTTGGGGTGCAAAATGTCAATTGGAGTGCCAATAAAAGTTCTTCACGAAGCCGAGGGCCATATCGTGACATGCGAGACAAACACCGGCGAGGTTTATCGTGGTAAATTAATTGAAGCCGAGGACAATATGAATTGTCAAATGCAAAATATCACCGTCACATATCGTGATGGTCGTACGGCACAACTTGAAAATGTTTATATTCGCGGTTCAAAAATGCGTTTTCTAATATTACCTGACATGTTGAAAAATGCTCCAATGTTTAAAAGACCTGGTGGTAAGGGCTCGGGGACAGCAGGACGTGGAAAATCTGCTATTTTACGTGCTCAAGGTGTGTTTACATTTTTATTTGCAATTATTTCTCTTTTATCATTTTGTTTGTCAAAGAGAATTTTTTTTGAGGTTATGTTCACTTGTTTGTACCTATGTACGATTTACGACGTTCTTTTATCAATTTTCTATAATGAATATTTTTGAAAGTAACAAAATCAAGGGACAAAACTTTTCTTTTTGAATTTTCTCCTATTTGATTGTTTAAAACAAAAAAAAAACACAAAACATAACCTATTTCGTGTTTTGAATTTCAATTTTTTTTAGAAATTAATTTGTTTTTTCTTCTTCACAGCGAGAGGAAGAGGTCGGGGTCAAAGTCAAAGAGGCAGAGGAACCGGAACTGCTCCTTGGTTGAATCAACAAAATCAAACGGGAGCTCCACAACCCGGAAGGGGAAGAGGATAAATGATATTTAGCTTGCAGTACTACAAGGGAACTTATCGACTTTTTACCAGAATACAATTATTGTATTTTTCTTTTCTTTAATTAACAAAACTCGATGAATTTTTTGTTTGATGCTGTGCATGATGGCGAAAAATTAGGAAAAAAACACCTTAATTATTGTATTCAAAGTATTATTATATGAATTTTAGTTTATTTTGTAATTAGAAATTCCTTGTTTTCTTTGTATACTTCAAAATGTGAAAGAGGAAAAACACTACTTTTTTAAGGCCAAAGTAATAAAAGAAATACATTTATAAAAAGTTTTTTTGTATTTTTCCCCTTTTTTTTGAATAAATTATTTTTTTTCTCTTAATTTATACCAAAATCTCTTGATTTTGATTGAAAATAATACCGAAGTAAAAAAAAATTGAATTTTTTCCCGCTTTTGAAAACATAACCTCAAAATTTAATTAGCGATTTTACAATTTTTTACTTAATTGATCAAAAAATTATTGAACTAATCACTATTATTGATAATTAAATACTTAAATAGTAAAAAAAATAATACCTTTGCGAAAATACTCGAAAACAATCAACTTTCATACTGCTAACGGAAATTTTGAGAATTTAATCAATTTTGTCCGTACGTAAAATTGTGTAGAAGATTTTTGAATATTTATAATTTAGATACTTATTCATAAAATTGAAATTTTAACCTATAAATTTAGTATAATAAAGTAGTTTATAAATTTTCTAATATTATTAAATATACACGAGAGAAAAAACTTGAATAGCAACAATTTTGCTCCCTCAATTAGTTCACAAATTTTATGCATTTATTTGTCGTAGATGGCACAAGTGTGCTCCTTGACCGGTGCGTCTCGCGTAAACACAACTGTACTAAACAGCTCCAAAAATGTTTTATTACCAATTTCAAGTACTATTTCTCATGTGTAAAGAAAGTAAAATAATATATTTCTAATTAATTTTTTTTCTAATTTATAGTTGTGCAAAAAAAAAAACTCTTGTGAAAGAAAATAGCGAGTAATTCAAAGCCCAAAGAACACAAAGTCGCGCGCGTAAACGAACATAACCTTAACAAAAATTCATATATGATTATACTTTTAGGAATTAATTTATTTAAAAAATTCGATATTTCTCTAAGTTATATGTACTAGTGAATAGAAAATAAAACATGAATACACCTCAGTCAAATAAGAAGAAAGGTCGCAATAAAAATAAAATTCCACCCACACCCGGAAGTGCAGAAGTTGCAATAACACAAGAATCAAGCAAGTTTGTTTTGGTAAGTTGTAGTATAATTTTTGTGTACATTAATTTTTTATAATTGATTTTTTAATCAAATTAAAATATAGTGCCAAAAAAAAATTGTTTCTGTTTTTAATTCTATTTTTTTAATGTATATTATAAGAAACATAATTTTTTAATTTCTATCTCTTTTATTGAAATCTAGTTGAACTTGGGTGACGAAGTAAATAAACCGTTGCGTTTGAATTTTACCGATAAAATAACAGTGATTTCACAAGAGGAATTTGAACTTGAGGAGAAAAATGTGGCAAAAGGTGGTGCAGTTCCTGATAATCATGATGATAAAGCAATTCTCAGCAGTTTGCCTGTTGCTGTTGTTAAGGAATTAAGTGGCTATGAAAATCATATTGGCGAAGCTGAACCATTGCCAAATAATTATGTTAGATTTATGGAACGCAGTGGAGAGGATCTTGATGGTAATGCATTTTTTTGAATTCTCATTTGTGTTTAAAGATGGGAAAAAAAAGAAGATTCAAAGTAGCATTGTCTGTTTTTTTGGCATTCGCGTGATTATGATGGCTGAGAATAAAAGAATTGTTCTTTAATCGAATTTCGAAAATATATTCTCAATATTTTTATTTAACTGAATTTACGAAATTATTAACAGAATTTCTATTTATCGAAACTCTTATTTAAACAGTTTTTCATTAAATACAATTTTTATTCAAACAAAATTCTGTTAAATGAGAATTTTAGTTAATTAAAATTCAGTTAAATTAGAATTCTTTTAAATAATTATTCGGTTTAAAATTCTAAATAAAAATTTTATTAAAAGAAATTTTATTAAAATAGAATGAAACTAATAAGAAAAGAGTTTGAAAACTGAAAAAAAGATTAGAATGGAATAATCAATAGAATGAAATTAAAATTTCGTTTCATTAATTTATTTCGTAAGAGAAATGGAAGAATTAATTTAGCTATCAACTTCCGTATAATAGAAAATTCCTAATTAGGTTCGATTAGATTCTGTTAACGATTATATTGTTTTGTATCTCTGAGGAATATTAATTAAAGTATATAAAAGGCATAAATTAAAGGTGAGTAAAAAATACCCATTTGGAAAATTCAGAGAAATAGATAAAATAAATTTAGAATAGTTCGTCTAGGAATAATGAATATAAAAATTTGTAGGAGAAGTCGAGTACGATCTAGACGAAGAGGATTCCGCATGGCTATCGATAGTAAATGAACGTCGTTTAGCGTCTGGCCTCACACCGCCAATGGAAGCTGATACATTTGAACTTCTCATGGATCGTCTTGAGAAGGAATCATATTTTCAACAGCAAACAAATGGAGGCGGTGGAATAGCCGCCGATGAGGATGCTGTCTGTTGTATTTGTATGGATGGCGAATGTCAAAATAGTAATGCAATACTATTTTGTGACATGTGTAATTTAGCAGTTCATCAAGATTGCTATGGTGTTCCCTACATTCCCGAGGGTCAATGGCTGTGTAGAAGATGTCTTCAAAGTCCCTCGCGTGCTGTCGATTGTGTTTTATGTCCAAATAGAGGCGGAGCATTTAAACAAACAGATCGTCCAGCAACGTGGGCACATGTTGTGTGCGCCCTTTGGATACCGGAGGTTCGTTTTGCGAATACCGTATTCCTCGAGCCAATTGACAGTATTGAAAGCATCCCTGCTGCACGGTGGCGTTTGACTTGTTGTGTTTGTAAGAGACGCGGTGTTGGCGCTTGTATACAATGTCACAAGAGTAGTTGTTATGCGGCATTTCATGTGACTTGTGCACAACAAGCGGGACTTTGTATGAGAATGAGAACTGTTCAGCCAACAAGCGGTGAGCCAATGCTTGTGCAAAAAACAGCATTTTGCGAAACGCATGCACCGTCTGATTATCAACCGTCAACGAGTCCTGCTGATGCAAGACGACGTGCAATCGCAAATAAGAAGAGTTCATCAGCGCCTGTTATTTCAATTCCCACAATTCCACCGGAGAGAATTCGAGAAATTGCCAGGTAAAAATTATCCTCTTCTATGTACTATCGAAATACTAGGCGGGAAATTTTAATTCTTTGTATCTTTTTTTTTTTTGCAGCTTGGCTGAAGGTCTTCCAAAGAGAAGTCAATTAATTCAACGTTTAATAGCATATTGGACGTTGAAGAGACAATTTCGAAATGGTGTTCCACTTTTGCGACGATTGCAAAGTACTCATCCACATTCGCGACCACCTCCACTCGGTGGTTCAATATCACCGGCTCCTGATGGTGAATTACGCGATGAAATGTATCGACAATTGAAATATTGGCAATGTTTGCGACAGGATCTTGAACGCGCGAGATTACTCTGCGAATTGGTGCGCAAACGAGAGAAACTTAAAAAGGAATTATTCAAAGTGTAAGTCTTGTTCTATGTTCAATTTAATATTTTATTACAGAGAATTTTGAAAAAAAAAAAATCTTTTTCCCTCCGCCAGGAAAGAAAAGTGCCTTTGGTTCCAGCTTCGACCTTTGGAAAGTGTATTGAAAATGTTATTGGAAGCAATGAAAGCGCGTGATACAAATGACATTTTTGGCCAACCAGTTAATACAATTGAGGTGCCCGATTATTTGGATATTGTTTCACAGCCAATGGATTTATCAACAATGGAGGCGAAAATTGATAAACAAGAATATGATTCACTAAGTGCTTTTGAATCGGATTTTATGCTTATGGTAAATAATTGTCTCGCCTATAATCGTAAGGATACAATGTTTTATCGTGCTGGAATAAAAATGAAGGAACAGGGAAATATTTTATTTGAACAAGCGCGCAAAGATTATCCCGAATTGGATATTGTTGTTGGTGAATCTGAGAAATCGATACAAAAATCAACATCAATAACTACATCGACAACAACAACGGCAACAACAACAGCAACGACCACATCCTCATTAACGTCATCGACATCGCGTAAACGTGATCGCAATAGTCGTACACGTGTTGAATCTGAATCGCAGACAAATGATAAAGAAGTCACCGCTGCTGCAACTGGCGTTAATCGTCGTACTGCTGTGCTTTTCACGCGTAAAGCAAGAGCGCGAGCCAATCGAGGAACAGTCACGAGTCAAGAGAACGATCAGAAAAAAGCCACTGATAGCTTTCGAGTTTATAGGTACTAAAAATCAAAATGTAAATAAAAATCGCACCACTTTTTTTTTTCAATGCACAAAAAAATTTTCATTGCACTCAAAACGAAGTAAAGTCACTAGATTTCTTCTCTTAAAGAAATTTTATATTTAGTATGAAGGAATTTTTCAAAAAATGTGACAATTGTATTTTTTCTTCAAAAAGTGACTTTACCACGTTTTATTTGCAAGTTAACATGAAAATTGTAATTTACCCGGAACTTTATTATTGAAATAATTATTTTATATAATTAATATATTTTTTTTAAATTACAATTTTTATTTTAAAAAATTTTTTATTGAAATAAAAAACAAATTTAAATTCTAGTTATATAATTTTTAAATTTGTGGTTTAAAAATAAATTCCATTTTTCAAGGATATTGCAAATTTTTTAAAAACGACGAAATGTAACGCAAAAAAATACTTTACATTTTTTTTTTCATGTAAAAATTTAGGTACTAATTTTACTCAGTAATTAAATACATTTAAATTGTAATTTTAATGTAAATAAATTGTAAATTCAAAAATAAGAATTCGTAGTTTTGAAATAAATTACATTTTTGGCAGAAAAGAAAAAGATAAGTTACAAAAAATTACATTTAAAGGAAATTACTGACAAATAAAATGAAATCAATTAAATTTGAATAAATTACATTTAAACAGTAATGTATTTTGAAGTAAAATTTAATCATAAGCAAATAAAAATTAGTAAATTACAATGTAAATTATAGTTTCGCACTGATTATAAAGTGTAATAGAAATTTTTATAGTTATTTAAAATTCAAAATGTTACTTTAGTTTTTGGTTATTGTTTATTCTTTTTTGAAATAATAGTAAAAAAATAACGGAGGAAAAAAAGTTTTAAAATCGTTACATTGATATATTAATAAATATTTATATTATAATAAATTTTTTTTTTTAATATACTAATATAAATTTATTGTCATTTTTATTAACTTATTATTGAAGTAGAATAATAGATATGAGAATATTTTGTGAAAAATCGATTTTTTGGATTTGTATTCTTTACTTTTTTGTTTTTCTCTTTCTTTCAGGAGTGGAATGATGGACAGTGACATGGGAGAAGGCGAGAGTCAATCGTCAAGTTGCAGCAGTTGTTCGACAAGTCGCTCAACAACACCCGATGTTGGCGATGCAGATGGAATGGAAAAAATTGAAACTAAACAATCAATTAAAGATGAGGATAAAATGCAAATTACATCATTCACTGGCCTCGAGGCATTGCAACTTGTTTGGGCAAAATGTCGCGGTTATCCATGGTATCCAGCTTTAATAATTGATCCAAATACACCGCGTGGAACAATTCACAAGGGTGTTCCAATTCCTGCTCCTCCCGACGATGTTCTTGCGTTGAAGGACAATTACAAGGATCCCGTGTTTCTTGTTTTATTTTTCGACACCAAGAGAACGTGGTTTGTATATTTTTTTAAAAAAATATTTTATATTTATGTATATTTTTATTTTCTGTTTTTAATTATCTAGAAATAGAAATTGTAATTTTTTATTCATTGATAAATCAAAAAAAAATTCCGCACAGGCAATGGTTACCGGGTGAAAAATTGGAGAAACTTGGAGTATCACAGGAATTGGATGAGGCAAAATTAATTGAATCGAGGAAACCAACGGATAGAAAAGCAGTGAAGAAGGCTTATCAAGAGGCTCTACATTATCGTAAACAAACACATAATACGGCATTGAGTGTCGCAACAACGAGCTAAGAATTTAATTCAAAACTTTCTTTCTTTCTTTTTTAATATTTCTTTATTATATAAAAGTAAGACTTGCTATTATTAATTTAGTATTTAAATATTCCATTGTTTTTTTTTACACAAACTGCGATTTTTCTCTAAGAAAACAAAAAAAAAATTATTTATTTCATTTGTGAGAAAATCGAAGTTCTTACATTTGTTTCTTTTAGAATTGTAGATTAGTTTAAATCTAATTTTCTTTTGGAATTAGAAATGATTCTTTTTTTATTATTCCATTTTTGCGAAATAAAGACCAATAAAATCGATGAATTGCTTCTCGATTCTTTCTCATTTTAATGAGATTTCTTTTTTACTTTCGTACAATCTGCGGCTTGTAATTTAGTTTACTGGCTTCTGTTAACTCATTGGCGTACATGTCCAAACGTTGAGTCATCTGTTTAAAGAAAATTTTTCTTTCATTTTTCAAATATTGAGAAAAATACCTTTTTTCATTTTTTGAGGAAAAAATGTGTTTTTTTTACTTAAATATTTTTAAATTATTAAAATAATAATTAAGAGCGCCAAAAACTTACTCTCAAACCCCATTTGTCCTTCATTTGTCGACAAAGATTGAGATCAATTTCCGTGATTAAAATTCCATCTTTGTCACGATTTAAACCTGGTGTTCGTGTTCCATCTGGTGCTGTTGCATAACTTGAACCATAAAAATGACCAAAATCTTTGTGAGCTGGTTTACCATCGGCCGATGTAAATTCATTGGGAAATATTTCCGTTCCAACACGATTTACCGCAAATGTATAATAATTATTTGCTATTGCTGCATTTCGTGCTTCAATTGGCCATAAAGGCTCTGATAATGCTCCAACCGTTGCACTTGGATTGAAGACAATCTGAAAAAAAATTTTACAATTAGAAAATAATTTATTTAAATTCTCTTTTTCTTGAATGAAATATTTTGTTAATTTAAATAAATAATTAATTAAGAGTGGAAATTAATTTTTTTTTTAAATTACTTCAGCTCCGTTGATTCCAAACATCATCCAATTTTGAGGATGATGACGACCATAACAAATATTGATGGCAATTCGACCGAAACATGTTTCGAAAACTGGATGTCCGGTATTGCCCTCAACATAATAAGTAGATTCATTAAAATCGCCAATTCGTGGAATGTGATTTTTTCTATGTTTTCCAATCACACGACCGTCCTGTCCAATGACAACGCACGTATTCCACATAGTATCACCATGTTCCGAATCACGTTCTAAAATCGGTGAAATTATAATCATTCCATGTTTGGCGGCAATTTTCGCGAGTAATGTAGTTGTTGGTCCCGTTTCAGCATCTTCCGCGAATTCACACCAAGGATATTTTTCTCTCGTGCAAAAAACAAACGGCATCGCTGAAAAAAAATTTTTTTTTTCAAAATAAATTAAATTTTGATTAAATTTTTATTTAAATTTAATTAAAATTAAATTTCTATATGATTAAAAAAAAATTATTTATTACATTTTCTTTTAATTTTTAAAAAATTTATTGAATAAAAAATAATAACTTCTATAATTATTAAAAATTAAAATTATTAAAAATTTATAATCTACAATTTTAATTTTTAAAAGAGAAAATTTTTTTTTACGCCATGCTTCTTGAAGACAAACAATATTGACATTGCAGGCAGCTGCATGTTCTAGATATCCGGAAATTTTTTTATGAATCGCATCCCTTTGTTGGTGAATTGGAACAGTTGTTGGTAGGACAATGGAATTTTGAATAACAGCAACACGAACCAAGCGGGGTGAACGTAAATTTTCCTGAATTGCATTGCCAAGTTTCCAACCTTGAACTTCACATTTTAAATTTTCGGAAATTGTTGGTAATTTTAATTTCCTAAATTAATTTAATTAATTAATTATATGTAATATTTTTCAAACGATTTTTTTTCTTATTACCAAAAAAAATTTCACAGTGTATAAACAAATTTTTTAACTTAAATTTATTATTATTCATTAAAATAATAATTTTTTAAAACAATTTAAAAATTTATTTATAATCATAATCAAAATAAATATTTTTTTGTTTATTATTTTTATTTTTAAAATAAATTAAAATTATTAAATATATTATTATTTATTATTATATAATTATAATAATAATAAAAAATTAATAAAAAAATTTCGTTTTGTCAATAATTTTCCTGAATGATAATTTTTTTTTAATTTTGAAATTCTTATTTGTTTTTTGAAAAATATCTTTACAACGATATTTATTTTTTGACAAGCGATAAATGTGTGATAAACTTTGTAAATGCCGAATAACATGATAAAAAAAAAGTTTTAACAACAATGATACATAAAATTTATCCAAAAAAATTTTTAATTAAATTAATTAGTTAATTAATTAAAAAAGGAAGAATATAAAATTTTTCTTACTCTATTATTTCAGAACCATATAAAATTCGTTTTGCCTCACGAAGTTCAGCGTCAGGTAAATGTTTCTCTAAAATATCCTCTAGAGTTCGATGATACATTTTTTTTTTAGAATTTTCCCACTGAAAGGAAAGTGATCAACTGAATTTCTCAAACTTGCTCGGTTGGAATCCAAACTCCGTTTGACAAGAATGCACACGTCACTTATCTTTAATAAATGCGTACAGTGTTTGACATTAATTTCTCTTATTCATCTCTTTAAAAAAAAAATAATTGTTTAATTCGAAGATTTCAAAATTTTTAAACAAGAATTTTAAATCAATTTTCAAATACTTTAATGAATTCTAGAAATAGTATTTCTATTGAATCAAAGAAATTGTTTTTAAATTAATAAATTAAAAAAAAAAACTAATAAATTAAAATAATAAAATTTTAATGAATGTTCTAAATATAAGATAGTAAATTAATTATAAATTTTATTCTATTTCTCATATTTACATTAAATTATTATATATAATTTAATACTTTATTAATATAATAATATATTAAATAATAAAATTTTAAACAAAATAAATTTCGTTTATTATCTTGATTTATTCTTTTCTTTGTATTTGGGATACGGTATAATAGTTTAAAAAACTAATGAATAATTAAAAATGATAATTACACAAGTTTTAAATATATTTATGTAATTTTAACATTAATTTGAATTTAAATTTTACCGCCTTTAGAAGTCTCTTTGATTGGACATGCGCATTGGCTTCTGCGTACGAGTGACATAACATTCATACATAACCTTCAATGTGACAATTTACTAATTTAGTTTTATAGTCATTTTCACAAATTAATAAACAAATTTAAAAAGTTTATTCTGTTTATTGTTCAAAACTAAGGTAATACTTTCTTTTTTTACTTACTAAACTTTTATTTAACATAAATGTCAATAATTTATACATAGTATTAATACATTTTATTTGCAATTATATTTTTATTTTTCTATTTAAAGTAGATGTTTGTTTAATATTTTTGACATTTAATTTTAATATTATATTTAATCAATTGACAGTTTTTTTTTTCACATAACATACTTAATTTAAAAGGATTTTGTATATTTTCGTGTTTTATTTTCAATAATTTTATCCATATTGAATAAATATTAACTTTTAATGGTTTAAAGTGTTAAAAATCAAATTTTCACACATTCACTGAAATACTTTTAAATGTTAAATTATTTTTGAATTTAAAAACACGGAAATATTGTCGGACCTATTCTTAGATAATTGTTAGGGGGATTATTGTTTAATTATTATTATTATTATTATTTTTCAAAGAACACAACATGGATAAAATGGAGGATGTTAACAATAAGGACCATAAGGGTCCTCATAGCCACACTGGAATTAGTCCAGCTATGGGTATTATGGGTCGAATGGCAGATGAAAGAGAAAGATGTATTGGAATGACACCCGAGGAACGTGCATGGCGTGCACAATGGTTAAAAGATCAAATTCTTGAACCTGATGAGCCAAAAATGCCCGTAGGTTATTACCAGGCTCGATACAATCCAATCAGAAGATTTTATCGATTTCCAATGGATAAAGTCGAGAGATTTCTCACACCAAAAATTGTAAATGATTTATAATTTTTGTACTACTAATTTAAAAAAAAATCACCGAATTTTCTTCAATAGAAAATTTTCGGCGATTTAAAATATATTTTCAATAATTCCAGGGTCTTGAGTATGCAGAAACAGTTCGTCATTGTACCGCAAAAGTAGCACTTGGTATTGCCATTTGTTATTTTGGATATTATTACTTTAAATATAATTCAGCGGTAAGTTGAAATTATAAATATTTGATAAATTCTATTATTGTTTACATTTTTTTTTTATAGACTTGGGAACATAAATATGGTTGGCATATTAAACAATCGAGGCCAACATTAATTCCTGGTCGTGAAGGATGGCCCAATCATGAGGATAGACCTTATGCGAATCAATATTGGGATCAAGGTTTCAAAGATGCACCTATATAAATTATTTGCATTTGTTTCCATTGTTTTAGTTATTCATAAAATAAAATGTATATTCAATGAAAATTATGATTTTTTATTTTATACAATAATTTTTTCTCGAATTTAAATTACTAATTACTTCTATAACCGTGCAGATTGAAATTTTCCCGCGCTAGCGACAATTGTTGCACCTGCTCGAACAATAGTGGCGCGAATTTTGAATTATTTAATATTTAATTCTATTAGCAAATGAAAATAAAACAAAAACAATCTTTTTATACTTTAATTTCAAAATTAAAATATTTTTTTCACTTAATGAGACAATTTTTTCTATATGCGACATTACCTACATAACCTCACTTTGAGACGCATGAAAATCCCCTAAACTTCATATAGCAGAAATGCCATTTGACAGAAATTTATATAACAGAAATTTTATTGGACAGAATATTTACATGGCAGACAATTCATATAACAGACTTTTCATTGGACAGACGTTTGATTGGACAGAATTTTTATCGAACAGAAATGTCACTTAACAGAAATTTTATCTGACAGAATTTCCATTCAACAGAACATAAGTATAGCAGAACTCTCATAGGATAGAATATTTACACGGCAGACGATTCATATAACAGACTTTTCATTGGGCAGACGTTTGATTGGACAGAATTTTTATCGAACAGAAATGTTACTTAACAGAAATTTTATCTGACAGAATTTCCATTCAACAGAACATAAGTATAGCAGAACTCTAATTGGTCATAATTTAACTTTTGCATCATACATTCTCATCCCTGCTATATTTTTAACTTGTCGGTAAAGTAGACGTAGAGGTCAGTAGTTGCTATTTCTTTCTCGCCCCAAAGTTTGAATATTAAATAATAAAACTAATATTTTATTTACTTATAATTATTAGGTATTCATTATCAATAATAATGAAATAAAATATTAGTTTTATTATTTAATATTCAAACTTTGGGGCGAGAAAGAAATAGCAACTACTGACCTCTACGTCTACTTTACCGACAAGTTAAAAATAAAGCAGGAATGAGAATGTATGATGCAAAAGTTAAATTATGACCAATTAGAGTTCTGCTATACTTATGTTCTGTTGAATGGAAATTCTGTCAGATAAAATTTCTGTTAAGTAACATTTCTGTTCGATAAAAATTCTGTCCAATCAAACGTCTGCCCAATGAAAAGTCTGTTATATGAATCGTCTGCCGTGTAAATATTCTATCCAATGAGAGTTCTGCTATACTTATGTTCTGTTGAATGGAAATTCTGTCAGATAAAATTTCTGTTAAGTGACATTTCTGTTCGATAAAAATTATGTCCAATCAAACGTCTGTCCAATGAAAAGTCTGTTATATGAATTGTCTGCCATGTAAATATTCTGTCCAATAAAATTTCTGTTATATAAATTTCTGTCAAATGGCATTTCTGCTATATGAAGTTTAGGGGATTTTCATGCGTCTCCTCACTTTTTTGTCGTACAGTAAAACACGAGATTGGTAAACCTGATCACCTGCGCAACTGTCAGATCATTGTCAGAAATTTTTGTATAGAAGTTCGTCGACGTCTTTTCACCGGGTCGTCGTGATAAATATAACAAAACAACCTCCGGGTTGGGGAAAAATGCACCTGAAATGTCATTTAATAATCCTTGGAAAAATGTGCAGGTGCTTAGACGTTGAGAGTGATAATAAGTGATAAATAAAAAATAAAAAAATATGGGTTCTAATATCGGACCGCAGGTTATTTCGAAAAATAGTTGTCGCACATAGAAAGATGACGTTTTATAGTGTTTCGTTTTTATATTATTTATATACCGGTATTCGCCGTGGAATAATATTTTCATTGATATAAATTTTTGAGAATTTTTCTTTTCTTTATTTTTTTTTTGTTTTTGTTTGCTTTTGAGTAAATAACGAGTAAAAATCGGTTCAATCCGAAGAATAATGATGGCTTTATTGTATATGAATTTTAATATGTGATATGGGAGTTCCTGAACGGAGTGTATTGACGGCGATTGTGGCTATAACCGCTTTCGCCGTTTATCTAAATAGTCTTGGCTGTGGTTTTGTGTTTGACGATATCTCAGCAATTAAGGATAATCGAGATCTTAGGCCTCATACTCCATTGAAAAATGTTTTTTTCAATGATTTTTGGGGTACGCCAATGCATAAGGTTAGTTATTTTTCTAATATAATTTAGTATTTTTTTTTTCTTAAAACTCCTTTGGCGCCATGATAAACATCATCCCTTGCGCTTGCGGCCGCGGCGCCAAAAGCCTATTTCATCCGCGTATTGATCCGCGAGTATATTGTCGTTCCCGGTTCCTCTTCTGATTCGTCCACTTTGTTCTGATTCATTTCCTTTCATCTCTCTCTCTATCTCTCTCTCTCATGGGATAGAGGTGGGGGTCCTTAACCTTTTTTTTTGATTGAGGAATGCAAAAATCCCGATGACCCCTTTATTATGATAATAACTTTTTTTTTTCAAAAAATGAATGGAATATTATTTAATTTTTACAGGAACAGTCTCACAAATCATATAGACCACTTTGTGTTCTTACATTCCGTTGGAATTACCTGATACATCAACTTGATCCTATGGGCTATCATCTGTTGAATGTAATCCTGCATATTGGAGTATGCATCTTATATTTTAGGTTTGTATTTGTTTTTCATTTTTTCGTTGAGTAGAAAAACAATAATAAAAAAATCTTATATGACTTTTTGATAAAATAAAGAGAAACAAATGCGTTAAATGAAGATGAAGAAACATTTTGTTACTCTTCTTGTGGAAAAATAGAAGCGATTTGATTAAAAATTAATAATAAATATATTAATTAATTTTACAGGACGTGCTTGATGTTTGTATCGGATTTAGCCAGTTTTATGTCGGCTATGTTGTTTGCAGTGCATCCCATACACACAGAAGCTGTAAGTGGAAAAAATCGAATGAAAATTACTTAAAATGAGAGCCCGTTTAATATGAAATAAATAATAATTAATTCTACAGGTAACGGGTGTCGTTGGAAGAGCAGAAACATTGTCATCACTATTTTATCTCGCGGCTCTGATAACTTACACAAAATGTTGCAAAAGTAAAAGATCAACCGGTAAGATTATAATTTCATCATTTAAAATTGAAAGTTTCATTTCTCTTATTTTTAAGTTTAGTTAAAATTAATTATAAATTAGTAAATTTATAGGATATGTTAATTTTAAAACAAAAATAAAATTTCAGGTTGGCAATCCCTGCTGTTATCGATGTTTTTTGTCTTTGTTGCAATGTTGTGCAAGGAACAAGGAATAACCGCAACCGCAGTGTGTGTCCTTTATGAAATTTTTGTCGCACAAAGGGTAAATGCAAATTTAATTCTAGAAAAATTAAAAAAAAACTTCAATTTATATTAATATCCTCATATTTTTAGGTGAGAGCTTTGGATATTATTTTAGCAATTAAATCAACGCTCGATGGGAAAAAAATATCTCCAACATGGTCGAATGAGGGTACAAAACGTTTAATGGCATTGACTGTTGTGACGTTTAGCCTACTTATTCTCAGACTGAATGTTATGGGTTCGAAATTACCTATATTTACTAGGTAATAATAACAATTTACAACGTAATTTTGAATTTTTGGCAAAAAAGTAAATTAATTTTCAATTTTTTAACATAGATTTGACAATCCAGCATCCGTGGCTTTAACGCCAACGAGGCAATTAACGTACAATTATTTAGCGGCCGTAAATTTACGATTACTATTTCTTCCATACGATTTATGTTGTGATTGGACGATGGGAACGATTCCATTGGTAGAAAGTATTATGGATCCTCGAATATTGACAATTATTGGAATACATGGAATTGTCATTGGTCTCACGATTTTTGCAATTTTAACAAAAAATCGTCAGACTTCAATTGTGATTATAATGGTAAAAAAAAAAGAATAAAAAAAAGTACATAAGTATTTCTCAGTTTTAAATTAAAAATATTAAATTTCAGAGTCTAGCAATGATGATACTTCCATTTTTACCAGCGTCAAATTTATTCTTCCCTGTTGGATTTGTAATTGCTGAACGTGTACTATATGCACCGTCAATGGGTTTTTGTATGTTAATTGGATATGGTTGGAGTGTATTACGTGAACGTAAGAGTAAACGTTTATCGACATTTTTTATATGGACAATATTGGTGACACATTCAATGAAAACATTTGTGAGAAATTACGATTGGTTGGATGAATATTCAATATTTATGTCTGGATTGAGAATGAATGATCGTAATGCAAAATTATTTAATAATGTCGGTCATGCATTGGAGAATCAGGGACGTTTCAAGGAGGCACTTGATTATTTCAATATGGCCGTTCAAGTTCAAGGTGATGATATTGGAGCACATATTAATGTTGGACGTACCTACAATCATTTGAAAATGTTCAAAGAGGCTGAGGATGCATACCTTAAGGTTTCTTTTTTTTGAATTAGAATTTTGTTTTTATTTTTCCTTTTCTGAATTTTTTTTTTTTTTCAGGCCAAATCCCTTTTGCCAAAAGCAAAACCAGGAGAGTCGTATCAGGCGCGAATTGCGCCAAATCATTTGAATGTTTTTGTTAATTTGGCAAATCTTATTGCAAAAAATGCCACAAGACTTGAAGAGGCTGATTTGCTTTATAGACAGGCAATTAGTATGCGTGCGGATTATACGCAAGCATATATTAATCGTGGTGATGTTTTAATAAAAATGAATCGCACAAAAGAGGCACAAGAAGTTTATGAACGAGCGCTATTCTACGATAGTAATAATCCTGATATTTATTACAATGTACGTATCGATTAGAAATTTTAATAATTTACAGAGGGATAATTGTCTCTATTTTTACAGTTGGGAGTTGTATTTCTCGAGCAGGGAAAAGCATCTCAGGCTCTTGCCTATTTAGACAAGGCATTGGAATTCGATCCTGAACATGAGCAGGCACTGTTGAATTCAGCGATTCTCTTGCAAGAATTGGGAAGAGCGGAATTGCGAAAAGTCGCAAGGGAACGTCTTCTAAAATTATTGAGAAAGGACTCGAATAATGAGAGAGTTCATTTCAATTTGGGAATGTTGGCAATGGATGATCATGATATTGAAAGTGCTGAACGTTGGTTTCGTAATGCTGTTGCATTAAAGGAGGATTTTAGATCGGCTCTCTTTAATTTAGCCCTATTACTTGCCGATGAACAACGACCCCTTGAAGCGGCACCATTTCTCAATCAATTGGTCAGATTTCATCCCGATCATATTAAAGGTCTCATTCTTCTCGGAGATATTTATATCAACAATATCAAAGATTTGGACGCTGCTGAAAATGTGAGTTACAAAAAAAAAAAAAAAAAAAAAATGAAAATTGTAAGAAATTTCTTTAAACTCATCCTTTTTCAGTGTTACCGAAGAATTTTGCAGTTGGATCCCACGAATATTCAAGGCTTGCACAATCTCTGTGTGGTAATGGTGGAACGAGGTAAATTGGGTCTAGCCGCACAATGTTTGGAACGTGCGGCAATTATTGCCCCACAACAGGACTACGTTCATCGGCATTTGGCAATTGTTAAATCACGAATTGATCGTCTACCACCGGAACAAAGGGAAAATCAAAAACCCGAGGAATCATTTTGGGAAGGTATCACGTTCGATGAGAATATTGAGGATCCGCCTGTTGAGCCATTTCTCGAGAAAAGTGATTCGGTTTTTATGAGTCGTGCAAATATTCATAATCATCATCATCATCGTAATCCCGAGGTAACGAATGTAAAACGTAAAAATATGAAAAATCCAACAAAATCATCGTCACGAGTTAATAATAATAATAAAAATAATATTAATAATAATAATAATAATAATAATAATGACGAGACAAAAAATGAAAGTAAAGAACGAATGACTTCAAAATCCACGGATTCTGGAGTATTAGATGATATTTTAAATAATAATAATAATAATAATGATAACGATCTCAAAAAATTGGAAATTAATCGAATGCATAAAGTGAATGAGCAATTTAATGCTACAAATTCTCATTCACAAAAGAAAGTCAGTGCATTTTCATAGTTTAAAAAAAAGAGATGAGAATAAAATAACCCGCCGAATGTAATGTATAATGTTATTAAATGTATCGCGTCGAGGGTTACGATATATAAATATATATATACTTATTTATAATAGCTCCCGTGTGTGAATATTAAATGAAATACAGAGTATTGTTTTATATGCTGTATAAAATAGGACGTTTTATAAAATATGTTTAAAACATTTTGGCTCATTTTATTTCTCCCCCTTTTATAATATATATATAGAAGAAGAAAATTATTTTTTTGTTTATTATTATTTTTATTATTATTTTATTATTTATTACTCTTTAAAAAAAAGTTGAATAAGTTTCAAGGAAATGAAAGAAATTTTTTTTTCGTAAATTTACATTTTTTTTTAATTACAGAATTTTGATAATTAATTTCCTGTTTAATTTGCATTTTCTTTAATTTTAAAAGGGTCATTGACCAGGGAAATAATTATCTACTTCGTTTCGTAAAAAAGTTTACTCCAATCAATATACATTTATATAATTACATTTTACTGAAAGAGTTGATAATTTAAAAAATAAAATACCCGACTTAGTTATTATATTCAGAATATAGGGAATATGAAATTAATAGCCGTTTATACCATATGAAACTTTCGTGTTTCTTTATCTTTATTCATTCTTGTAAATTTTCATTCATAAAATTCACAAACCTTCGCTAAAGATTAAATTTATATCAAAATTATTTTTGTAGCAGATTTTTTCTTAAAATTTATAAATAAAATTTCTCTTTTCCGGTGTTGGAAAAAAAATTGTACATTTTTAAATGTAAAACAAACATTAGAATACAGAGAGGGGATGAATTTAATTGTCCTGAAAATTGTAGTTTAATTTACCTTAAAAATTCAATTTACACAATTTCTAAAAAATCAATTCACCCTCAAATTCAATTTACTTGAAAATTAATTTATTTAAAAAAAAGTGTGCTAATGTTTTTAAATACATTTTTAAACGGAACCCCCTAAAATTCTCTTTTAAAAAATACTTCGTATTTATATAATATGAAAATTCAAAACGTCAACATCGGATTATTTTCGAAAATATATTTAGGATAATTGACGTCACAAGTGTGATAATTATACCGTGTATTTATATATTAAGGACACGGAGATAAAATTGGATACATGTTGTCGCTATGCTGGATTTTTTTTTTATATTTATTATTTTCTTTTTCAATTTTTTTTTAATTTTATAAATAAAATTTTTGAATGAACATAAATGTGTTCCGGGATTGATATATACATATAAAATTAAATCTTCATTTTGCGGGGTAGATGAAATCTTTAAAAAATATATATATACGTAAGATGAAGTCCAATTAAGCGCGAAGGTATATATATAATGAATTTGCACAGTCGACTGACTTATAAACCATCCCCCTTTTTTGTATTCCAAGTATATAACATTAGCCATGCAACGCTTTTAAACCAAGTTGACATCAACTCAAGCAACATGTTTAATGAACACGTCTTAGCTGCTCAACATTAACCCTCATCTTCTTCACGTTTATAAGGGCGAAGACCAACTTTTCCTTCGGCACAAGTCCTTTGTTCATTCCACGGTTATAATCTCACTTACGCAATAGTAAGTCGATATACTTAACAAAACTAATTTAATTTAATTTCCAAAAAAAAAATTATTTCTTTTTTCTTATTTGCAATTTTATTTATTTTATTTTTTCAATTTGAAAAATTAAAGTCAGTGTAAATTCAATTTTTTTTATTTTTATTTCTCTAATTTGAAAAATTAAATTCAGTGTAAACTCAATTTTTTTAATTTTATTTCTCTAATTCGAAAAATTAAATTCAGTGTAAACTCAATTTTTTTATTTTATTTTTCCAATTCGAAAAATTAAATTCAGTGTAATTATGTTTTTTTTTTTTAAATTTTGATTATTAAAAAAATTGAAATATTATTTATTAATAAAAAAAGGTTTAAGAGTTAAATAATTAAATCAAAATAATTTTCTGTGCAGTACAACATAAAAAAAGAAGAAATAGCTGGATTTATTTATCCCATTGTTTGTCATCCGATTTCTAGGTAAATAATTTTTAATTTTTAATCTTTAATTTTAAATTTGGTATTAAAAATTAAAAGAACAATTATTTAAAGCTATTTTTTATTTAAATGCATTATTTATCAATTTTTCGAAAAATTTATCAATATAAATTATTAATTTGATGAAAATCAATGCAAAAAGAATTTTTATCGACTATTTTCCGTTTTGTTGAGAGTTTTTTCTCAATAAAAACCATAGATGTCGTTCGCATTTATTTTTCATATATTTTAAATATTTAAATATAAATAACGACTTTACAGTGTAAAATATCGATTTATTAATTTACCTGCGGGAAAATTGATTTACACATATATATGTTTATTTATATATTATTCTAAATTGTATACATGAATATTGATTTTTCTTTTTCCTATAACAATTTTTACATTGAAAATTGTAAATTGAAAACTGTGTCACGGAAAAAGATAAAAAAAAAATTTTTCAGTTTATCATTGAATAAGAAATTAAAAAAAAAAATTTTTTGTTTTAAAATATACATTTTATAAGACAAAAAAAGTAAAATTATTTTTTATTTATAAAAATTTATAATATGTAATTATTATATATTTTTCAAATTCTCAATTAATTAATTTTCATAGATTTTTTTTATTACCGTATTTTCTTAATTATTGTATTTAAAAATATTATGTAATATTTATTTTCAAATTTAAAATAGCTAAAACAATTTTTAAGATTTTAAAAACTGTTTTCTTATAAAATTGTTAAATACGAATTTAAATTATAGTTTAAAATTAAAAAAACGGAATTTTTGTTTCACGAAGAAATATTTTTTCATTACTCTATATTTTCTTGTATATATTGATAAATGTTATTTTATTAAATTTTTGGAGAATTTGTCATTAAATAATCAAATTTGACAAAGGCAATATTATCTTTTTGCCTTGTCACAAATGTTCAAATTAAAACCCACACATTCGTTCCTCTTGAGTGCATAAGTAATTTATGTACATCCCCTTAGCCTGAAATTCCAATTTTTTTTTTCTTTTTTTATTTGACTGCCACTTATTAGAAAAAAGTGTTTTCACCTTATTCGTTAAATTATACATTATAATTAAAAAATTCCAATTATATATTTAAGTTGAATATATTTTTGATATTTATTATTGTGTCATTCAATTAAAAAAAATTAAATTCACAATTATTATTATTATTATTATTATTTAAAAATTTATAAAAACAAGCAATACTTAAAATATTATATTTTTATTGTATATAAAAAATTAGTAAAATGTATTTTATGTTAGAAATTTTTTATAAACAAATTCTCGAGATTTGTTCACTTCCTTCAATGATTTGTTTATTAAAATTTTGTTTATTTTAGCTGCCTATTGAAGATTTTATTATATACATAATTAATGTAAAAAATTAAAATTTATCACACCAGCTATAAACAAGTTTGTAAATTATAATTCAACTTTGACACTTTATAACTAAAGACAATAATTTTTTTTTCAACAAATCTAATTCTAATAATACATTTATAATTTATGTTCAATGTCATTATAAATAATTATATAATTTGATTTTTTTTTTCCTATATACATTAGGGCTTGAAAAAAAAATTTTGTTGATTCCAGAAATTTTTTTTCTTAATTAAATGAAAATTAATTTAATTACTCTACAAGTCGGAAATATTATTTTCAATTTTTTTTACAAGATGGAAAAATATATTTGCGATAAAAAATGATTTTTTTGGTAAAAAAAATATTTTTAATGAAAAATTTTTTTTTGAACTTAATTAATTTTTTTTTCAAATGCAAAGCATTTTTAAGAGAGTAATTTCTAAATAAGGGATGAAGGGATATTAAATTTAATGAAGGAATTTACAGCGCACCATATTTATAATGTATTATTATTATTAATTAAATGGAATATTTTTGCGGCAATATATAAAAGATAAAATTTGCAATTTCTAGTGAGAAACTCCGTCGCAGAAAATTTTATCATAACGAGCACTCTCATTGTCGTAAAAAGAGAATATGATCTACTCCCTTCTCAAGAGATTATATTATTAAACACACAATCCTATACTGCAATATTCCAAGTTGATGAAAAATCTCGTTTCATTGCCTCTCAAGATTTCTTCTTATTCTTCAATATTCAGTGTTGGCCGGTCTTCGGCCTTTACACAAAGGCTCAGGCCTCGAGGCTCGAGTCTGGATGCTGTGGATGCTGGACCCGTTTTTATAGAAAAATTTTTTTTAAAAAAATTGCATGAAAAAAATTGTTTTTTGAAATACAAGAAAATTTTTTGTTTAAAATTTTTTTTGTCGTTTGAAATAATTTTCGAAGAAGACGTGAATCATTTTTTTTGAAAGATCAGCATAAATGTGTTCGAGAAAAGAAAAATTTTTTTTCAAAAATTTTAAACAACATCAAATGAAAAAAGTGTTATTTATACACTTTTTTGGGACTTTTGACACAATTATAATTAATGAAAAAACAATTGGTCCACGGCATCTAAATTGTCATCCTAAATATTCGTTTGAAAAATTTAATAACAATAATAATTATTATTATTATTAATATAAAAATTTTGAATTTTTTTTCTTTCGTCTTACGTGCGTGAGGCTGTGATATTTAAAGTGATATTTAGCTACTAATTTTTTGTCAACTTTTTGCAAATCTGTCGCAAGGGTGAGTTTAGAAAATTTTTTCAAAAAAAAAAAAATTTCAATTATAAAAATATTTTCAATTTTTTATTAATATATACAGTGAATCATTTTTTTTGGAAAAATATTTTTTACAATTTTTTAAAACTTTTCTTTATAGAAATTGGAACAACATTTTCATATTGAGAGAAGAAATTTTTGGAAACTCTTCAATAACTGTACCTCGCAACTGGTGAGATAAATAAAATTGAAAGTCGTTCAAAAAAAAAAAAAATTTCCATAAAGTTGAGCAATTAGCAATAATTTTTTTGCATTGAAAAAATAATTGATTTAATTATTTTTGTTAGAAAAAAAATTTTCAAATTTAAAATAAAAAATTCGAATTTGAAAAATATTTCATTAATTATTAAAAATTGTTTTTCTTATTTGTGATGAAAAACAATATTACAAAAAAAATGTACAAATAACTTTTTATAAAAGTAATTTAAAAAAATGAATTAATCATTTTGCTCGCAATATATAAATTTGCTTTTAATAATTACAATCTATATAATAATCTGGAACATATTGAGTCGAAAAAAATAATTCTAATCATCTCTCGTACCACTTAGGAGCTGCCACAAGATCGATATATATTTATATTACAATGTAATGTAAAGTGCTCATATTCTGAATAAAAAGGGGAAAAAAGAAAATGTAGTGAATCAGAGATATCTCGACAAATTACAAAAGTGACTCTTTACAAATACAAATTAATCTATGTCAAAAAAAAAAAAAAAAATAGATCTAATTGTAAATTTTTACTGGAACGTTGATTTTGAATTTTTACAATTTTTCAATTTAAGAATATAAGCATGGCGTCTAATTAAAAAAATAAATTTTATTCTTACAGTTAGAAATATAAAAATATTCTTCAAAAAATAAAATTCTCATGTTTTCAAATTGAGAATAAAATTACTCTTATTTTAAGAATATTATATTAATATTCTTAATTTTTTAATTTTAATTATTTTTTCATTTTTTAGTATTCAATTTTATTTTTATTAGAAACTACTCTTAAATTGAGAATACACTTTTTTCAGTGTTAATATTTATATAAATAATAATAATTATATAATAATAAAAATTTCCGAAGGACTTGTTTAAAGTTTCCGGAAACATTTTTGTAGATTATGTGAGAGTCGTAATAAAACTGAAAATGTCTTTTAATGCTTTCCGTATATACTATATATAATATATAAAGAGGGAAATATTTAATCGACCTTCGTAATAATCGCTTGGTATTTTAACTGATGGATGTCATTTAACAATTGGTTCGAAAAAAAAATCCATTTCCTTGATGGATTTTGCTCTGTTATAAAAATAATAATATATAAAAAAAAATTTTTTAATTAAAATTACGCACTGTTTGAAAAAAAAAAAATGCTAACTCGAAAATATTTTTATTTGATGAAAAAGATCTATTTTTTTTTATTTAAATACAATTTGGTAAAGAATTAATTATAAATTAATAAAATTATTATTTTTAATTATTATTAATAATATATATATATATTAATAATAATAAAAATTAATTAATAAGAATTAATTATTAATTAAAATTGCAATTAAAAATATCAAAAAAAAATTTTTTTCGGAATAACCACTTTCAGTAATGATATAATTTCGTTGTAACATACGAGATCTACTCGTGCGTTACCCCCACTTCTTGCGCATCGCATTTTCCATCGCTCGCGCAGTGTACCTTAATTTTCATTGGTTCCCCTCTCCAACGAGCAGTAGCGAACCTAGAAACGAGGCACTTTAAAATAATTAATTTATCTCGAATATTTTTTCCATTTTTTTATTAATATTGTAATAAAATAATTAAAATAACTAATTATTTTTTCTATTTCAATATAATACTCTAAAATATATGTGAAAGAATTTTTTTTTCTCTTTTTTAATTTCAAATATTTGAGATAATTATATTTAAATTGAAATCAAAAGAATTAAGATTATGAATTTGTTACTGATTTTTAGAGGCCTTTTACAGTTAAGATGTTTATTTATTGTTTGACATAAAGTTGTTATAATGATGAATTAAGAATTATGAATTCATCATGAATTAAGATTATCTTCGCCTGTAAATAAAAAGCAGGAAGAAAATAATAATATCAAAGGTGCATTAAACTTGAGGCGAACGTTTCGAATGATAAAACATTCTCAATATGCGCGGATAAGGAAAAACTCGAATAATCCTGACTCATCTCTGTTGCCAGGAAAGTGCACTCACATCGCGAGGAAAAGCTCTCATCGTTAATTGATTAATTAATTAATCAATTAATAATAATAATAAAAAATTAATAATAATAAATAAATATAATGAATAATTTAATTTAAAATCTAGTTTTTGTAGGGGGGCAACTATTACCCCCCCCTTCCCCCTCCACTTTAGAAAAGTCGGAGGAGAATGGTGAGAAAAATCATCAAAAGCAATGATTGGAGAGTCACTATTTTTAGATATCATTTCACTAAATATAAATCGCGTCGAGTAAATTTCTCTCTAATCGCCATTCGCGATGGCTGGACTGAGTTTAAATAAAAAAAATTTGCATCTGTCTTTGTCTGTATAAATGACCTTTGTTCTTGTTGAGCTTCTATGCATTGAGACGTTGCACACACAAAATTATTCCCTTGAAATTAATAATAATTTTTAATTAAAAAAAAAAGGTTTTTTAGTTTAATTTTAATAAATATTTTTTATTAAAAAAAAAAACTTTTTTTTTTATTTTCAAGGTGGAATTTAAAGAAATAAGTTTTTTTTATTTTAATTAACAAAAAAAGAATTTATTTGAACAACTTTTGTTTTATTAGGTAAAAAGAAAATTTTTCAATTAAAAAATAAATTAATTTATTATTTATTGCGACAATGAAATATTAGAATCAAAAAATAGTAAAATTGATTGTACGATATAGAATTTGCGCGACACATTGTAAATATTGCGATGAGTGTGCTCTAATTAAGTTGGTAAATATTCCTATATATTTATAAATGGTATCAGAAAAAAAGTATCGAACAAAAAATAGAAGAGATAAAATTATTATTAAAAAAAAGTGGGATAAAATATACATTTATATATTTCTATTCAGAGACAATATTTTACAAAAAAAAACTGAACTGTTTTTTTATTGTATCAATTAAAGTAACCGGATGATAGTTAAACTCACACAATTTATATGTGTCTTTGCACATTATCTTCATATCGTAAAATATATATGTAAGCTATTTCAGTAGAAATAGAACGTATCCAATAAGACCAGAATTATCATTAAACACGCTTTTTTCTATTTTCAGAAAATTCCCCTTTAAAATGACTAATAAATTTGATATTTACTATTTAAAATTTATTTATTTACACAAATTTTTTCGGGTAGTTTGGAATTTTATTAAAATTTTTCTTGAGGACTGAGGTGAAAACTAGTTCCAAAATTTGACGCTATACGCCTCGTAGTGATGATTTAATTGGTCAGGCAAAAATGGCGGGAAATTCAAAAATAATAAAATAATAAAACTAAATACTATATGTATTTTTTAATTGTAAAATAAAATTTAACAATAATAAAAAAATACTTTTTCTGTTGATAGATGTCCACGCATCGGTTATACGTTCTAGTAACACTCGTGCTTGCTGCGTCGCTTATTATTCCGCAATTGGTTAAAGCTCAATTGGATCTCCTTCAAAATGTTCAAAAACGATCGGTGGTGAATCAACATTATTGTGGAAATCGTCTTTCAAATGCTTTACAACTCTTCTGCAATGGTCAATACTATTCAATGTTCAAAAAAAGCGGTCAAGGTTTGTTCTATTTTTTTTTATACACCGCGAAAAAAAAGATTTCTTTGATTCAAAGAAATCATTTTCTCATTTTTCTTTGATTCAAAGAAATTATCTTTGATTAAAAAAAAAATTATCTTCGTTTCAAAGAAATTTATTATTTAATTCAAATAAATGTTTCTTTGACCCTATATCAATGTTAGAATTTCTTCGATTTAATGCACAAATTTCTTTCATTCAAAGAAAATTTTTTTGAATCAAAGAAATTTTCTTTGAAACTAAGAAGCTTTTTTTTTGTTTCAAACAAAATTTTGTTTGGAATGAAAGAAAACAAGTCAAAGAAACTGGTTTCTTTAAATCAAAGAAATCTTTTCGGGGCAAACATAACCTCAAAATTAGGTAAATTGGCGAAAATTGAAGGGAAATTTTTTAAAATAATTATTAATTTTTTTTTAATTTTATTTTCTCCGACAGAAATGGAGGTAGACGAAACGCCATTTGCCTATGATGAAATGTATCCCTTCAGATCCAGACAAAGTGCAAACGCAATGATTGGTAGATTTGGCGGTGGTCGATTTAGAAGATATTCACGCGGTGTCCACGACGAGTGTTGCGCAAAACCATGTAGTATCGATGAATTAACCAGCTATTGTGGCTTTTAAATCAAAAATTATTATATATATATGTCTTTCATTAATAATAATAATAACAATTGTTTCTATATAACTTCTTTCAATACTCCAAAAAAAAAAAAATTCTAATTCTACTTCGTGATTAAGACACACGAATTACGACGATGACGACAATTAATTTATATTAGATCAAAATGTAATAAAGGAAGTAAAAAAAAAATTATATCAATAATTGAGAGTATAAGACGATAAAATAAAACGAAATATATATTTAAATAAAACTATAGGTAAAACACGTATAACAAAACAAATTTTTCTTTTTTTTCTTTCCCCCTACATATATATTTAAAATTACCAAAGAATATCCGCCATATTGGAGACGCCATTTTGAATTTTGATTATCAGCAATAAAATTCGTAATTATGATTAAAAAAATTTTTTATCAATAACCAACATTTTCGAATATTAATTTGAAGATTATTTTCTTTTTGTAAAAAGATAATTTCGTAAAAAAAATTTGAAAATATAAAAAAAATTTTTTTTTTTCATGACAATAAATTAGGAAGTGAATTTAAATAAGCGAAAAAAATGGATTGTCTATTAAATAAATGCCCTTGAATTAATGAATATAATTATATGTATACAGTAAAAGATATAGATCGAATGTGCTCATCCAAATAACGTGTCAAATCATGATACGCTACACGTAAGGGAAGCATTTTTATTTTACATTAAACAATAATATATACCATTATATTATGTATGGTCATGTAACGTTCATTTACACGATAATACTAAACTACATATATATTTTCTAAACACAAATTTGACCTTTACTTTAGGCTTACCTTTTGTTAACTACCAAACAAAATTATTCTTTTAATTATAATTTTATAATTATAATTATATTAATTATAATATAATTAATTATAATTAAATATAATTTTAATTCTTTTAATTATAAAAAATAGAAAACAAATTAAATTACATTAACATTAAAAAATATAATAGTAAATATAATAAATAATAATTTATTTACAATTATAATTAACAATAATAATTAATTAACAGATTGAAATTTAAATATAAATAATATAAAATATAAATAAATATAATAAGTATTGTGATATAATTATAAAAACTATAATAATTATGGTTAATATGGTTACTATGACTACTATAGTAATTATAATAACTATAAAGTGAAATAAATAAAAAATAGTCATCCTAATTAATTACCTAAGGCACTTCAATAATAATAAAAATTAATCATAAACATTATTAAAACAATAATATTATAGAGTTAAATAATTTATAAAATTGATATTTAAAATAATATATCAATAATATTTTAGATTGCGTTATCCATTGGGCCATGGTCTCCCCTATATTTCACTTATCTTATCTAAATTATTATTATTGCTATATATTCAAATTATTGGTGTCATTTTATAACAAATATGCGTCAAAATAATTATATATAAATGTATATATTCTCTATTTGCATATAATATATATATATTAGTAATTTATTAACTTTTTTCATAACAATATTATTTGCAATTCCCGAAAAAGAAAAAAATTATCTATATGACGTTAATAATTATTAATTTATGGAATTTATCATTTTTATTAGAATGCAAGATTTATGAATTATATTATAAATCTTTTTGGCAATTATTTGTAATATATTACAACAGTAAATCAAAATAATTTTTAAATTATTAAATTTTAATTCTGAATATTAATTATAATTGAAAATTATAATTTTTTATTTATTGTTTAAATATTCACGCATTGATATTCAATATTAGAGATGATTTCCAATATTATTCATAAAACTATATTATATAAAAGATGACGATTTTCATATATTATACGTTTATTCTAATTTTGCTATTTAAATAATAATTAGAAATTTAAATTTTTTTGCACATTTAATTTAATATATATATGTATATATCAAAATACATATTTGTTGTATGATAATTTATACATTTAGAATAATTTAAATGGGCGTGTATATATTTATAATTATTTATCTGGTCTATATAAATTATTAATGATAATAAATTTATGATTATAAGTAAACAATGTCATATTTCGCGCTGAGTATTTAATCAAGTAACAAATTCTGATTTTCTATCAAAGGGAATAGAAGAATCAAAAAGGAAGTAACGGTACAGAAAAGAAAACGAAAAAAGTAAAATAATATATTATCATTTAAGGTAAGTTGGGAATTAAAATTTATATTTTTTTAAATAAATTATTATTTATTATAATTATTAGGAAAAACACCAATAATAAAATTTTTTATTATAATTATTTGTAGTAGTAATTATTGATTAATATAATCAATTACAGTAGTAATTTATTAATTATACAATTAATTAGAAAAATAATTAATTTTCTTTTAGTAAAATTTTTTCTTGTTTTTAATTGAAATTTTATTAACTTATGATTTTTTCTATTACAATTATATAAACGTCTATTATAATTCTACTTTTTTTTGGTAAAGAAAGAGATCAGTTGAATTTACTGCGCGCGCAGTAACAAACGGAGTGGGGATAACGTACGAATGACCATTCACAATACGCTATCCCCACTTTTGATTGTATATTGCGCGCGCATTGTTCAGAAAATAGTGATGCTAATCCGCGCCTAATAAAATAGAATTTCAACTGAAATATATAGAAATAAAAATATAATATATTTATTAAAACAAAATTTAATTTTAATATAATAATTAAAATAATTTTTAAAAAAATGAAATTCCGATAAAAATTAATTTAGAAAACAGTTTTTTTTCAAATTAACAAAGAGATTTATTTTTTACAGATGAAATTTGAAAAATCACATTTTTACCTTGCATTCGTGCTATTCGCAGCGTTTGCATCTTATTTACAATTAGCAGAATCTGCCCCTAGTGAATTATTAACTACTACATCTACTACTGAAACATCCACTACTGAAACATCAACTAGGCAATTACATCGGTTTTGTGGATTAGAGCTTATTAGTGTACTTGAATTCGTTTGTTTGACTCAATTACCAAATAGAAATGAAGTTCACAATAATGGTTAGTGAAACATTTTTTTAAAACTATTTTGTTTTTAATTTTGAAAACAAAAATTTTTTTAAACTGCTAATTTTCATTTTTTTGTATAAAAAATATAGATACATTATTTATATAAAAAAAAAGAAAATTAGTTTAATAAATATTTTCAAAAATAAAAAGTAAGAAATTTAAATTTACTTACAATTTTTATTTTCAAATGAGAAAATATATGCAGTTATAAATTAATTAATAATAAACTAATAAAAAGTTACGATTTTAGATTTGGATAATGACAAGGGTAAGAAAGAGACGGTTTTAAGAAGATTTACTCGTAACCCTGTCCACAGATGTTGTAGTGTTGGATGCTCATATACTGAATTAATTGAATATTGTAATAATTGATAATAATTAAATTAATAATTAATAATAATTACATTAATAGTTAATTTAATAATTTATTAATTATTAAATTAATAATTAATTAATCATTAAAATTATTAATTAGTAATTCAATTATAAATTAGATAAATCATTACATTATAATTAATTCATAATAATTACAAAAAATTTTCTGATTAATTTGTTTAAAAAAATTATTTTCTCTTTTTTCTTCTCAAATTCATAGAACATATCTAATGTGACAAAATTTATTATAAAAAATAATATGTATCGTCGAATAAAAAAAATGTCATAAAAAAAGATTAATAAATATATTTATACTAAATATTTTCTGTTTATTAAAAATGTTAATAAAATATTTTAATAAAATACCTAATACTTTATATATAAATAAATATTTAAATAAATTTTTTTTTAATTTCCTAATTTTTTTATCGATTTCAAAGAGGTCGAGGGGGGTTCGGCCCCCTTGAATAAGTGGAACGCACACATTGTTGAGGCGCGTGAAAATAAAAAAAAAATTGTGTGCGCTTCTTTCATTGGTCAACAATGTTTAGAAAAAGAAGGTTTCTAGGCCAAAGAATAAAAAAAAATTGCCTTTTTTTCACACTAACCAGAGAGGACCTACGAAGAATTTTATTTTTATTTTGTAAAAAAATAAAATAATTTATATAATATTTATCCTACAAGTTTTATCGAAGATCAAAATTTTCGGTAATGACTTTTATCTATCACATAATGTCATAATGTGTTAAATGATAATATTTTCCCTTTTAGTTATATTTTATTATGCATATGCGATGGTTTAGATTAATATATACATATAAATATAAAAGTATCATTAAATTGTAATTAGAATTTAAAAAAGAAAAAATTTCTTTGTTTTTTACGCAACTGGCGAGTCCAATAATAATTTTTTACCTACGTCAAATATAATAATAATTTAAATAATATTATAAATTAGTATTAATTTTCATTATTATATCAATTTTCCACTTTTTTTTGACCTTTTAAAAATTTCATTCATCTTTAGTGAAAGGATAAAAAAAGAAAATTTTTTTCCTTTACGTAAAAGAAAAAAAAATCAATTTGAATGAACAATATACGTGGTTAATAAATAAAATAATAAAAAAATATAAATAAATTAAATGCTTTGAAGGAATTTGAAAGTTAAAAAAGTTAATCGTATTAATATTAAAAAAATTTAATAACTATAAATTTAAAAATTAATTTTTGAATTAATAATTAAAAATTAAAAATGATTATTAAAGTAAAAATTGAATTTTTTTTTTTTAAATTTATTTTGAAGAAAATATATTAACTTCCACTTGTTTCGATATAGTTGTTTCGTTTTGACTGTAATATATTACGAGAGGTAAGATAATATCATTAGTGTCATTTTTATGATAGTAAATTATACATTAAAGATAAATAGAAACTTAATAGATGCCAATTTATAGGGGCGCGTTTCTTTTTACGATTTAGATATGGCACTTTATATAAAATTCTAGAAAGAAAATTTTTCCCTTAAATGTTTGCCTAACAATTTATTGCTATTGTTTTTTCTTTTCACTTCATTTTTTTTACTAAATTTATAAAAAAATATGTATATATAATTATTATAATTAAAAAAAAAAATTTCAAAAAATTAGCTATTATTTTTCTTTTTATTCCTCCCCCTCCACTCGTTATTTTTTTAATATTGGATAATTAAAAAAGATATCAAAATAATTTACGCAAGAACATTTCCTTAAATCTTGTAATTATATAATTTTTTTAAAAAAAATTTTCATTTGCAAAAAAAAAATAATAATAATAATGAAAAATTTATGTTTAGGGAAAATGGGTTGAAAAAAAGTTTAAAAAAAATATTTTAAATCATTTTACAAATAAAAGTTAACTAAAATTGGAAATAAAATTGTAGCCTCTGGCAGAAAATTAAATGAAAAAAATACAGATGGACAGACAAACAGACAATTTAAAAATTTTTTTTTGAAATATATTAAGTCTTACTTTCAAAAAATTTTTATAGAATTTTTGTAATATAATAAAAAATAAATAATAATTAATAAAAAAAAATTAAATAAATAATAATAATAATAAATTTTATTTTTTTATGCAGTTTATTATATATTATATTATTTTTATAAACTAATTGTGAAATTAGAAAATTCGTTTTTGTTAAATTTATTAAAATTGTTTTTCTAAAAAGAAAAAATTAATTGAATGGCAAAAAAAAAAAAAGATTTCACAGTTCAGTGAACGCAAAAAAATTTCATTAAAAATAAAAAATAAATAAAACTTATATATGCTAACGCTCCAAGGGATAATACTGAAATATTTAATTTTTATTGGATTGGAAATGGGGAAAGTTTTTTTGGTGGGATGTCCTTTTTTTGATTATTTGACTAAAGTAATTGATTCGACGGATTCAAGGTGTATATATATGAGGTGACGAACTTTTTTTCCTGTTTACACATATACACATGAAAAAAAAAAGAAAAATACATATATATGTGAAAAAAAAGTAAGGATGATTGGTTCGTAAATGATGAACACATACACACACACACATGTATATATTTATATATGACAGTAAAATTATGTTATAGGGACACATTCGACATTCTGTAAAGGTATGAGAAATGGAAACAAGTGTTTGCAAGTGTCAGTATTGATTTGGCTGACATCTCGTCAACACCCCCATTTGAGTGACTTCATTTTATTTTTTTTTTTTTTTGCCCCGAAGAACATACCCATCCCAGAGTTTAACTGGTAAACTTCGCGCTCGCGCTCCCCCCAAAGAAATTTTGTGAAAGTGACCGGAAAAGAAAATTTTTTTTTTTTTTTAAATAATTGGACGCCAGAAATTTTTTTTTCCAAATTAACTTCTTTTCGTTTGTTTTTTTGAATTAAAAAAAAAAATTATTTATTTAGTACATTAAAACTTTATAAGTTTAGTGAAAATAAATTTTTTATTTAAAATTATTTTGAAAATTTTTTTTTTCAAAATTTAGTGATAGTTTAAAGAAAAATTAGGAATTTTTTTTATTTTGTGATATACTTTTTTTTTGAAATAGTTGTAAGTATTAATAATGAAAATTTCTGATTTCTTCTTAACAATGGGACAATTTATTATATAACAAATAATTTTATTGTTTAAAAAGTATTTTTGAAAATTTAAACTTTTCGAAAATATTTATTTTCTCTTATTTTTTGTTTTAATAAATAAAAAAAAGATTTTTGTACTAAAAATTATTTTGTTTTTAAATTTTTAAAGTGAATTTAAGAGGTTTAAAAAAATTAATTTCGAATAAATTAATTTTTTGAAGTTTTTTAAAAACATTATGTGAATTTAAAAAAAAAAATTTAAAAAGAAAAAATACTCACCTTGTGTAAAAATAAGTATTGAGTATTTTATCTTTATTTTTTTATTTTCAAAATTATTTTTCATTTTTTTATTTATCGCTCAATTATTATTACTTTTATTTTTTATTTTTCTATTTATTTTTTTGAAATTTTACGAATTTTTTGTGATTAGTTTAACAAAGATTTTATTTAATTTGTTGAATTTATTATTATAGTTGTTAGTTAGGGCAAACAAAAGAAAAAATAAAGAACATGAAAAGAGTGAAAAAACGAAGATATGAACTTGTGTTTTTCTACATTAAGAGAACTTTTGTGAACAGTGAATTGTGACATATTGAAAAAAATTATTTCTAATCAAAAGAAACAGAAGAAGAAATAAATAAAAAAAAAATTTTATTGTGAAAAAATGTAAAATATTTCAACAGCGAATAGAAATAAATCAAAATGGCGGGGAAAATGATGCCTGAAGTTAGGATTACGACATGGGTTGTGAGTAAAAAAATTATTTATATAAACAAATTGTTTTAAATTTAATGAATATTTTCCAATATTTAATTTTGAATTTTTAACAATTATTTCTATATTTATAAAAAATACGTTAAATTATTTTTATATTTTAATAATTTAAAAATTAGTTAGTAATAATTAAATTAGTTAATTATAATAATTAACATTTATTAAATAATTATTATTTTGTTTGTTAATTAAAAATTTTTCTTTTATTAAACATTTTTTAAAATAATTTTCCTTTAACAGGACCCACCGTATTCAAATTTTCATTATGGAAATAATGGAAATCCCGTGCTCCAAGGTTATGCATTTACAATTTTTGAAATGTTAACGTCAAAATTAAATTTCACTTATAAATTTATACCGCCGACAGAACAAATTCTTGGAAATCAAGATACTGGCATGGTGGGAATGTTAACAAAGAATGTGAGAAAATTAATCATTTTTCTTTTATTAATTTAAACATTTATATTAATTTTTTTTTCCAAAAGTATGTGAGATAAAAAAATCTATTATATTAGTAAAAAAATTTTTTTTTAATCAATTTTTTTTTCTATTTTAACCGAAAAAAATACGTTATTTTCTTTTTGAAAATATTGAATATATTTTTTCATTTCTATTTAATTTTAAAGAAAAATGTTTTAGTGAAAAAATTGTTCACAATTTTATTTATCGATTGAATAAAATGTTTTACTATATATTTTTTCTTGACACCCATTGTTTATATATAAATAATAGACCGATAACAAACATAATTTAGTATTGATCTTTTGATAGAGAAAAATTTTTTAAGCCACGTGTATAAAAATCATGTGACATAATTTTTTGCCATAAAATAAAAAATTTTTTTTTTTAATGTATATAGAAGATAAAAAAAAAATTAACAACGAAATTATGAATTTTTATGCTTGGAGAAAAATTATAATAATAATAATAATTAATATTATTATAGTATTTTAATAAACGTTTATTAAATTTTTGTTTTTTTTAATAGCAAGTGGATATGGTAGTTGCATTTTTGCCAGTGATGACAAAAGTTAGGGATTACATTAATTATAGTGTGTCATTGGATGAAATGGAAATGACATTTTTATTGCGAAGACCTGCTGAATCGTCATCAGGAGCAGGACTATTTGCTCCTTACACTCCTGAAGTTTGGTACTCGATTTTTGCAACCATCTTCATTATTGGCCCCACGGCTTGGGTCACCATTCAGCTACGGTATTAATTTCTATTATTAAAGTTAAAAATATAAAAAAAATCATTTGATACTATTTTTTTTTTTTAATTAACCAAGGGTACCATAATCCTCTATTTACGCCCCTGGAATAATAATTTAAATTTCTATTATTAATTAATCATTATGGGTACCCTAATCCTCTAGTTACGTTCCTGAAGAATAAAAAATTCTCTAACGTTAACAAGGAGGAGGTAATTGAAAATTTAAAAAAAAATTTTATTATATTTTTTTCAGAAATTTGTTTATAAAACAAGATGAAATGTGGAGGTATTCATTTCCACGATGCATGTGGTTCGCCTACGGTTCTTTGCTTAAACAGGGAACGACAAAAGCCCCTAATGGAGGTATTATTTTAATTAATAATTTCATTAATTAAATAAATAAATGTAATAAAAAATAATTTTTTTAGATTGCACAAGACTGGTCTTTGCATCTTGGTGGATATTTGTGACGATTTTTTCCGCATTTTACACCGCGAATTTGACGGCTTTTTTGACATTATCCTACTTTACACTGGGTATCCATTCACTTGATGACGTTGCCTATGGTTACAATTGGTTTGCCATGAAAGGTCGCTCAGTGGAAAGTGCGATAGAAAACGTAAGAAACAATTTTTCTATTTTTATAGAATAAACATTATATTTAAGAAAAAAAAATCATTAAAATTGAGATATAAAATTCAGTGAGATTAACAGTCTCCGGCGCCGAGCGCCGCGAAGTGAGGGTCCCACTCCTAGGGACCCAGTATTTATACTCGCTTGGAGCCACGCCCACATTCTAGAGTGCTCAAGGTGGGGTATCGTCTACCGCCAGAGTCAAGTTTCAGACCGCGCGAAAATTCAAATCTTAAATTGTTAAAACCTTAATAATATACAAAATCTAAAATATAAATCTTTTTAAAATCTTTCAAAAACAATGTTGACGTTTATTAATTAAAACATAAAATAAGAGAATAATTTTTTTTCCCTAGAATTTTGGCGAGTTTTACAGTTTAAAGAGGGCAGCTGAATGGAGGTATGGGCAGTACATCACGGACTACAATCTAAATGGAATAGATATGCTTAAGCGAATTAGAAAATCAAGTGAGTTGCTTTATTATCATTTTTTTTTAATAATTCCATATTAAAATAAAATTGTTTTATTTTAGAAAGGGGATTTATGACGGAAATGCAATTCGCAAAAATGTTGGTCTACGATGATTATAAAAATAAAACGAAAAAAGGAATTTCAGAGGCAAAACGTTGCACGTACATTTTGGCGCCAAAACCTCTTTACTACATGGAGACGGCTTTTGCTTTTCAAAAGAATTCCACCATCCTGGCGATTATAAACAAAGAGTATTTATTTGAATTTTTGGATAAGAATTTTTTTTCTGTTCATTAGTTTGGACTTTGTCCAAAGACAGATGAGATCCATAACCTATAAATATTATTAATTTATTTTAAAATGAAAAAAAAAATTCCCGTAAAAATCAGAGGCGTAGGAATAAAAATTATTCTCATGGTCCGTACGCAACTGTCGGGATTAAGGGCCAGAGGAGAGTAGATTTGTAAAAGAAATATTCTGCTTTGGCCTTGAATATTTTCTATATAGATACACTAAAATAACAAATTCTTCGATCTAGTGCTGTGTGACTCTTTTTTAGATTCAGCTTAGATTGCGACACAGATGGCGCTGCATGCGTTTCGCTTATAAACATAGTTTCCAAAAAAGAAACGCTCGCAGCGCTAATTATTATCACTATTAATAATCAAAAAAAATAATTATCAATTTTCCAGACTTCTACGCATTGTGGAAAATGGTTTGGTGAAGTATTTGAAGAAAAATGACGTGCCCACGGTGGCTTTTTGTCCGCCAAATCTTCCCACCAAGGAGAAACGTCTTCAAGTCAACGACATTTTGCTTTTGTTCAAAGTGATTGGCTATGGTTATTCAGCAGCGTGCGTTCTTTTTGTTCTTGAGGGAATTTTCTATGTTATTATGCGATTTTGCTGCTGCAGCAAAGACTCATGTTGCATTCCATTTAAACCAAAAATTAAATCAGACGACTCATTGCCGGCATACAGTCCACCTAATTCGCCACGTTTTGAATTTCATCGAAGTCCACCGCCATTTTATCAAGCGGTACAAGATCATCGTGACGCGAAAAAATTCAACATTAATGGTCGCGATTATTATATTGTCAAGGAAAGTAGTGGTAACACTCGATTGGTACCAATTCGAGTTCCCTCCTCTTATTTGTTTCATCAGTTTACAGCTTAGAGGGGAGGGGAAGGGGTAAAGTTTGGTAGAAAAAAAAAGAAGTGGGAGGTGAAAGCCATGGTAACCGTTACCATAGCAACCGAAGGACGGATAGACAGACGCTAAAGTCTCGTTACATGACGTCGCATAGAGGGAGTAGAAAAATAAATGATTCATTGAAATTCTTTTATTGAGAAGACAAGAATTATTTTTCAAAAATTGTGAATTTGTGCCTTTGAATAATTGATAATCACATTCACGTGTTAGTTTCTGTTCTGTTTGTTTGGCAGCTGTTCTCCCGAAATTTCAACCACGAGTTAGATAGTAATAAAGATGCGGCGATAGTTTGCATTAAGGCCAATGTACAATAGTTTCGCGAATGACTTTCGCATGGCCTTAAGAAAGGAAAAAAAAATTTATAAACGGCGAGAATCGAACGATTATACGACTCGCATAACGCATCGAGAACAATTTTGATTTAATTAGCAAAATTGAGAAATTAACGACTGTAAATTTTTTTTTGTCTCTGTTATAAAATGGGGAGTAAGAATTATTTTAAAATTTTGACATATAATTTATATTTAATTGTCAATATTCCCCGATACCTTACAGTATTAATATTAATAAAAAATAATAATATAATGAAAAATTACTTCAGAAAATAATTTTTTCAAGTTAAAAATAATATAATAATAATATTATAATAATATATTATTATATTATATATTATAATAATAATAATATATATATTAAATGTTGAATCAAAAATATAGTTAAGTAATTTTGTTTTTGAATTTGAAAGAAATTGAGTATATTTTTGTGAAATTTAGATTTGTAATTAATAATTTTAATTAATTTTGACACAATTTTTTGAAAAAAGGGCGATTTGAAATTATGCAGATATATTTTAAAAGGAATTATTTGCGGTATTTGAGTGGTTTTACTATAATTATTAAATAAAAAATAATAATAATTGAAAATCTTAGGCTTTGCCCTTTCGTAAGTTAAAAAAACCAAAAATTGTTTGTGTGTTCAATTTTTAAAATGCGAGTGATTGTTTGAAAAAAAAGAATCATAAATTACAATTATTATTAATTAATTTACAAATAAATTTTTTTTAATCGATTTTAAATGAAATTATTTTATTGTTTAAAAATATTTTTCTACTTCTATTGTTTTTTTTTTATTTTAAATTTTCTGTTTTACATTGACATTAACAAATATTTATTATTAATAAAATAATTATTTTAATTATTTTTTCATACAATAATTTCATATAAAATTAAAAAAAAGCCTAATGTCACGACTGAAATAGTTTGCTCAATGTTTTCTTTTGTTTTATATTATATAATAAGAAAAAAGTTGTACCATTTTATGCATAAATTAATATAATTAAGATGTAAATTAACATAATAATAATAATTGTTTATTTTCTAATTTAAAATAATTAATTACAAAATTTCGTATATTAATAAAAAAAAATTATTTTCTTCTTTTAATAAGTTTTAGAATAATATTTTATAAAAAAAATTAATAATTAAACAATTTTTTTTATAAAAATTATTTTATTTCGTTTTAAAGAAATTTTCTACAGTTGGCTATGTATACTGTTATTATTGTTAATAATAGTAATATAATAATGCTAAAATATTAGTAATTAACAAATTTTACTAAATAAAAAATAATAAAATAATTTAAATAATAATTATTTATATAAATTGTAATATATCGATCAAAAAAATTAATTTATAAACAAGATTTTACGAATTTTGCACTGATTGATGGTTTGTTATTAAACTGTGATTTTATTGAATTCACTAAGAAAAAAATTATAATTTTTAAAGAATATTTTCAATATATTTAATTTTATTATTTAAATTATTATAAACCTATTTAATTAATTTCTTCAAAATTAATAATTATTATTTTATTATAACTTTTAATTAATAATTAATAATAATTATTATTTAATTGTAATTAAAATTAATGTATTAAATGAATTGTTATAAAAAATTGTAAATATTTTATTGTTAATTTATAAGCTTTGTGAAATATTAAATAATTATGTAATCTTCGTTATTTTTGTTTTTAGCGAAAAAAAGTAATAAATAATTTAATGAAAATTAAGGAATAAATGAAAGAAAATATTTTACCATATGTTAAAAAATATTTTCAGTCATTTATCATTATTAATTAAAATATTTTAATGTTTTATTCTTACTTTATTGTTTCCGACGTTTTAAATAGTTAACAGATAAGTTGTATTAAAGTTGGTTTGTAAATAAAGTTTTAAAAATACATAAAAAATTTTAATTGTTGTCTTCATTAATTTTGCGTTTTTCTAAACCCTTAAAATAGGCAACCTCAATACATTGATGTATAATTGAAGCATTTTACAAATTGTTTTTATTGTAAAAATAATTTGAAAATAAAATTATAAAAATGTACGAAAAATAATATATAAATTTTTAAATAATCAGAGAATATTATTTTCATTTATTTTAGAATTATTAAAATAAAAATTTATTTAAGTTTTATGGAAAATTCGCGGGTTGACAGTAGCGCCATTGAAACAAACATTTATCTGACTTTTGGATTTGTTGTGTTTTTATTTCTAAATTAAAGAAAAAACAAATTTGAATATAAAAAAGTAACAATTTTATTATTAATTTAATTTGTGAGTTTTTCCCTAATTGAAAAAAATGGCTGGCCGTTTAGCGGTGGTACGTATTAATAATTTATCAATTGTTTTCCATTGATAATTTCGCTTTTTAAACATTTATTTTGACATTTTAATATTAATGTATTCTAAAAATTGTTATATTATTAAATTATTCTATTTACCTGGTAAAATTATTCACTTGCAGTAATTAAATAAATGTCCTTTCAACAGTGACATGTTTCAACAAAAATTTCTTAACTTTTATAAACATAACCTCACTTTCAAAAACATGCTCCATCCATGCGGTATAAAAATAATAATAATAATAATAATAAATCCTTTAAATGTAGAGTAAATCAAATGAAGATTAAAAATATTCTAAATGTTACAACTAATTTTAATTAAATCGTTTAAATTTCTTTTTTAATTTATATTTTTAAACATAAACTAACAATTTTTAAATTAATAGGTAGGTGGAGATGATTTGAATGAAAAATCAAAGACATTTGTATTCATAGGCGAAGGTCATACTTTAGGTCGTGCACTTGTTACAATAATGCAAAATTTGTACGTATTGTTTTTTTTAATATAGTATTAAAATATAATTTTATTTTTGTGTAAATAGATTTGAATTTTGCTTTATAATTCATTTTTTCGCATGAAAATTTTTTTTAAAAATTAAATTCAATGTTTTATTAATAAATAATGTAATAATTAAAATTTTTTTTTAAGTGCTGACGTGATGTATTGCTCTTATACAATTTCTCATCCAAATGAAGACAAAATGATGGTTCGAATACAAGCAAGGGAAGGAAGAGCCGTTGATATTTTACGAAGAGGTCTAGAAAATTTAAACGACGTTTGTGATCACACTATTGATACCTTCGAACAGGCTATGAAAGATTTTCGAGAATCAACATGAAATATTAGCAATATTTTTATAGTATTAAATTGTTATTTATGAAAAAAAAATTTTTAACTTATTTTCATCCTGAAATTAAAAAAATTTAATTAGTTATAAATTCCCTTAAAATTTTATTACTCTTTTAATGTTTGTATTAAATAAGAAAAGTTGATAGAGAGGAAAATTTCAGAAAAATGTTAAATATATTTTTTTTACACATTACAATTTTATAAATACACATAGAAAGAAATTTTTTTTTTAAATATTCACATATTGTACTAAATTTTAAAATATGTAAAAAGTTTTTAAAATAAAATCCAATCACTCTATAAAAGAAAAATATGCAGTAGAACTTGATTTATTAAAAATCGAAGAACAACACACACACACACATTTCTCTTGAGACAAGAAATACGATAAATAGAACAACTTGATATAAATTAAAATTAATTTCTATCATCTGATTTCTCTTAAATAAAAAATATATATATATATAAATACAAAAAAATTATTCAATTTCGTATATTCTTTTCTTTTTAAATTGGTCGCTGTCCTGTACTTTTTACTTGAATATATGATTCAAGCATTTCTTCAATTGACCACCATTTAAAAGGAGTCCCCACACATAATTTTGAAGAAAACACATGATTCACATAAATACCTAAAAAAAAAGATATCCAAATCCAAAAGATTGGATGAAATACTAATTCCTTTATTGTTGTTCTGAACCTCGAAATATTATTTTGCCTGAAAGAAATGTTTATTCTTTTTTTTTTAAATTAAACTTTTGTCAATTATTTACTAGCAAATTATAAATTAATTTTTTAATTTATAAATAAATAAATTTTGTTACCTTTGTTGAATATGTTGAAGGGACAAACTTTCAATGTATGGTGACTCCTGGGGAATATCTTCCTCTGGATGCGACCAAATTTCACTCTCTGCACTCTCATAACTCGTTGAAATTAAATAATTCGTTGTATTTCGAATAATATTATTATTATTTTCTTCTCTGGAATTCCGCCTCGATTCGGCTTGCTCAAATATTTCACGTAATTCACCAATACTGCTCGAACTGCTACTTTCGACAAAAATTATATATTTATTCTTAATTAAATCCTTGAAGGAAAAATATATTTAAAAAAAAAGAATATTTAAATTATCGCACAGCAACCCACAGGAGATAAAGAACATTTTCTGCAAGCACAACAGTAATAGCGAATCATTATTTTAAAGCTTATAGAGGAGCAGAAAAAATAGATTTTTTTTTCTAAAATCAATAATTATTATATTATTAATATAATTTCTAGTCCTCTTAGAATTATTAAATTCTATGTGAAAAAGAAAAATCATATTGAAAACTCACTCTGTTCGAACAAGTTTTTCATTTTCCCATTTTTGAGTTTCATAATTCAGTGATGGCCTTCTTAAAGTAACGCGACCAGAAACGGAATTTCTCTGTCGGGTTCCTTCCTATAGAAAAAAAAGAAACAAAACATCAGAAACTCAATTTTTTTTATTTTCGAAATAATTGTCATGCTGTTATTACAATACAAAATTTTAATTTTGTTTACACTTTTTCACTGTTAAAAAATATAAAGTGAAATATTTTAATTAATAGTTATTCACAAATTAATAAATTCGTTAATTTAACTGGTAAAATTAAAAATAAGCAGAAAGCAAATTGTTAATAAATCACACACACACACTACAATAAGCGGAACAAAAAAATATTTCATAGAGATTGATGTGGGTAGAATAATAAATAATTATTCTCCAGGAATCCAGTTTAATTTGCATCTACGTTGCTTAGCAGCTGTTAACGGCAAAAATTAAATTATTGAAAATCGCAACAAAAAATTAACAATATTGAATATTTAAATTAAAAAAATTATTATATTAGCAAACTCGTTGCCTTTAGGTCTTGTTGACTTCCCAAAGGTCTCGATATCGCTGCAATGCTAGCTCTCCTTCTAGCCATCTAAAAAAATCAAATGAAAAGAAAATTCTTTAATTTCTTTTTTCCTTTTTTTTTTAGAAAAATGTGAGAATAAAAAATACAGCAAAAGCTTGGCGTGCAAACGCAAAGCATTAATTTGCAATTGAGAAATATGAATTTTTTTTTCATGTCCTGAAAATGCGAAAAGAAATGTTATTTTTAGAAAAAATGATTTTTAATTGAAAAAAAAGACAGGTATTTTGTTTACTTTTTTTTATGATTCCATCAATCCAAAGAATAATTTGAATAATATTTTGTAAATTAATTAGTTTTAACAATTAATTTTTTTGTCACCTATTTAAAAAAAACTGTGATGATTATAATTGGGATTCGTAAAAGAAAGTAAAAACGATTTTTTTTTTAAATAATCAACTCGTGAAATGAAAATAATTTAAATTTTCCATGAAAAATTGTGATATATGATGAGATTAGAGGAATGTAAAAAAAATGTATGTGTGAAAAATGAAAGAAGCTGCAAAAAATAGCAAACAAGTGTCTTTCAATATTTTCGAACCATCGTACGATTATTGGTAGGCACAGCGCGATACCGAATTCGAGGAATATCATCGCCCAACTCACTGGGATGTTCTTCGATGACAATGTTGTTCTCCATCAGTATTCGTCTGAAAATTCAATGACAGTTTCTATTTCTCAATTTCGATAATAGAAAAATTATTTTCCTCTTTTATCTCGAGAGCTAATTCAAATTATTGTGCGCAGAGAAAAAAATAATTGAACAAAATCTTATTTTTTTTCGAGAGAGAGAGAGTAAATAAAATAAAAGGAATTAGCTCTAGAATGAGAAATAGATCATCGAATTCTCACTTGGTCTCGTTGATCTCAGTGGAAAGTTTTTCGCATCTAGTTTTGAGAAGTTGAAGATAACGATCGGCGAGTAATGCCGCTCGTGAAATTCGACGTTCCTGATGAACGGCACCGAGTGTTTCAGCAACGCAGGACACCCTATGAGCGCATTGATTGATCATTTCGAGCTGCAATCGGACCCTCTCAACTCTTTCAAGGGACTCCCTGTCGGTGCAGAGTGGTGCGAGATCCTGACGTTTCGTCAAAAATTTCATCTCTTCAACTTGGTTTCGAGCAAATAGATCGTGTCTCGTCAATTTATTTAATTTAGTTTTTTAAAATTTCTTTTTGCAAAATTGTTAGTAATTTATTCGAGAATATCACGATTAATTCGACAGAGACGCGACGCTTTTTGCTTCTTTTTTTTTTATTTTTAAAAAAATACTTTTTAAAAGTTCTCCTATTTTCTAAGGTACTTTGGTGTTCTCGCTTGCCTGTATGTCCTGATTCATTTTCTCCACTTCCACTGTCAGGTTCCGCTCCGATTGATCCCTCTGCCTCTGTGAAAGTGTCAACCTTCGGGAAAGTGTCATCCTGTCCGTCCTGAGACCCACCGAGAAAGTCGTGTACTTCTTCTAAAAAAATTTAATTTAATTCCTCTTTATTTATAATTTTTAAAAAATACGAAAAAAACACGAATTTTTTTTACGCCTTAAATTCGATTCGAAACCTATTTTAATTAATCACTGTTTTTTCAACAAAAAAAAATTAAATTAAAACTAGAGCTTTTGATAAATTTTCTATTTCAACAAATTTGATTTGATTTATTATAATTGAAATTTTCGATTCTGATGAATTTTCAATTTACATGTCAAAATCGAACTTGGAAAGAATCCAAATTATTTTTTCTTAAAGACTGAAATTAAAATCAAATTTACTCACCTCAAGTTCATCTTCCGACAAATTCTCACTGAAACAAAAAAAAAAAAATAGAGGAGAAGTAAACTGTAATATGTCATCGATGATTTACTTCACACATTAAGTAAATAAATAATTTTTCTCGCGCTTGTAATTTTTTTTCTAATTATTTTTACCATTTTTTATTTTATTTATTTATATTTTTTTTGTCTAAATGAAATAAATTCCTTCATTTCGGGAAATATTGCCCTTAAAAAAAAATAAAGAATGAAAAATGTCTTTTTAAAAAGTGATTAAACGATAGAGTCATTGGGTGAGTGATATGATGTGGATAAATTTTTTTTTCGCTCGACCCTCAAACTGTCAAGACGACGATATATAAGTATTATTAACTTTCGAAAAAGCTGCGAAGAATCTTTTCACACGCGACAAATCAAGAGATTCAATGCAAGCGATCGGCCCGATATGAAAGATCCGAAAATAGCAGAGAAGTCGTACATTGGATAGACGTCTGCTTGTATATATTATTATGAGATTGAAAGTTTTCTTTGGAAATCGTCGTTTCAACATTATTGTTTCCTTCAAAAATCGTTAGAAATCGATATTCATAAATCTATTTCAAAAAAAAAGAACAACAAAAAAGCTATACGCAATTTTTTCACGTGAAAAATTTTTCACCAAAAAACATTAGTCATTAAAATTTTTTTCTATTTCAAAAATAAAAAGAAAATTAAATTCTAAAAATTTTCATTGGTATTAAAAATTATTATTATATCAAAAATGTTTAATTTTAATTTTTATATTAAAAGAATATAATAAAAAAACCCTGATTTGAATATTATTTAAAAATTCAACAAATGGAAAAAATACCTGAATTCAGACTGAAGATCTGTGTAGTTGGCAATGCCTGATTTTTCAAGATGATCATCTGTAAAGCTTGGGAAAGCTCTCGGATAAATTTGCTCTTTATCGAGAGACTGAAGTGGAGATGATAATATTATATCTTTAGAGTGACAATGACATTCACTGATATGATTTCTGTTGTTTTTACTATCAGACAATGATCGTTTGTGCGTCCAGACTTTCTGTAAACAAAATAAATTAAATAAACAATAAAAAAACAATAAATAATACATAAACAATAAATATATAATAAATAAACGAATAAATTAATTAACATAAAATTTAAAAAAATTTGTCCATGAATTCATAGTAATGTAAAAACTGTTTTATTTTTCATTTACCAAAATATCAGGAGAGAATATTGATTAAAACCCTTTTGGTAATCAAATTTGAATAATTCAAATAATTCGAAAGTGAAATTAAAAAAAAAAACATTAAAATTAAAATGAGAAAATGTAGCAAACTAGCCTTTCTCCCCAAGGTCTCGATTCAGGGTCTGATCTCTGGAACGATAGAATAGTTCAGGAGATATATATACAATAAATTTATGATTCGGGGTCAAGTGATTGAAATGCTACAAAGTACACAAGAGTTGCCTCCTCTTAATTAATGAAAAAATGTGTTAATAAAATATTGAACTTAATCATTAATCTTCTACTTGATTGCAAAATATTTATACAATTTAAAAAATAATTGTTTCTTAATTGCAATAGACAATACGAATTAAAATATTAATTTCATTTCCTGTCATTTATATTTCAAAATTTTAATAATAATTAATTTTTACTCATTTCACTTTTTTCTAATTATTTTCAAATTCTAAAATTTAATATTTTCAATGTACTTGTTATTATTAACGATTTTTTAAAATAATTTATTAGCATTAATTAGTTAATAGAAAAGTATTTCTTTATTAGAAAAATTGACTTCATTGATTATGAAAGACAAAACATGAACCAGATTCATATGTAAGTTTTGTTTTAATTTTTTTTCGATTAGAAACTCAGGCATTCACTTTCTCTGTATTTCCTTTCTGTTCTTAAAATGTTTCTAATTGAATTAACATACTTAATGTTGATGATAAATCCTTTTTTTTTTTGCTTTTTGAAACAATTTTTAGAAAAAAAAACTTGCAAGGAAATTTATTTATTTTTAAAGGTCAGGGTTCTTGTATCAATAAAATGATTAGAGTAATTTTTTATCGCCCTTTCGAGAATACTAATAAATAATATACGAAAAATATTATACAGTTACAATTGATAGAACGAGTTTAAAACGATAAGGCAAGTGCTACCGTCGGATATATATATATAAATATTAAAATTCCCGCGACCTTCGCTCCAATGATAGTAACTTTAAGAGAGTGTTGCAGTTCCCCGTTGAGATTTTCGATTTGATATTTCGTATCGTTGAAAGAATTTTTGAAAAAAAATCTTTTTTTTGAAAAATTTATTCTATTTTATCCTCGATATTATCACACATTTTTCAATTTCTACAATTTTTCTTTTTCAAATAAAAAATTTTCATTTTTTTACTTTTTTTAAATTTTTCCTATTTTGTGATATTTTTTTCTACATTTTATAATTATTTTTAATTATAGCTTTAAAAAAAAAATTTTCTGTAATTCAAATTTTTTTTAAAATATAATTATCCATCATTTGAAATTGAAATAAAGTATTAATTTATCGTGTGCGCGCGCTCAAAAGGAAAATATTATTTTTCTTATATCAAATATAATAAACGAATTGGCGAGCGCGTTTGACTTTTGCCGCACTTTCAATATAATATTTATTCACGATTGCACTATGTAAAGAAACCGACTGGGCGGAAGAAACTGTCTCTAAAACGGAAAAGAAACATTCATTTTCAATAATTTTATAAATTATTTATTTATTTACGAAAACAAAAAATAGTTCAATGAAAATAATGACTTTGAAAAATAAATATGATTTAATTATAGATAATTATTTATTTAATTATTATGATAATTATTATTTAATTGATATTAACAATTAATATAAAAAAATTTTTTCTTTTATTTCTTTAGAAAACTAAAATTTTAGTAAAAAAAAAAAAATTGTTCAGAAAAGTGAAAATCTAATTCATATCAATATTCTGAATAAATTCTGTTTATGTTGAGATTATAAAATAATGATTATAATTATCATAATTTGTTTTCCGATATTCTCAATATTTAAGTATCATTTAGCAAAGAAGTTAGAAATTCTCAAAAGGCTCTAAAAAATCTCGTGTCATCTTTAAAATTAGAAATTCTAGGAATCGTTAAATGTTGGAAAATTTGAAAAGGGGATCGTTAACGATCAAGAGATACTTTAAAGTGAAATAGAACTTGAAAATAAACTAGACTTGAGATTCTTGGTAAAAAAAAAAAAAATTCACTGATTCAATTGCAAATTTCAATAAACGAAATATTTCATTTCTCAAACACGTCATGTTTAGAGTAGGAAATGTCAAGAAATCTTCTTATAATTCAATTTAATCTAATTTTTCTTTTGAATTGCAAATAAATAAAAGAAATATTTTTTTTTTCTTAATTTTCCAAAAACAGATGACCTTCGAATCAAGGGATAAGTAGTCATGACATGTGATCGCTGAGTAAAATAATGATCTATTTAAGGCTAGACTCTAGAGGCACGACCTTGCCTCAGGCTTTTCGATTAATTGTATAATTATCTCGTATGTTACCGATGCAGGTAAATGGATGCCATTCCTTTTTTTTTTTAAAAAAAAACAAAGAATGCAAATAATAACGAAAAAGATGATCTTGTTCTTAATAACCCCTGAAGGTCCCTATTCCAACTTTCACAATATTGCCAATGCAATCTCCAATATAAATACAGAAAATAGTCTTACACATCCCTTTAAATTAAAAATAATCAGACTTCTCGGATTAATTTCTTATTTTTATCGTTCAGAAAATTAATCTTCCTGACCTAAAAAAAAATTTTTTTTATTCTTCCAAATATTTCAAAAGAATAAGAATTTCCTTATTTTAAAAAAAAGTTAAAAATTCGACTGGGAAAAAATGAAAATAAAAATTGTGAAATCCCGCAGGTGAGTTTATATGTATTTTTTTTCTCATTAGAGTTTAATTAGAGTGCTTAAAAAATTATTAATGATCATTCGCAAAACGAAAACGGAAAGTTAATCTCAAGTACAAAGCAATAGACGCTGCTTCGTTTAATCATAATAATTCTTATAATCATTCCTGATCGGTGTCAATTGCTTCGAGATCCATTCTGTATCTCATCACACATATCAGCGTCTCGATCAGGAAAAACTATCGACTTGTAAATACAAATTAAAAAGAATACAATTAAAAAACAAATTAAACAAAACTCTTCAAAATACAGTGATAAAGTCTTTTAGATTGATAGATTAATTAAGTTCTAAACAAAGAGATTTTTATAATTTGTATATATTTTTTTTAGTATATTCATTTTTTCATTGAAAATTTTAAGATGGATTAAAAATAAAAGAAAACTGAAAAAACAAATTTAGAAATAATAATAAAAAAAATAATTTTAATAATTAAAATTCTTTTTTGTCCCATTTAATAATAAAATTCTAATTAATGTGCAAATTTTATGGGGCTGGACTAAATCTCTAATTTATCTTTTAGACTAGTCAAAAAAAAAAAATTTTCCATTAATTAGAATTTTGAAAAATAAATATAAAAAAGAAAGAGTAAAATAATAGAAATATGTGCAAAAAAAAAAAGTTATAAACTTAAAAAATTCTGAAATAATTTTAATTAACAATTAAATTTTAAAAAAATCTAAAAATATTATTAGAATAATTAAAGAACAAAAATAAATTATTTCATGTACTCTAAAATATTTCTAAATAGTTAAAAAAAAATTCAAATTCAAATAATTCTGTAAATTTTTCAATTTTTGTTTTTGAATATTTGTAATTAATATATTTCTCATGTAAATATAGTGAAAAAATATTAAAATTAAAAAATTGTCAATCCCAAAGGTAGAAAGAGAGAAAACGAATAAAGAAATAAAAAGAAATAAAAAACGAGGGAAAATATAAATAAATAAAAATTAATATAATAAATAATGAGAAAAGTTAAAAAAATAAAAATGAAATTTATTTATAAAAAAAATTTTCACTGACCTCTCGATTTTCTTCTTCATTTTCTTGTTTTGAATCCTTCGAGGGTGTATTGTAATTAGCAATGTCAACAGGATCACTGACAGCGACTTGTCGATCACCTTTCGAATTAATTCGATCGCACTCACTGTCGGAACTATCCTCTGCGCTTGACATCGCGGTTACTACTGACGATGTGAATTTGTTCACAATCTCATTTCCCGATTCAACGCCGCCACTATTATTGCTAATAGCGCTACACACTTCGGTCATTGAAGGCGAAACACCTTTAAAAAAATTATAATAATAAATCATTCCTCTGTAATCGACATTTATTTCGATTTTACATGTTTACAAAAAATGAAGATATTCTATTTTTTTCTGTGTTCAATTCTAATTTTTTCAGATTTTTCAGGACAAAAAATGGTATTTTTTTAGATTTTAGATTATTTTATTATTAACATTTTTATAATTAATTAAAATATTAATTCAGTTAAAAAATTCTAATTACAACAAAATCAAAAAAAAAAAATTTAATTCCTTTTTATCAAAATTGTAGCGATCACACGCTCGTTTGTTTCACTGGAAAGCCGAGGTTTTTTCGAATAAATGTATGAAAGTGGGATAACAATAGATTTCCGAGATTTAAAAATCAGGGAAAAAAAATGTATTGTTGTCCCAAGTTCATCTTTATTATATTTCATTGGAAAAATTCTCCGTTTTCCAATGAAAATGAAAAGAATGAAAAAAATATAAATAAAGAAAAACTCACCAAAATTTTCGTTAATCTCTGTTTTTTCATTGCTCGAAAAATGAAAAAACGGAGAAGCTTCTGGCATTGGAAATCGTCGTACGGTAACTTTACTGTAACTAAGATTACCATTTAATTTCGAATTTTCCTCTGTTAATTTCTCACTTTCCATAATTTCTTCTTTTGTAATATTTTTTCTCTCTTCTCTAAATTCTTCATTTTCCATATTTTCTGTGCAAATTTCAGTGTTATTTTCGCTAATTTTCAATTTCGTTTGATTTTCAAAAAATATTTTTTGTGGAAAAATCAATTTTGAAGGAGCAATAATAATAGCATTTTCAATTTTTGGTCTATCTGTTTTTGGCTCTGAAATATCATCATCATCATCATCATCATCTTGACAAAGAATTTTATCAGGCGATGCACTATCGGATGATTCGGAATTATTAACAATTGTTCGATATGTATTTTTTTCAAAATTAGTCAATATTTCTTTATTTTCTTTATTTTGTGCTGAAAGACTAATTGAACGTTTATTATCCATTTTATCATCATTATTATTTGCCTTGAGTGATTCAATATCGAATGGCCTCTGAAAAACGGAGAGTTTTCGTTTTGGAATTGATTTTATATTTAATGTTGGTGTTATAGAATAAGCTTCGTCTATTTTGTTACGATTTATTGCCTCATTTGAATCTATTGACGATTGCATTGTGACTTGTGCAATTGAATTAGAATTTTTCATTAAATTAATATCTGGCGCATCTCCCTTTGACATTAAATGATGAGATTCATCATTTTCTAGAGATTCGCCAGGAATTATTAACTCGGGATTTGGAGTCGGTGGTCTTGTATTTGTGTAAATGCATCTGCGTCTGAAAAAAAAAAATGAAAAGTAATAAATTGTTTTTTATTTTTTAAATGAATGATAAAATAATTACTTGTGATTTTTCGTAAAGAGCTCTTCTTGACGATTTGATACGTCATCAATCGAATCTTGAATAATTTGATCTAGGGCTTCTACAATTGGTTTTATAATGGAGTTCTCGTCGATTTGAACTTGAGAGGATTTTCCCTGAACATTCGAAATTTCTGCTCCTGATGAACTGCCTTTTTCAGATTCTCGATTCGCCGAGAGCGAAGTCATCGATGATTCTGACAAAGCCAATGATTCGTTCTCAATAGAGCCGCTGAAAATATTAAACATAATTAATATTTTTTTAATTAAATTCAAAAAATCACTAATGTTCAATAACAAGACATCTTGAAAGTTACTATTTTTTACTCGTTTTAATATTGGAGAAAGAATTTTGTTTTCTATCGAATTAAAGTTGGTAAATTTAATTAATTAATATTATTTGATTAAAAAGGAAAAATAATTTCTTTCCTGTAAATCAGAAGCAATCAAATTAATTATATATTTGTCGACAAAAGTCAATAGGTAACAATCTGAACAATAATGCGTTCGAGTTGATTTATTGGAACGATAATCCTTTCTCAGGATTGGAATGGGTTCAGAAGGTCGCATTTAACTCTGGTTAATTCAGTATTATGTATAAATGCAACGAAAGGTGAATTGGACTTGTTGGAACACCTACAATGTCGAGCACTAACCAGATTCTTGTGTAATCAGGTTTAAACACTTCGCAACTCTCCTCTATCATTCTAACGGGTGTTTCTCTAAATAATATGGACCACAACAAGTCCATTATATTGACAAAATGAAAATTCAAACCAAGTTAAAAAAATTAAATCAAAAAAAAAAAAAACATAAAAGTTTAAAAATAAAAATATCTATAAAGATTAAAAAATAAAGAACAAAAAGAAAAATTTAACAAAATATTCGAATACACTTACAAGCTTCTAATTTTGATCATTCAGGTAGATCTCACTTCAAATTATTGCAACTCCAAAATCTTCAAATTAGAAAAATGTAATTAATTTCAGTTTTAAATTTTACATTTTTTTTCTATGAAAAAATTTCCAATTCCAATTTAATAAAAAAAAGAAAAAAAATCTTTTAAAAAATCATTGTAAAAATAATTTCTTTCTTTGGAAAAAAATGTCTAAATGTGAAATAAAATAAAAGAAAGAAGTAAAAAAATAATTTAATATCAAGATTTTCTAAATAAAAGAATATTCGACTTTGTGATATTTTTCTAAAAAAAAGTGACTCAGTTTTGAAGAAAGGATGAATCGCGAGAGCAAAATGGTCCATTTAAGATTGAATGAAACGAAGAAACTACTTTAGACGTCTGTATTTTCTAATCGTATAAGTCGTGTCCGAGACCTTCATTCCTAATTGCATAAGCAATCAATGGTGCAGATGCCCGGTACAACTAATTAAAACCCTCTGACGTTTCTGTTAATTTAACAATCAATCAATTAATTATCGAACAAATCAATCGGTCAATTAAAATCTCAACCTTTGAAGAAAACATATTCATTTGTTTACTGAGAATGAATTTTCATTATTTTAACAAGTAGAATTTATAAAGAATATTTTTTTTCAATTTTAGAAATATTTTTAATTTTATAAAATTTAAATTTATTTTAAATAAATTTCTTGCCAAATTTAATAAATATTATTAATAAATATTATTAATTAATAAGAATTAATAATTTTAATAATACTTATGAATAATATTAATTAATTGGTAAAATATTTATAATATTCTTGTATTCATTGTAAAAAAAATTAAAATACAAAACATGTCTCGATAATTATTGATAACTGTTTCAATTAACATTAAAAAGCAAAAAAAAAAAAAAAAAATGAAATCCCTTAAATCACGAAAGTGCGTTTTCTTCTTTAAAAGAAAATTAGAATTTTAAATAGAGGTCAATCTAAGAATTATTTAAAAAAATGAAATATTTACATTCTTTAATAGTTTTCAGAAGAATTATCAATATTATTATTGAAAAAAAAATAAATTTATAGCTGACCTTAATAATTGAAATAATTAGAACGACGCTATTTATCTATTATAAATTATTCTTCTGACAATATGCGAATGTAAATTAAAAGTTGTGAAAAAAACTTTTTTACATAAATTACATTAGTGTAACGAAGACAAAGTATTTTTTTTTTTAAATTAAACAATAAAGATTACTGATTAATTAATATCAAAATCGTTTTCTAGATTTTTTTTTCGTAAAGAAATATCACTAAAGTCGGATTCATGTAACAAAAATTGTAATTACAATTATAATTTAAATATTCTGATTACAATTACAAGTTTTAAGTTGTAATTATAATTGTAATTTAAATATTCTAATTCTAATTATAAATAAATTAAAATAATAATTTTTAAATTAAATACTATAACGGCCACATTTTTGTTAATTAATAAAATAAATTTCAAGAAAAATTAAAAAAATTTATAATTTAATTATTATTCATGAAGTGAAAAAATAATTTTTGTATGTAATTGTAGGAGGTACTAGAAATTTTTTTTCAATATTTTCAAAAAATTGTTTTATAAATTTTATTTTGTAATTAAAAAATTAAAAATAATGAATAAATGTGAATTTAAATGAAGATTTTGAATATTGAAAATTTTTGTCACAAAAAATGGGTTTTCTTTTAAATCTCACAACTAAAAAAAGGCGATACACACGTGAGACTGATTGCCCGCAAAATCGAACGTGCAGTTCGAGTGCCATCAGCCGACTAAAAAGTTGCAGTCATATACCTTCGCACCACAACTATACGAGTGGATGTTCCCAGTAATCGCGAGGAACGTAAATATACACATGACTTCGCGAGTACAAGTTCACGTACACAATTACAATAAAAAAAAAAGAGAAAAGAATTCACGCTCTTTAATTCTCCCTTACAGACAAAAATCACCATTCAATACGAGGAATCAAGAGAGGCTGCATCAAACAATATTTATTTAACTGATTTTAACTCTGTTTCTTTACACACATAATTAATAATAATTGTTTTTAATCTTCATCAAAAAAAGAGCTTTAAAAAAATAGTATTTTTTTAAATAAACAAATGAAGCAATTCTAAATTATTTGAAAATTGTTTCTATAAATAATAACATTATTAATATTTGGAATTATTATTACATATTAAATTAAATTGTTCATTTAATTTAACAATTAACTTGTAATTAATTATATTTTTTCCAACTATTTAGAAAAAATAGAGAAAAAGTAAAAAATTTGATTCTAAACAATTTTTAATTAAAAAAACAAATTATGAAAATGTAATCAAATGTGAAAAGAAATGAAGAATAATGTAAAAATAAAATTATTTTTCTAATGAAATTGCTTTAAAAAAGACACTTGAGATGTAGCGCAGCTGGATTGAAAAAAAACAAATGGAGAAAAAAAATCGCAAATAAGGAACCAGACGAGACGGAAGAACGAAAGTAGTGAGAGGCAGGAAGGTACAATAAATAGGGCAAGGTCCTAAAGTGGTTCATGCAACATTACCAAGTAAATCGATTCAATTTTTTTTTTCTTCTTAATTCAGTTATAAAATTTGTTAATAACTTATCTAAAGAAAAGAGAAAAAAAATAGCACCAAACGAGCTGATTGTAAGCCAATTTAAAAAACTCGAAAACCAAATAAGAGCCCTTTTCAAGGACAACAAAAGACAATTTAATTTATTTTCCATTTTCCAATTTTCTTCTACAAATTCATGTAATTTTAATTTATTTCCTTTTTTCTTTTATCGGGTTTATAATTTTTAAAATTATAAATTGTCAAAATAATTTAAAAGTAAATTTAAAAAAAGGAATTTTAATTTCCATTTTCAAAAAAAAAACTAATAAAATATGGAGAATTTAATTCATTGACACTTTATAGGAGGAAACAAAATTTTTTAAAAGGGAAAGAAGGTCGTGTGTCTTTTTGATCAGGGCAATGCCCAAGGACATTTTGTCAACAAGTGCATCGTCCACATTTCTATTTTTACTAAAAAGAAAAAAAAAAATCTCGTGACCTTAAACCAGATTCTTTTATGTGGCTTTACGCGACAACGACATTGCGTTAGGTGTGTGAAGTTTTAATTTAATTTAAGAAGAAGTGACTTACGAAAATTGTCGATGAACTTTGGGATCCTCGATTGTAACTTGTAGGCAAAAATCTCTTTTTTCATTTTTCCTATTGACACGTTCTTTTACCTGCAAATATTACATTTTGTTTTTGTTTTTATAATAGTAAAAATTTACTATTAATATTGAACCATTAAAATTAAAAAAGGAAACAATTTTTTGTATAATATTATTTAAAAAAATTGATGTTATTTCCGTTTCTCTTTATCAAAAGAAACTTTCCTGTTAAACCATTCAAATTTCTAAACTTTCAATCTCCAGACCTTTCGTAACAATTTTTCCATCACAAAAGAGAGAGAGGTCAAAAATCTATCTAAAGTTACGATCTTATCTTTTGTCATGAAAATTGTATTTCATTTAACATGACGGTAAAATCAATAACTAAATTATTGTCAAGAAAAAAATCCACGTGTCAAGGTAAAAAGTTTATTTTTTCATTTAATTTTAATAATTAAAAAATCAATAGAAAATAATTCCTAACTTTTTATATAAAAATACTTTTTTTAATAATTAATAACAATATAATAATAATAATAATAATAATAAGTATTTAAAGTATTTTTACCTAAATTTCTTTTTTAGGGTATTTTTTTGTAAACTCGTATAATAAAATAAATAATATTTTTTGGAAAATTTTTTAAAAATCTTTCCCTTCTTTATATCAAGAATCCGATTTTATATTTGGAAAAAAAGAAAACAGATTCCTCCGTTTGGAATGTTTCCATAAAATGACAAATAGCCTTGTATTTTTACGTCATATTCGACTTTCTGACGTCAAAAACGTAAAATACGTTTTCCATTGATAATACAAATTTTGGTCTTAGATTATAAATTATAAATATTAAAAACTATAAAACTTATTCATAAATAACAAGATTAAGAAAATCACTCACCAAATTCATTAAGATGGCGATTTCCTGTTTAAGAATCGATAACTTAGAAACATTGAAGTTTTCATTTTCCAAATTTAACGTAGGAACGTAAGGCTTTTGATCTTCTAGCGATAAACTTTGAATAAAGCTGCAAAATAAATTGTAAAAATAATTAAAATTTTTCATTTTTGAAATTTATAAAAAATGGTGTTAATTAAATAATAAATAATTTAAAAACAAACTTTTCAATCTGTTCAGAAAAAGTGTTTAATTCCTCGTTGCACAAATTTAATTCTTCCTCCAGTTCGGCGATCTTTGAATCGTTTTTTGCACGTTCTGGCGAAAAACCCTGAAACATAAGACACTTTACATTTCTCTCACGTTCGACCTTCACCCAAGTAACTCAAATTTTTATTTTCAAATTTCATATTTTTTGTCAAAATAAATTAACTGCTTGATAAAATTTTTTTTCCCATTTATTAAAAGGAAAAAAACTCTTATTATTGAAAGCAAAAAATAATTATCCATTTTTAGAAAAATGAGAAATAAATTATAAATAACTTTTTCCTTAATTTAAAATTATTCTAAAAATAATTTTTTTTTATAAAAATCTTACGGAAGCTTTAAGTTCGGCGTATAATGATCTTCGTGGAGAAATTTTTGTAACTGTATAAGGAGTACTGTGCATCAATGAATTGACGTAACCGATCGGTGGGGTCATTGATAACTAAAAAAAAAAGGAATTTTGATAAATAAGATAAAAAAAAATTTTTAAGCATATTAAAAAAAATTGTAGCTTACCCGTGACGATCCACTATTATTACTTTTCATTTGTAGCTCTAGATTCTGATTAACTAATTCTTGATTCTTTTCTGTGAGATACTGCAAAGAATTTTTCAATATTTAAAAAATTTTCAACTAAATTTGATTATTTGATAAAATATTTTTGTTTTGTAATTCCGTAAACTTTTGTAAATTAATAAATTTCAAAATATTCTATTCATAAACTACTGTAAATTTAAGGGGAAAAAATAAAATTTACTTGAATTGAACTTTCATAATTCTCTCGACAATTGATGTGTGAATCTTCTAATTCGACGATTGTGTCTTTTAATCCGCTACATTCGATGCATTTATCGTTGTATGCTTTTTCACATTCATCATATTGTTTTTTAAATATTTTCTTCTCCTGAAGAATATGTGACACTTCATTTTTTAAGGCATTTATGCTTTCATTCTACGGAAAAATTAGTAAATAAATATAAAGAATTAAAAAAATTAAAGAACAAAAATTTGAATAAATTTTCTTTTTTTACTCACGTGCTTTTGAACGGATTCTAGTTTAGTTTTCAAAATTGCATTTTCTTTAAGAGTCTTTTGCAATTCTAGCTTGCTAGATTTTTCTCGTTCCTCAGCTTCGCTGAGAAGATCTTTTTGCTCATCGATTTCCTTTTGTAAATTTTTGTTTTTAACTGTCAGTGATTCTCTAAAAATTAAAAATTTTAAATTATAATTAAAAATTAATTACTTTAATTATTTTTTTTTAATTGATTGATTGAATAACTATAATTAATATTTCAATGTATAATACTCACAATTTGCGATTAAGGGAATTTATTTGTTTGTGAAGATTAATATTAACATCCTCAATGCGAAGAATTTCTTCTCTAAGAGATGCATTTTCCTCATCAAATTTTCGTATTCGAAGTCGCAAATCAATTGCTGCATTAACATCATATCCCATTTCAATTTCTGAATCTGCGCTTCTATCTGTTAAACTAATATTAAATTGTTGAGATATTTTACAATAAACATAATATTATAAATAACGTATAATTTATAGATAAAATTCGAGAAATTGACAATATTTTAATAAGTGGAAAGAAAATTTTTTTTAAATGCTTACCCTCTAGTACTATTGCTGTCTGGACTATAACTCGAGACATTGACAACATTGATAAAGGCTAAAAAAAATACAGGAAAATAAGTTAATTTTAGAAAACATTATAATTAAGATAATTGTAAAAATGAATTTTAAAGAGTTATTTCAACATATACAATTAAAATTTTGTAAAAAAATTTCCATTGCATTGAAAAAAATTCCATTGTAAAAAAAAAGAAAATTTTGTTGTAAAAAAATTTCTAAAAAAATAAATAAATAAAACAATTTTATATTATCTAATATAAAAACAATTTTCGCATATGTAAAAAAAGTATTTAATATTTTCCGAATAAAAATTATTTCATTAAAAATTTTTTCTATTTAATAGTAAATCAAAAAATTTTGTCTCAAATAAAAAAAATTATTTATATCTAAAATATTTCTTTATACGCCTAAAATATTATTACATATGGTAAATTTGAATTCAAACGAAAATAGACAACGATGAATAATGTAAATTTCAGTGTTTTGTTGAGACAAACTGTTGAGAGAAAAAAAATGAAAAGAAAAAGGAAAAAAGAAGTATAGTTGATTCTGAGAAGTAAGTTTATCTTCTTATACATTAGCTTTTCAGTAGAAAAGAACAACAATGATCAGACAAGGCAAGAGATATTTTACATTTCATATAGTAGAGACTGATATTCACAGACAGACAATGATTTTTTTTTTAAAGCGCGTAGAATTAAAAAAGAGATTAAAATTGATTAAAAAAATAATTTAAGAAAAATTACTCACGTAATGAAGATTGACAAACTTGATTGCTATCCTTTTGATTATTTTCACTATTTTTTGATTCTTCACCAGATGAACTTGAATCTCTCGTTAATTCATCACTGTGCCACTCGGATACGTAACGATACATATTTTCTTTATTTCTTAAAAAAATGAAGAAAAAAAACTATTATTAATAAACATTAAAAATTTTTCATTTAAATAATTAAAAAAATTAAATAAAAAACATTGTAAAAAGTATTATTTAATTTTTAATAAATAAATTTCATTTTTACTTCTTTGTTACTTATTCTAATTATACGAAACAAAAAAAATTTAAATTACAATAATTGTAATAATTTTTTTTTGTTATCCGGAAAGAAATATTTCTTTTTTCAAACATAAATTACACTTTTTGTTTGTATGTTTTTTACAAATAAAAAAAAATGTTTCTTGACAGATTTATGTTGACTCTACATTACTGAGATCTACCTTGAACTTCAAGTAAAATATTTTAAATTCTTATAAATATCAATACGTTTCAAACGAAACTCGATAATATTCACAAGTTACATAATGAGAAGTCGGTGAAATGAAAATAAGTAGAGTAAGTAGCTATAGAACGTAACAAACTAGAATTAAAAATAATTGTTTTTTTTTCTGCAGAACGTTTTTTTTTTTTTTTTTTTTAAAACGAAACGTTACAAACATTTTTTTAATTACACGACAATGAACTTGCATTTCATTAAATCTTTATCTTAAATTTAGTTTCCAATAAAAAAAATTTTATTTTAAACAAGATTCTTAAATTCTAAAAATTCACATTTTTAGCTTTAAGAAAAATTCGAAAAAAAATGTTCTAAATATAAAATTTGAAAAGTGTAACAAATTATTATTCGGACAAATTTTGCTTTGGTTTAAAATTTTAAATGAAAATTTCATAAATATTGAAATGTAAAATAATTTCTAAATTAAAATTTTTAAATTTTTAATTTGTCCATGAACAAATTTTCGAGCACCCTATACATCAACCACCTGTTTTGCCACGAGTGAGTGGCAATATCAGTCTAATCACAAAACAAGCGCTGCACTCACAAAATATAAAAAAAAAATACTAATAATGTCAATGTTCGTTAACACTTTTTTTTACAACGAGAAATTATCAATTTCACGTCAGGTTTTTGAAAAAAAAACAAAACAAAACAACACTTTTGTTGTATTAAAAATTAAACGATTTTGAATTTAAAATAAAAACACAAATATATTAGATTCAGATATATACATATATCTTCAATGAAACTTAAGTAACCATAAACTCTTTTCAGCAACGTGTGTACCGAACTAACCGAACTAACAATATTAACAACGCCAAGGCTTATCTAAGCTCGAGTCGCTATATAATACATACCGATATATCAACAAACTGCAACTGCTCTTTTCTCTCCTACCTTTGGTGATTGCTAAATAAACTGGTAATTTTCTTATAAAAATTCCCAATATTTTCTATTAATAATTCATTTTTCCCCCGCTTTAGATTATCATCAAGTAAAATTAATTCACGTGTCTGAGAAAATTACAATGTATTTTAATAAAAATTATTGTAAATTCCATAAAAAAAAAATTTTCTCCCTTATTCATTTTCATTTCCAAAAAAAAAAACTATTTTCAAAAATAATTTTAAATACATATAATTTTTAGAAAAATGCCATTCAAAAATAGTTACAAAAAAAATATATTTACAAGAATACAAAAATTATATAAAAAAAAACCGCAACGACTTTACGTCAAATATAATTGACTGACTCTTAAAAAATACAAAAACTATGAAATAGTAATATTTTTTTAATAGTTTTTTTTTATGAAAAAAGTGTATTTTTCAAAATTGAAAAAAAAAATAATAAAAAATCAAATTGCAAAAAAAAATTATATTCTGAACTTACTCGTGATTTTGAATGTTATTATTTCCATCCTGCTTTTTACAGGCTTGAAGACTAGAAATCCAAAGGCGTGAACCTTCTTTAAATAATGGCCAATTAACAAAGCCGTTTGGTGCAACTTTTATAAGAGATTTACGAAGATCATCAAAAAATTCTTTACTGCAAAATTAATGAACAAAATTTTTAGTAGCTATAATACAAAAAAATAATAATAATAATAAAAAAGCGACTCTAAATTTAAAATAAAAAAATAACTTACTGAAATTTATCACTAAAACTTTTGTACAAATATTCAATTACAGATGATATTGACACCTCTTCATCTAACGCGGAACTTGAAGAGGATGAAGAAACTCGAGACGATCGAGTTGAAATACATTTCAAAAAAATGTTTCTTTGTATCACTGGAAAAAATAAAATTAAATTCAAATTCGAAATTGAAATTAAATAAACATTGTTTACTATTTAATAAATTTTAAATAAATTCTAAATTAAAGTTATAATTTATGTTACTAATGCCTTATTCATAAAATATAATATCAAAATTAAAACATAATAGAATAAATATAATAAATAAAAGGATATTCTCAAAAAATATAAAAAATTCGTTATTATATATTCAATTGGAAAAATTGTATTACCATTTTGAAATATGAGTGTCAAAAAAAATTGAAATTACAGGTTATGAATTAATTGTACTTTTAACAATCATATAATTATCTCACCTTCATATTTAGATTGTTCCACTTTGTCACACATAGTAAATATAAATAAAAACAAGAATCCTCAGATAATAAACTTAGATTGAGAATAGCAAAAAAAAAAAACACTTCGTAACCGGCAAACGAATTCACACACGTTTTTACTGAAAAACTAACACATTTCTCTATTACGAGTAATTTTTCCTTTACTTAATCATTAAACAAACGTAAAAAAAACTAGAAAATATTAATTATAAACAATAACATGAAGAAAAACATAAAAATTTACGAAAAGGAAGAAATAAATTACAACCTAACACGAGGATCATCATCACGCTGATTTTGTTTTTAACTGAAATATCGAATCGAATATATATCGAAAATAATGATTTAAGCGGGAAAACTCAAATTTAAAAATAATGTGATAAAAATAATTATTGAAAATATTTTTTATTTCTTATTTAAATACCCACATATAATTGATTTTCTGAAAAAATAGATTTCTGGTAAATTTTACACAATAAAACAGAAAAAAGGAAATTTTATTTAAAATTCAATTTGACGTTTTTTTTTTAATTTTGATAAAATTGGTAAACTTTGCTAACCAAATCTGCCTTTTTAGCATTACTAACGGCAATGTTATGTTGGACCAAAAATTCTTTTAATACTGCAACTGTTAGACTATTTACCTGAAATAGTAAAAAATATTAAAATTTTTAATTTTCAAGAATAAAAATAATTTTCTTTAATTAAAAAATAAATTACCGTTTGTGCTTGAACATGTTCGAGAATCATTGCGTCATCAACAATTTTTCTTCTCTTCGCAGGTACTTCACATTCATTCTGTGAGAAAATTCTTCTATATTCTGGCAATACGTCCGCAAGTCGTTCCACAAGTTTTTTCGACGGTACTGTAAATGAAAAAAAAAGTTTTTTTTTAAATTTCGTATTATTAGCAATTATTTTTGAGTTTAAATGTCCCAAAATTTTATATTAGAAAATATTTTCAAAAAATTAAGTTTTAGTCACAATAGTTGAAATATTTTTTTTTACGTGTAGTATCAGGAGGTACGTCAACTTCCTCCATATCTAAAGCTAAAGCTTCGATATTTGCAATTAATGTTCCAAGTTTTGGATTTTTAAAAGCACTTGGATCATATTTTATTCTTGTTTTTTTGACAATTTTTTCAAAAATTTTCTTTGCCTCCTCACTTGGTGAATGTGACCAATCTTTATGATAAATCCATGTTGATAAAGCCTTATCTAAATTACGAACATGATCTGCAAATATATATTAAAAATAAAATCATTATTAAATTTCGATAATAAAAATTAATTATTTTTTATTTACCTTCGTAAGCCATTTTGTAAATATAAAAGCCACCTTTTTTTGTATTTGGATAAAGATAAAATATATTTGGAGCCGTATACATTCTATAATTAATACGACAAACAATCATCAATTCCTTAGCCTCACATTTATCAACTAAAGTCGAAAAAAGTTGTTTTTGCGCTAAAATTAAAATAAATTTTTTCATATAAAAAGTGAAAATCCCTCTATTAAAATATTTTAGAAATGTAATAAAAAAAATATAATAATAATTGAATATTTTCCATTAAATTTAACTTACATTCACTAGCTTCTGTTTTACTGAATGTAACAAATTTTGCACAATCCACATGATACATGGGATCACATTCAATAGGCTTGAAACAAAGTGTTTCAATACCTTTATTGAATTGTTTGAACATCAAATTTAATTCTTTTACATCGAATACAAGCTTTCTATCCCCGTGTGCTTGAAATTTTGCCAATCCACCAGCATTAACCACATTAGAATTAAATTGCTCTTCCTAATTTTTTTTTACAATTAGTGTAAAATTAAAAAAAAATAATTCAATTAATATTTCGAATTTTTTTCTTTAAAAAATTGAAAAAAAAAAAATTTTTTTTTCAACTCACACTTTCAACATCATCAACGTCATCTTCAACTTCATCCGTTTTTCTATAAACAGTAGAACTTTTTAACTGTTCATTTGTTTCTCTATTTATATGAACCATATCTGGAAATCTTGTCTCCCTGAAAATTGAAACAATTTTCATATAAAAAGTAAATTAAATTTATAAGGGAAATTTGAAAATTTAATTAAAGAAGAGAAACAACTAACGTTGAAATTGTATAAATCGAAACTGGAACAACAACATTTTTGCCAAATATCCAAGGAATATTTGATATAGTTCTCGATGGAAATTGAATTTCCTTTTCAAGATCATTAAGTTGAAGTGGTATATAAATATCAGGAATCATTTTACTGGAAATAATTTCAAGTTCTTTGTAAAATTTATTATGATCAAATCCATTTTTTAAGCCAATTACACGAAAATCAATTCCAAGATTTTGAAATGTTGCAACTCTCGTTCTTATTCTATGAGCTTCATCAGGATGATCAAAAGTTGGATTGTCTTCACATGTTAAAAGATAAATTTTACGTGAAATAAGTACTGTTCTCACGGCAGAAAATGCTTGAGCCGCATGCCAAAGTGCATCGTGTAAAGGATATTTTGAATCGGAACTCAATAAATTAAAATATCCTTCATGATTGTCAACTGAAATTTTTAAAAACCATATTTTTTGAACAATTTAAAATCGTTAAATAGTTTTTTTTCATATATAATTATAAAATAAAAGATTATTCACTTTTTCCCTTGATCTCCTTTAGCATATCAAGTGTGACTTTATGAAATTTTTGTACTGTCAAAACATTTTTCGTTTCTGGATCTTTATCCCATTCACGTGTTCCAAAGAGAATTAAACTCATTTGATCATCACGATTAAATCCACAAAGCATTTGCATATTATTTTTATAAATCTAAAACGTTTAAATATATTTCATTTTTTTATATCTAATTAATAATTTATATATTTTAAATATTGAATGCACTTTTTTTTTTATTTATTTTAATATGTAAATTTTTTGCAATTTTTACCTGAACACTTTTCATAAAGGGAGTTTCTTGGGAATTGGTATTTTCTTCAAACATTGGAGGAGATGTATCTATTAGAAAAAGAGTCGCTTGACGAGGTTCAAGATGATCACGATCACTTATTTCCTCGTCATTTTGTTGTGTTCCCAAAGTATTGGTGAAAAATAATTCTCCTTCGTTCATGATTAATTTTTTTTTTTTTTAATCAAATCACAAATGAAAATTTAATATCAATTTTCTGTTTTTTTATTAAAGAGAAATCTAAAAAGTAGCAAAAAAAAACCATAACATTAAAAAAATATTACTATAATTCGAAATTATTTTTTTAACTTATTAAAACGAAAATAAAGAATATAATAACAATTTTTTCGTAAGATTTAAAAATAATTATATTATTTAATTGCAATCGAGCCGGAACCCGGTGATAAACATAACCTATAAATTCTACTGCGCACTATCGATACGTTCGATACCAATAATTACGTTTCGATATATGTCGATAAAGAAGAATAACCTCCGAAATGTGACACTTTTGTTGTGAAGAGCGCATGCGCCTTATAAACCTCGGGTATTTACTTATTCATCCCTGCTCACACATAAACATTGTCAGTTGTATTTTCATTTTTCAATTTACAATTATTAAATTTGTTTTCAAAAAATATAACATATAATTAAAATAGTGCATAAACCGCATTTAAAATGTAGTAAAATTAATTCATTTTCATGCAACATTAAAGTAAATTTTTTTTTCACATCACTTTTTTCTAAATATATAACTTTTATTAACGTCAAACAAAAATCACTGGTGATCTTTCAAAATGCAAGTTTTTAAATCAATGGATCGTCCATTTCATTTGTTGGCAGATAAAGAGAATTATGAAAAGTATTCCACTTTAATAAAGGTAAGAAATAAATAAATCCTTCTATTAAAATTTTATTTATAATGTTTTTCTATTTTGAGGTTAGGTTCGCCTTCAAATTTATATAATTTATATTATAAAATCAAATATAGTTTTAAATTGTTTAATTAATTTTTCATGGGGCGTTATATTTACTTTTTTTGATATAATATTTAATATTATATAATTGGAAATTTAAATATATTGATATTAATTATGAATTTTTGCGAATGAAAAGTAAAAACAGTTTATTTTTACTGTTATAGAATATATTTTTTGTATTTAATATAATTAACGAAAAAAAAAACAATTTCAGGCAAATGGGGGAAAATTAACAACAAAACCAACGTTTAATTCACTTATTTGTACTTCGAAAAAATATCGTTCATCTTTCAAGAATACGTATAAATTGGAATATATTACCGATTGCATTGAGAAGGAAGAAATATTAAGTTATTATTTTTACAGGTATTAAACTTCTTCTTAACTATATTTTTTAAATATTAAATAATTTGTTAAATAAATATTATATTTATATATTTTTTATAAATAAATATTATTTAAATATTAAAAATTTTTCATTTTCTATATTTACAGTTGGAGTGAAAATTTTCAAAAACGATGTGGAAATTGTACGCTTTTATTTAAAAGTATTGTCTGTCTTGGGTGAGAATTAATTTTATATTAATTGCTATTATATAATAAAATACTATTCTCCGTCTAATAGGAATTTCTTGTTTTTAAAAATTGGTATTAACAATATTTTTCTTTCAAAATATTTTTCAGTCCCTCTAAATGTATTGACAATGAAATTAATTTAGTGGAAAACATTTCAAATCTTCCAACGGGTACAAATAATTTGCCATTGAATATTTCACCTATACCGAGCACTTCGAAAGATAAAGGTAAAAAAAATATAATAATTATAACAATATAAAATAATGTAAAAGAAATGTATTTTTTGATGAAAAATATTTTCAAAAAATTTATGATAAATAATTTAATTTCAGAATGTTCAGCTACAAATAGAGTGGAAGTGACAAAAGGTATAATAAGTTCAACACAAAAAAATAAATCAACAACAACAGATGACGAGGAAGTGGAAAATCGAAATTGTCCTTCATTAAATCAACAAAAGAAACAACCTCTTACACAAAAATGCTATTTAAATATAAATATCGAAAAAATAACAGGACCGGAAGAAAAAACATCATCGCAAAAATTAATCAAACCGATGACTATAGAAAAAAATCAAGATAAAATTCGAAAGGAACAATTAAAATCTCAAGAAAATACAGAACAAAAACTTCAAGAAAAACTCAAATTTTACAATATACGTCCCTCAATTGTGATTTGTGAAAAATTACAAATTTCTCAATCATTTAAAATTACAAATAATAAAAAACGAATTTTTCCATCTGATAATGAATCAGATGAAAGTGATTTCACATTAAAACGTATAAGAAAAAAATCCAAACAAGTTATAGCATCCGATGATGATGATGATGATGATAATGATACGGACAATAATTTACAATTAAGAAATGATAAAAATTTTAAAAATATTACAATTGATTTAGAAAAATGTGATGATATTGTTAATTTAAATAAAAATACACAAAATTCTAAAAAACGTAAAATTGATGATTCAATGGAAAATAATAACAACAAAAAACGAATAACCATTGACAAATTAAAAGAAAAAAATAATTCTCCTCATAATGAGAATAATAAAAGTAGCGATGATTCTGATCATGAAAATATAGCACGAATTTTTACACAAAATTCAATTAATGATTCAAATGATGACGATTTATTTGAAAGTGTTTCAGCAAATTCCAATAATGACGACGACGATGATGAAAATTTAATACCAGCTGAACAAAATCGTTCTGATAGTTTTAATAGTTTAGAAGTATTTCCATCGTCAATGCCATTAAATGTTTCAATGGATGAAATTCCAACTAGTACACAAAAAACAATTTCACCAAATTCTCAATCAATTTCAAGGGAAAAAAATGGAGGAAAACAGATGGAATCAAATGTAAATGTTAATTTTCAAAAAGAATTTGAAATTTCAAGAAAAAGAAAAAATAGTGAATTATCGAAAAATCATCAACATTCTAATTCAAATATTAATAAATTGAATTCGACATCAATTAGAAAAAATAATGAAATTTCAATGGTGAATTTAAATGAAAGTAGTCAAAATGAAAATATACAAAATAGCCAACTTTTTGATTTATTTGGTAATTTAAATGAAATTTCACTTTTAAATGTAAATAATGGTAAAAGAGTTAAATTTCGTAAAGGATGTAGAAAAAATAGAGAAAAATCGCCAATTTCCAATGATAATTTAAATTCAAATGAAAGTGATAATTCTCAACGAGAATTTTCAAAAAATCGAAAAAAATCACGAATTTCCAACACGAATTTAAATTCCAGTGACGAAGAAAATTTTCAGCGAGACGTGTCGAATAATCAGAAAAAATCACAAATTTCCACAAAGAATTTAAATTCCAGTAAAGAAGATAATTCTCAGCGAGAAATTTCGAAAAATCGAAAAAAATCACCAATTTCTGTTATAAATATAAATTCCAGTGATGAAGATAATTCGCAGCGAAAAGTTTCAAAAAATCGGAAAAAATCACGAATTTCCGTCATGAATTCCAGTGAAGAAGAAAATTCTCAGCGAGACGTATTGAAAAATTATAAAGAATCGCAAATTTCTACAAAGAATTTAAATTCCAGTAAAGAAGACAATTTTCAGAGAGAAATTTCGAAAACTAGGAAAAAATCGCAAATTTCCAAAATAAATTTAAATTCTAGTTCAGAAGGAGACAATTCTCAGCAAGAATTATCCAAAAATCGGAAAAAATCACAAATTTCCGTTACGAATTTAAGTCTCAATAATAAAGAAAATGATTTTTCGCCAGATTTTTCCAATAATTCCCAATCTTCCAATTTAAATGTGAATTCAAATGAAATTTTCACCTCGAATTTAAATTCCAATAATAATGATAAAAGAGACAATATTTCTAATGACATCGATATTTCAGAAATAATTCCAGAAACTGATAATGAAAGTTCCAGTTTAAGTGCAAATGGAGTTTTTACACAACGAAATTTTAATTATAATGATACTGAAATTGAAACACAAAATACTCATAATAATTCGAAAAATTCACAAGAATTGATAGATGAAAATAATGATATTAATGATTTACTCGATTCAGATGATAGAGAAGCATTATTGCAAGATGATTCAGAAACTGATTTTGAAAGTACTCTTCCGGAAAATATTGTTAGCGATTCTATTGTTGAAATAGAGGTGAAAAAGGAACCAATTCATATATCGATAATTACTCTCGATGATGATAATGATATTGAAATTATTGCAAGTCAAGAAATTAAGAAAATAACAACAAAAATTGAAAAACAAACACAATCTTTATCGCAGAATGAACAAATTATTGAGCAGGGGAAAATAATGGAAAATAATGATTTAAATAAAGGGGAGAATTTAATTTCTCATATTGAAAAAGAATCGCAACATTTTACATTGGATGCTCCAAATGAAGGGGAGAATTTTAATTCTTCAATTATCGAGAAACAATCGCCAAATTTTAGTTTTGAAAAAATTAATGAACAGACAATTAATAATCAACAAGAACAATCAATTGATCCTCGAATTATTTCTCAAATTTATCAACAAATTGATCAGCAAATTAATCAAGAAATCATTCAACAAATTGATCAATCAGTCAATCAGCAAATTGATCAAGATGAACAACAAATTGATCAACAAATCGATGAAGAAATCAATCAACAAATTAATCAGGAATTAAATCAACAAATCGATAATCAAATTGATGGAGGTGATCATAATATTGATCAGGATTTAGAACAAGAAATTGTTCAACAAAATGAAGGTGAAATTTGTCAAGATAAAATTGATGCAAACGGTGAAGTAGATTATTCAGGTGACACTATAATCTATGAAAAGGAGTTAAATAAAAATCAAGTAAAATGTAAAACGAATAAAAAAGATCAATGGAAAGAATTTTTATCTAGTGATGATGAAGATGATATTATTGTTGATGACGGTAATGATAAAGAAAATTCTATGAAATTCAAATTTAAATTAAACATTAAAAAACCACAGGAGAAAAAATCTTTATGGGATAATTGGTGTAGTTCAGATAGTTCAGAATAATATATTTTCAAAATTTTTTCAACAAAAAATTTAATTATTTGTGTATTAAATTTTAATTTATTTATGAAAACTTAGATATTTTATTTCGTTTTTTTTTCTATAAAAAATATAATGTAATAATATAAATACGATAATAGTTTGTGAAAGTAACAAAATGTAATGTGCAAGTTTTAATTTATTTTTTTGCTTAATATTGTAATGTATAAAAAAAATTCATAAAAATAAAAGAAATAAAATTATTTTTCTACAAATAATTGAAGGAAACAATTAAAAAAAACATAACTATTTAATTAATTATCATTAAATCTCAATTAAAAATGTAATTATTTGTGTTTATTGTATAAATAGTATATTTTTTTATTTTAATATTATATGTATGTATTCAGTAAGTGTCAATTTATTTTTTTTCGTTTTTAAAGTATTTTGTAAATACCTGTTACCAATATAAAAGTGTATACCTAATTTCGTGTAATTAATTATGTAAAGAAAAACAAAATAAAGTTTATATTTCTTATACATGTTTATTTAATAAATAATTCATTATGAGTTACTTTTCTTTTATAGATATTTTCATTAATTTTTTAATTATTTAATTTTTATTTATTTCAATTTATGGTTAAAGTATTTAAAATAATGTTTTAATTATTTAAATTTGTATTAAAAATTTTAATTAAATTGATAAGTTAATAATAATAATCTAATCTAATAATTAGATAAAATATATATTATTTATCAATAAAAAAGTAAAAATATAAATAATTTCAAATTTAAATGGCGCGCCACAAAGTCATGCGCAAAAACTGTTGCGCAGCTCAAACTTTTTTGAATATTCTGTGAGAAAAAATAAGTAATTTATGTTTTTTGAAAAGTTTTTATTTAGAATAAATCGAATAAATAATTTAGAAACAAAAGGGAAAGAGAATTTTTGTTCTTTTCTATATATTTTTTAAATTTGTTACAATATAAATTTTCGTAGGAAAAATTAATTTTTTTTTTGTTACTGACTTCACGTCAATCTCGAAAAAATTTTTTTATTTCCTGTTCAGTTTCCCGCCTTCCGCCGGTAAATTCACAGGAAAATCCTTGCTGTGAATGTACTGTGTTTTTATGTCGACTTTTACTCTTGTTTTTTTTCCCAATTACAACAATTTTGTGTAATAATTTAAATAATTTGTTTGTTTATAGAAGTTTCAGGACATCTTTAAAGCAATAAAGTAAGTGTCATAATAATAATCTTTTCTCGACAGTTGTTACTACTCTTTTTCTTGATTATCGTTCAACATAACCTTACTTTTTTGAATTCTATCAATAATTCTTTTTTTTTTATTCTTTTTTATATTTTACATAATTGTTATTGATTGAAATGTAAAAAAAATTGATTTTTTCAATTAATTTATATTTCTGCTCTTTTATAGATATAACTTTTTTGTGAAAAAATTTATTATTTCGTTTTTGTTGTAAATTATTTTTTTTGAATTTGTTTTCTCTATTAGTTTAATTATTATATGTGTATATTCTTTTAATTTTCAGGTTATTAGAGATTTGCAAAGTGAATATTTATGTGTTAAATAAATAATATGAGAGCAAATTTATTTTGGAAAATAAAATTGGAAATAGAATTTGAAATTTGCGATAAATTTTATAGTGATAGTTGTGATATATGTAAAAAAAAATTATAACAACAAGTGAAATATGACATCGACAATTCTTAAATGTGTTTTTCCGCGAATACCAGCTGTAATTGCTTTTGGCGATCCTATGCTAGAATCTCTAGTACAAGTCAGAGGAAATTCAATTATGGTGAAACATAATATTAGATTTAATGGAAAATCAGAATTGCCACTTGAAGAGACGGAGCGACTTTTACGGGATCTACCACCAGAGTGAGTAAAATTTTTTCTTTTTTTAAAATTATATAATTCTTAGTATTTACATTGGTTTTTAAAATTTGCACAAAAATGAAATAATAATAATTATTAATAAAATAATAATTATTATTCGAGAATAATATTTAGTTCCCCCCTGGAAAATAGTTACCCTAAAGGGACATTTAAAAAAAATATATTATTTTTAAAAATAATAATTAAGATAGCATTTTTTTCTCAATTTTATTATTTAAATATTTAGAGAATTTTTTTTTACAGTTAATAATTTAATATTTTTTTTACATTATAATTACTGATAGGTAAAAAAATAATTTCCTTCCTTTTAAAAATCTGGATTAAATTATTCGAGGTTTATAAACAGAATTTTTAAAAGTTTGTTGATTTAAAGTACGATCACCTGAAAAACAAATTTTGTTTTATGCTGATTGTTAAAAGTCAATTTTTTTTTTAATTTTGCAAATATACTACCTTTCAACATATAATCCTGAATTTGCATATATTTTTATTTATCATCAGTTTATCAATAATATATCATCTTTCAAAAAACTATGATGACAATTATTTATTGTCATTAAAAACAATTTTTATATCCACAACAAAAATTAATTTTAAAACACATTTCGTAATCAACTTTTGTCGTAATTAAAATTTTTATTTTATAATTCTATTTCCTTTTGTCTCATTAAACAATTATAAATCGAGTAAGCCAATCGGAGAATCTAAATTAAAATAAAGAAAAAATTTTAATAACATTAAACTAATTTTTATTTTCTAATTAATGAAAAATGTTTTTAAAAAAATAAAATTAATGTTTAATAGAAAATGGATAAAATGAAAATTAAACAAACAGAAGTAAAAGTATCTATTGATAGTGAAACAATTGGTCCAGCATTAAATTGAATTGGTATATTCGAACGTTTTATAATATAAATGAGACTTTTTCTTGATTTACTCGACAATAATGTCCAATCAGTGCTAAAGACTGCATATCCAATTTCTTTGCTCTAAAAAAACAAATTTAAAAAAAAAATTTTTTTTTTTAAAAAAGTATTTTTGCAAATTAATTTTAAATCGAAAATTCAAATACCTTTTCCATTACTAAATTGCCATGCCAACAAAATACATACATTTCAGCCATAATACTTGTTAATGATAGAATCATTGACCAAAATTTTACCGTTGTTACACTAAATGTTGCCAATAAATAAGTACCCGAACAAACCTCCAATGTTGTTACAATTAATTGACAAAGAAATATCAATTCAAAAAGATCATTTAATTTATTTCGAAAACTGAAATTAATTTTATTTTTCTTCTTTTTCTAGATTATTGACAGTAATTTTCGGTATATAGGGGAAAAAAAATTATGCCCAAAAAATGGCGAAGTTTAAAAAAAAAGTGAATTATTATTTTTTTTTACACCAATTGTCTACAATAATTTAAAAATTATTTTTTTACTCACTGATAAATAGAATTGTGATGCTGTATCCAATCAACAAGAATAGTTTCTTCTTTTTTGGAATAATTCAAAAATTCAGTTTTATATAAAATTGGAAATATTTTCATTCGATGTATCAGTATTTCAATTTGAGCACATAATTGAAGAAGCATTGTTATTATAAATGAATCACTTGCTGCTATTACATTAGTAACAATTATTGCACCTAAACTTTGAAATAAAAATGTCAACCAAAATATTATTCTATTTTCAAGTGTATACGGAATCCATCCATTATAGGGAAGTGATGTTAAATCTCCTCTTAATAATGGTATTGTTGTTTTTGCTATTAATGTCAATATCACAAAACCAGTAAAAATAATTGTTCCAGTTCTAAGAGGAAACGGGAAAATAGATGAGATAATTTTTTATTGTAGTCAGAAGAAAATAGTTTTCTTAAAATTTGTCTTTACCTTCCAATTGTATCAAATTCATTTTGAATGCAAATTTCATCATTATCACGAGGTGCAAATTGTTTATTAAGTAGAATATCCGTTATTTCGATAATTTCCCCACGATTTGTGAAAACAACAATCATTTTTAAACAACCGGAAAATAATGCAAGAATGTAAAATAAATTATCATTAAATTCCTCCATGTCTGTATTTTCCATAAATATGTAAAGGAAATTTGATATTGTAAATAGTGTCGTTAGAGAAAGTACAAAAATATTAAATACATTGTATAGTGTAAAAATTCCTTTTGACGATATCGGTGGCCATATTCCTGCAATTTTGAAAAGAGCTAAAGAAATTTCTGCTCTATACATTTTATATTGGAAAATGTTTTCGAAATCTTTATTTTCATGCCTTTTTTTTATTTCTCAATGAATGATAAGAGTCTATAATTTTAATACAGGAATTTCGCAATTTTTTCTCCCTTTTGAATTTCATATTAATAATTCATTAGGCTAAAGTGAACAACAAGTTTCTTATATGGTTTAGAATCGATATCAGAATTGAGGGATTAAATATCATTGGGAGACGGAATATTTGATTGGAAGTTGTGAATAATTCTTTAAGGCATTTTGCTAGGGTTTTACTATATATGGGACAATTTTTCCTCTTTACATCTTTTTATTTCCATGATATAATTCCTACAACGATTTTCTAAACATTCTTGTTGCGTTAGTTGAAGAACACAGTTGTATGTTTCATAGTGTAAATTTATTTTTCCATTTCTACTTTGATGATGATGATGAGAAAGTAATAAATGATTAATTTAACAAGGATTTGTGTTTTAAAAATTTTACCAAGAAATATGTATGAAAATTGTCTTTTTATTGTCAAAATTACAACAGTTAATTCTTTTTTTCCAAAACTGAAGATTTCCGTAACACAAAGTATTTCACAAAATTTTCTAATCAGGCTTTCTTAGTTTGTAATTCTGTTTCCTTTTGTCGCATCAAATAATTATAAATTGAATAAGCCAATCGAAGAATCTAAATAAATATTAAAAAATTTATATTTGAATTAATTTAAGCTAATTTTTTCTAACTAATTAAAAAATTTACATATGTATTTATAGAAAATTTACAAAAAGAAAATTATACAAACAGAAGTAAAAGTATCTATTGATAGTGGAACAATTGGTCCAGCAGTAAATTTAATTGGTATATTGGAACGTTTTATAATATAAACGAGACTTTTTCTTGATTTACTCGACAATAATGTCCAATCGGTGCTAAACACTGCATATCCAATTTCTTTGCTCTAAAAACAATATTTTGAATTGTTTACTCCACAAAAATCGTAATTATATTAATTCGAAAAAAAATCGAATACCTTTTCCATTACCAAATTACCATGCCAGCAAAATACATAAATTTCAGTCATAATAAATGACAATGACAATATCATTGACCAAAATTTTACCGATGTTACACTAAATGTTGCCAATAAATAAGTACCCGAACAAACTTCCAATGTTGTCACAAATAATTGACAAAAAAAAACCAATCCAAAAAGATTGTTTAATTTATTTCGAAAACTATGAATATTTAATTATTGTTCTTTGAATATATTGATAAAAAAAAAACTTGCAAAATTTGTTCGCCTCATACTTACTAATAAAGAGAATTATGATGTTGTATCCAATCAACAAGAAATATCTGTTGTTTTTCGGATAATAAAAAATCTGTTTTATATAATTTTGGAAACATTTTCATTCGATGTATGAGTATTTCAATTTGAGCACATAATTGTAGAAGCATTGTTATTATAAATGAATCACTTGCTACTATTACATTACTAACAATTATTGCACCTAAACTTTGAAAGACAAATGTCAACCAAAATATTGTTCTATTTTCAAGTGTATATGGTATCCATCCACTGTAGGGAAGTGTCGTTAAATCGCCTCTTAATAATGGAATTGTTGTTTTTGCTGTCACTGATATCACCACTAGACCAGCAAAAACAATTGTTCCTGTTCTACGAGTTACAAAAAAATATGAATATAATTGAAAAAAATCTTCATTTTGTTTTAAAATTTCCAAAAGAGAAAAGCAGTTAAATCTTTTCTTGCAGTAAAGCTAATTTTTTAGAATTATGTTTTACACTGAGAAAAATATGCTATTGAATCAACAGCATTTCTGCTAAAGGCATAAAAATTATTGATTCTGAAGCATGTGCTATAAAATTTGTAAAATATTATATAGTTTCTATAGCATATATGCTTTTGAATCATTTTTATGCCTTTGGCAGAAATGTTGTTGATTCAATAGCATATTTTTGAAAGTTTGAATGTTGATTTTACGGAAATTTTGTTTAAGAAAATTAGAAAGAATATTAAGCAGAATCTGTTTGAATATTAATTTTACAGAAAATGTCCAAAATCAATTAGACAGAACTATTTAATATTTTCTATTAAAATATTTTTCAAAATACCAGATTATAAATTCTTTTCTAGAATACAAAATAATTTTCAAATACTGCACCTTCCAATTGTATCGAATCCACTTTGAATGCAAATTTCATCACTATCTCGAGGTATAAATTGTTCATTGAGTAGAATATCTGTTATGTCGATAATTTTATCTTGATTTCTAAAAACAACCATCATTTTTAAACAGCCAACAAATAATGCAAGAATATAAAATAAATTATCTGTAAATTCCTCCATATTTGTTTCTTCCAAAAATAAATAGAGTAAATTTGATGATGTAAATAGAATCATTAGGGAAATAATAAAAATACTAAATGCATTGTAAGGTGTAAATATTCTTTTCGACAATATTGACGGTGATAAAATTCCTCCAATTTTAAAAAGAGCTAGAGAAATTTCTGCTCTATACATTATAATTTTTTTTTTTTTGTCTATTATCTATGATAATTCATGCCTTTCGTTTTTTATTTCTCTGTTCATGATAGGAAATAATATGATTTGGTTATATGAGGCTATAGACTATAATCTTGAATTTGTTTCGCTATTTTTCAATAAAGTCACAATTTTTTTTCCCCCTTTTTGACGAGAATTAATAATTCCTTAAGAAAAAGTGGTTTCTTACGGTTTAGAATCGATATGCGAACAGAGGGATTAAACCGATTGAGACGGAATATTTAATTGCATGAATAATTCCTGTTTTTATGATAAGGGAAGAATTTTTCTCTTTATATATTATTTTTTTTTTATTACTATAAGGAAAGACTATATTTCTAATGTTTTCTAGACACTTTTTTGTGGTAGTGAAGCAATATAGTTGTATATGCTTTCTGAAGAAAGGGACCTAAGAAGCAAAGAATAATAGGTTATGTTTATGATATGTAGTTTAAAGTTCTTTTTTTTCTAAATCAATATATTATATTAAAGGAATGATATACGTTTAGGTTGTAGTTGAAGTTTTTAATTATTTACTATGGCAAGTTGAATGCCGAAGGGGTTTTGAAAAAAAAGAATGTCATTGCACTTGTGAATTTTTTATTAAAGAAAAAAATTGAGGCATGAAGGTAAAAATAGTCAGTCTTGATGTACAGCTAGAAAGATTGTTAAAATTTTCTCTTTCAAAAATTTCTCAATTTCGAAAAATTCGATTAAATTACTGGCTATTTTGAATTTCAAATTTTTTAAATTAAAAAAAAAACGATTTTCAAGGAATAATGAATATTTTTAAGATGAATAGACTTTATTTAAACCATTATAACAAAACAATAAGTAACTTTCAATATAACATTAATTAATTTTATTTTTATCTAAATTAACTTTGAAGTTAATAAATAAAAGACTAATATCAATAACAAAAAAACGATGATTGCTATTGTTTTGGTAAACAATTGTAAATTGAATATGACAATCGTAAAATCTGTAACAAATTTTTTCTGATAAATAAATAATAATAAGAATAATAATAATAATAATAATATATTTTAGAATTATACAAACAGAGGTGAAAGTTGATAACGATAAAGGAATTATCGAGCCAGCGGTAAAAGTAATTGGAGTGTTTGCACGCATAATTATTTGAATAAGACCTGTTTTGGTTCGTTTTGTTAGAGAAACCCAATTCATTGCAAAAACTGCATGACCAATTGCTCTACTCTGTATAGAAATTTTTGTTGGAAAATTTAAATTCATAATATTAGTTATGCATTCTGATGAAAAGGGAATCTAAGCAAAAAAATTATAGGTTATGTTTATGATTGTTTCGAGAGGTTTGAGAGCATAAACATAACCTATAAATTTTTGCCTTTCTTCAGAGCATTTATTAATGTAAAATTAATATTATAAAAAAGTTGAAAATACCTTTTCCATTATCAAATTACCAGTTGCACAATACATGCATATTTGCAATAAAACACAGAATAATTGCATTATAGATGTAAAAAATTTCGTAGATATAATATCAATTGTCGTTAATTGAAATGTTAAAAGGCAAGCTGACAATGTTGTTAACATGAATTGAATGTAAAAGATACTATTAAAAATATCGTTCAATTCATTTTTTAAACTAAAAAATAATAATTTTAAAAATAATTATTTTTCTAAATTTGAATAAAAAAAAAAAAAAAAAAAAAAAAAAAAATACGAAGTTATACGTACAGATGTAATGAATTGTGATGTTGAACCCAATTTTTCAATATAATTTGTTCCATATGAGGATTATTTGGAATTTTTATTTTACATAGTTCAAAAAATATTTGCATTCTGTGTATCAAAATTTCCATTTGTGCAGTTAATTGTAAAATCATTATCATAATAAAAGAATCACATGCAACTGTTGCTTGTCCAGCAATGGGACCACCAAAACTATCATGTAAAAATGTTAACCAAAAGAAAATTCTATTTGCATTATTAAATGGCATCCATGTTTCGAAAAATGTTGATGTTGTCACTGCTTTTATTATTGTAAATATCGATTTTGCAACTGTTGTCGAGAGTAAAACACTGAGAAAAATTATCGTGCCAGTTCTTTAAAACATAAATTAATATTATCAAAAAATTTTAAAAATATCAAAAATTGTATCGTAATTTAATGTGCATTTCACAGAATTTTCAATTTGATAGAATAAAATTTTTATTTGACCGAAATTCCAAATGACCGAACAAACATAACCCGCAGAAAGATTTTGGCGCGATTTTTAAAATTTACAAATTTAGAAATTATCGTGAAAATAATTGTGATTGGTCAATTTTAAAAATTGCGCCGAAATTTTGTTTTGTAAGTTATGTTTGTTTGGACATTTGCAATTTCGGTCAAATGAAGATTCGCGGTTAATTAAAAATTTTTATAATTAAAATTTAGTTAAATTAAAATTCAATTAAAAAAATGGGCTAAAGAGAAATAAAAATTCTGTTATATAAAAATTTCTTAATATATTGTATATAAACCTTCCCATTTTGTCGTATTTAGTTTGAATACACAACTCCTCTGAATCTCGTGGTTCAAATTGTTTATCGTTTAAATAATTTCTTATCTTACGAATTCTATTGCGTTCTTTATAAACAACAAATATTTTTATACAATCACTCAAAAGTGCAAGTGAATAGAAAAAATTTTGTATAAATCCATCGTCATCGAAATTCTCTGTTAAAACGTAAAATAAATTTGATGCCGTATTGGCAATTAAAATAAATGATATGAAAATTGTATAGAAATTGTAGAATGTTAAATATCCTTTTGAATTTTCATTTGGCCAAAATCCGAGAATTTTTAAAAGAATTAAAGAAATTTCGCCTGTATACATAATTTTCATTCAAATCATGAATAATAATAATTTGAATAAATTTTCTTATTATTTTCGGATTGTTAACAAATTTGTTGGATGAGTGAAAAAAAACAGAAATTTTTACGAGTAAATTTAAGTCGATATTTAATTTCTATTTTCTAGAAAAGTCGCGTTTCAACCCCTTAGAAAGAATTCAATTAATAATTCCTTACGAAATAGTGGAGCTCTTTTTTTTTTTTTGCAAATCAATATATACGTCGCAAAAGAAGTGAAGAAACATTTATGGATTTGATAGAGACTATGCAGTTGAAGTTTTTAATTATTTACTATGGCAAGTTGCATGCCAAAGGGGTTTTTGATAAAATAAGGAATGTCTTTTCACTTGTGAATTTTTTATTTAAAAAAAAATTAAAAACGAAGATAAAAAATATTCAGTCTTGCTGTTGACGTAGAACCATAAAGAAACAGAGGAGTTTTAAATTTTAGTTTTAGAAAAAATTTGATTTCTTTCGATTCTAATTTCAGTCCTTATAGTATATTATTTATTTTACTATACAAAATTGATCATTTTTTATTGATTTATTAATTTTATTAAAATTTATACCTTCTCTGTATAGCTTCTGATTTGATTTTTCAACTTTGTTTCAAGAAATCTTTTATAAATTCGGTTACAACTTTAAAATATTGTTTTAAACGTATTTAAAAAAAAAACAAGAAGAAAATTTAGTAACATTTTATATTTATATCAGTATAACTGATCGACTTTTCAACTTATCTAAAAAGAAAAAATATTTTCTAGCCTTTTGATAAACAATTATAAATTGAGTACGCCAATCGTAGAATCTGAAATAAGTTTAATGTAATGCTGAATAATGGTTATCATGATAACAATAATAATAATAATAGTAATAATAATAACAATAATAATAATAATAATAAAATTAATAATCTTTTTCCAATGATACAAACAGAACCAAAAGTATCTATCGATATAGGAACTAATGATCCAGCAGTAAATCTAATTGGAATATTAGATCGTTGCATTATATGAATAAGACTTGATTTTGTCCTTTTTGTTAGAGAAAGCCAGTCAGTAATAAAAATTGCCGAACCAATTGATTTGCTCTATATAATATAAATATTTATTTTTAATTTATAGAATAATTTTTTTTTCCTTATTATTAAAATTGAAAAATTTATTCAAAATACTCGATTACTTGACTATTATCAAATAAATATTTACTTGAACCAAATAATTTTTATCTAAATTAAATAAATTTTATTTGAATCAATAATTTCTGTATTTAAAATAAATATCATCTCAAATAAATTTTTTTTTTCACTGTACGAGATTTAAAATACCTTTTCGATTACCAAATCACCACTCCAGCATAATATACAAATTTGCATTATAACACAAAATAAAATCATTATTGTTGATAAAAATTTTGTTGATAAAACATTTATTGTTGTCAATTGAATTGTAAGCATACAAACAGATAATGTTGTCAATATGAATTGAATGAAAAATATGTAATTATAAACTTCATTTAATTCATCCTTTAATCTGAAAAATTAGATTATTTTTTATTTATCGAACAAAAAAAAAAAAAAAAAAAATTATAAAATTAATAATAATTACCGATATAGAGAATTATGATGCTGAATCCATTCATTGAGTATAATTTGTTCCATTTTTGGATTATTGGGAAATTTTTTTTTACACATTTCAGGGAATATTTGCATTCTGTGTATTAAAATTTCCACTTGTGCACATATTTGTAACATCATTGTCATAATAAATGTGTCACCAGCGACACCGGCTTGACCACCTATAATTCCTCCTAAACTTTGATAGAAAAATGTTAGCCAAAATAAAATTCTATTCTCAAATTTATATGGGACCCACGGATTGAAAAATGTGGATGTTCTCAATCCCAATACTATTGGTGTCAATGCTTTTGTTGTTGTTGTCAATAGTGTAGCACTTGCATAGAAAATTGTTCCAAATCTTTTTTTTTGGGAATGAAAATCAATTATTTATCATTTTTTAAATGTATTAATCGAGGCATAAAGAAAACTGAATTGTATTTTTAAATCAGTTTTGATTGCAAATTTTTTTTTATTTCTAATTTTCTACGCATTTTTATGCCTTGATTTTGTTTTTAATTCTAATTTTTCCAGACGGAGGTAATAAAATGCAAAATAATGAAAATTCAATAAATATTGAAAAATAATTTATGATTCTACAAAAAAAAAAGGAAAAAATTTTATGATTTGTATAAAATTATTTTCTTTTTTTTTTGGATAGACCTTCCAATTTTGTCGAATTTACTCTGAATGGAGAACTCAATTGAATCTCGATATTCATATTGTTTAGTATTGAGATAATTTCTTATTTCCCGTATTCTACTGTGTTTTCGATAAATCACTAACATTTTAATACAAGTACTAAATGCAGCAGTGGAAATAAAAAAAAATTCTATAAATTCATTTGTCTCAAGATTTCTTGTTAATGTATAAAAATTACTTGAAATTGTAAATGCTAATAGAATAGATATTACAAAAATTGAATAAACATTATAAATTGTTAAATATATTTTTTTCGATTCTTTTGATGGCCAAATGCCTAAAATTTTGAAAATAACTAAAGAAATTTCTGCTCTGTACATAATTTTGTTTTTATTTTGTAATTATTGAAAAAAAAAAAAAAAAAAAATACAAAATATTTGTTGTTCTATTTTCTGTTTTCCACATGAACGGAAAAAAAAGAATTGTTGCGTAAAAAAAAATTATCTCTCTTTTTTTTCTATAGGAAAAAAAAGTCGTTGGTTCTCCCCTTTTATTGTATTTAATTATTTAGTAAGGCAAAATAGCGAAGCTTTCTTTTTTTTTTGTAATCAATATTATGGTGACAAGGAATAAGGCATCATTTAAGATGGTGAATTATTTCCTAGGGCAAATGTCATAAAGGGATAAAAAAAAAAGAATGTCTTTTGTTAGGTAAATTTTTTATTACAAATTCTACTCAGAGGGTTAAAATATAGTCAGTCTTGTTTATGACTTATAGCTGGTAACACGCAAATGGGGGAGGGGGAAGATTCTTGAATGCAACAAGTGAGAAAAAAATATAATTTTCTTTTTAAATATATTTTTTAATTGCTAAAAAATACACTTCTTTTATAATTTCAAAGTTCGCGCGTCAAAAACTTTTTGCAACATAAACATAACCTTAATTTTCGTTTATTTTGACGATTTTGACGTTCGGCTTTTGTTGTACATATATACTATATTAAATAACAACTTCTCTCTTTTATTAGAACAGAATATGTAATTAAATCAATTAACATTTTTCAAAGTCATCGTTGAAAAAAAAATCATTACGTGAAAATTATGATTTGACGTATTTGCGTGCGAGGAAGCAAAATATATCGAATTTGTTTTTTTTGCGGCAATAGTTTATTGATGAAAATATAAGTGTTATGTCTGTGCCTAATATTCTTCGGATTAATTCCCAATTACCAGCGGTGATTGCCTTTGGAAATCCTCTATTAGATATTATAACAAAAATCAATGGCAATGATATTTTACTTAAATATAACCTCAAAATTGATGGACAATCAGAACTTTCCACCGATGAAACTGAAAAGCTTCTTCAGGATTTACAACCAGAGTTAATATTTATAAAATATTTTTTTTTTTATTTAAAATTCTTTATTTGCTATTTATGCAACAAATTTGATTTAAATTTCTTCAAAAAAAAGACATTTTAAATGACCTTGAGCTTGATAAGATCCAGCTTTATGCAAAAAAAATCTATTTTCATTTTTTTCGAAATATTTTTATTTTTTCAATTTAAAAATTATTTGGTTCAAGTAAATATCGATTATTTGAATCAAATAAATTTTTTTTAGTGCGACCAATTAAAACCTATCCTTGATTGATCGTATTTATTTTTCTCTAATTACTATTTTTTTTTTTTCCGAAAATATCGTTGATATTTCTTTTAAACGAATATATCAATTTTCTTTCTTTGAAATATTTTCCAATTGTACAATTTATTTTGTTGTGATAATTATTTATTTTTTCCTTTTTAAAGCGATGCAATTATATATTATTTATTTTTGTAAATCAATATTTTCTTTTTTTTTTTAGATCTGAACATATTGTGGCACCAGGAGGTTGTGCACAAAATACACTGAGAATTTTACAATGGCTTTGCGGTGGTCCACATCATCCGCATATTGGAGTATTTTACGGAAGTATTGGAAATGATGCGAGAGGTTCGACTTTAGAAAAACTTGTACTTGCTGATGGTGTTGATGTGCAGTAAGAATTTTAAGAATTTTTTTTTGCAATTTTTTTAATTCTAAAAAAAAAAAACTGACAAAATATTTCTATTATTTTTTTGCAGTTACGCTGTACATCCATCGCTTCCAACTGGTTTTTCGATAAATATAATATCGGATAATTCTTGGCGTAGTCTTGTTGCAAATTTAGGAGCGGCTAGTGAATATTCCCTCTATAATCTTCACAATATTAAATTGCCTTTAGAAACAGTGAGAATAATTTACATTGAGGGTTTTTTTATTACTCATAGTCACGATGTTGCCAAAGAAATTTGTAAAATGGTTCATGGAAAGGATGTGATAATTGCTTTCAATTTATCCGGTGAATATGCATTTACGGTAAGTTAAAAAAAATAAAAGTAAAAAAAGGAAATATTTTTAATATTTGAGAAAAAAAAATTGTTTTCTTTTTTTTTCTAGGATCATTATAAGCAGATAATTGAAATGGTGGGAATGTCGAGAATTGTTTTTGGCAATGTGAATGAAATGAAAGCGTTGGCACAATTTTTGAATATACAATTTCAGAATGTTGAGAATATTCCCTTTTTGTTGAATAGTGTTACTAGAGTTACTGTTAATATTACGGATTCCGAGTCAAAGGATTGGTTGGCAACAAGTGGAGTATTTGTTATGACACAAGGTGGCGATGGTCCAGCGACCGTTGTCTGGGGTCAGGGAAATTCTGCTCAGGTATATAAATTTTTTTAATTTCCTGCATTATTAAATTAAAAACTAATTCGAAATTTAGTTGAAAATAATTTATTTATTAAATTACAGTTATAATTATTGGTAATAATTTTTTATTTTATTAATAGTGATCATTTTTCTTTTTTTTGGGTACAGGTTCATCCGATAATTCCAAAAGCTCCAATAATTGATACAACAGGCGCTGGTGATGCATTGGTTGCCGGTTTTCTTGCTGGTGTTTTGGCGCGAAAAGATCCAAAAACATGTTTAGAATGGGGTTGTCAAACGGCATCGTTAATAGTAACAAAATTAGGCGTCACTGTGCCAAGTGGAACACCAGATTTTCTAGATTAATTCCTTTTCGTTTCATCGCTGCAGATTTTTTTTTTTTTTTTAAAGAAAAATTGATTTTTACGAAGGTAAGGAAAAAAAGAATTGAAGCTCCTATGGATCTGAATTTAGTACAAAATAGATAGATATTATTTTTTCCGTTACTCTAATAGGCAAGAATTTAAAAAAAATATATTGTTGTAATTCTCGTTAGGTAAATTCTATTATTAATATTATTAAAATTAAAAATTATTATTATTAGTAAAATTATTTTCAATATTAATAATAATTATAATAATAGTAATAATATTAATAATATTACAATTTATTATAGAAAGTCATAATTCTTGAAACTGAATGACAAAACAGTTTTTGATGAAATACCTCGTGATAATCGCCAGGAATTGAAACATTTAATTTGAAAAAAAGGGGAAAATATTTGAAAATTTTAGGAAAAATGTTAGTTTTCCAAAATAAAAATTTGTCACATTTTTAAATCAATTGGAAGAAAAAATAAAAATTACTTATTCAGTTCAAATTTTTAACGAAAATAAGTTTAAATTAATAAAAAAAAATTTTGAAATTATAGTAATTATAAACAAATTTGAATTTGTCAAAAATAATTTTAATTTAATTTTCAATAAATGAAAAATTCTTGTTTCAATTTCTGGTTTAGCTGTTAAATTCCAAATGTACAAAAACAAAATGATAATTATATAAAAAGACAGAAGAAAAAACTATTTTCTCTATTGATCTTTAGAAGCGGAAAGTATTTTTCGTGCTTTAGATAAATTTTACATTGAGCATAATAATTTATTGATATTATTCTTATAAATATACATACACATTGATAAAGTGAAATAAAAATGGATTTTAAATTCTTAGCGAAATTGAACTAATTTTGCTTAGAAATATATTAATAATAATATATATAAATATATATATATTAAAAAATATTAGTATAAATTGAAAACAATACGATCTTCCAATTGAGTATACCTATATATAAATAGTATACAGTGACATAGAGAGATAAATATTTTAAAAGTAAAAAAAAATGTTTGTAAATTATAATTATGCGCAAAACTTGATTTCACTTTACGATATATTATAATTTACATATTGTATATATATTTTTTTGTGATAGACACTTGAAACCAAAGTGAAGCACACGAGTACTTAAAAAAAAAGATGTTTAAAAAAACAATAATTTAAAAAAAAAATTTTTTTTTAAAATTAAACCTCCACTTTTTAACAAAAAAGGAATTTTTATATTTTAATAAAATTATCTTTAATAAATATTAAAATAATACATAAATATTTTCGATATAAAAAAAAATTTCTTATTAAAATTTTTAACTTTCAATTATTTTAAAATTACATTTAAATTGTTGTCTTTAAATTTCAAAAAAAATTCCTTTTCCAATTTGTATATAAGAATTTTTTCCTGATGTAGAAAAAAAATTTTAGATTTCAAAATATGTATTTCTTTTCTAAGAAAAGACATTTTTAATTTGCAGTAGAACAATTTTAGTGAATTGTATATTTTATAGAAAGAGAGAGTGTGTGAGATTTTTAATTTGTGTCAAAAATGTTGAGTAATTTATTGTGTGGTTGTAAGAAGAAAAAAAATTTTAATGGACAAGTATTTCATTAGAAAAATAAATTGTATAATTTAAAAAAAAAACTGCTAATAATATTTATTTATAAAAATTTAGTAATTATATGTAAAATTTATTTTAAATTTAGAAAGTTTTGAATTTTAGCGCTCTTTTTGAAACATCGAGAATAGAGTATCGATAATAATCGATATATTCTCAATTCGAGAGATAGTAAAAAATTCCCACGTGATTTTATTTCCCGGATTTTTTCGTTCTAAAATAAAAGAAAAGTGATGTCTACTCCGAATTTAGAAAAATTTGAAATACGTGCTCAAGCTGCGGTAAGCAATGATTAATCAGTAATAATATAATTTTAACATTTAAATTGTGTGCATCATTATTTATTATAAATGATGAAATGTACTTGTGTGCAAAAAATTTTTAGGTTATATTTTCTGTTTTTTGTTTCACATTTATTTCAACAATATACAGGAGGATGATATAGAATTATTAAAAAAAGAAATTGCTCATTTTAATGAATTGCTGCAGTTAAATGCTACAAATACAGATAAATTATCAGATCATCTTGAAGTATTGAATGTAAATGTTTGCGAAAATTTCTCAGATGAAATTGAAAAATTACAACAGGAGAATGCAAAATTAAAACATCGTGTTAACATATTGTTACGGGTGAGTTTTTAGATTTTTTGTTTTGTTATAATTGTTCTATTGATAATTAAAAAAAAAAACATCTGGATTATTGTTATCTTTAATTTTTTTTTTATTTTACAATTTAATTTACATATAAAAAATAATTTATATGTTTCATTTATTTATTTTTATATCCATTTTATTGTAAAAAAAAAGAAAATATCTTTTTTCAGACAATTGAATCACAAAGAGGGAATAATTCAGCGTCAACATCAAATATGAATGTGTTAATAAGCATTTCGGAGGAACTTAATAATATTTTTGAAAAGGCAATTAATTCGGCATTTCCGGAAATTCCGGACCCGCCAATTGTCATTACGCCTGCTGGTAATCCAAAATTTGGAGATTATCAATGTAACAGTGTTATGCCTCTTCGAAAAATTCTTGAAGAACAAGGTAAAAATTTTCTTTATTTTCATTTTTTTTAACGCTATTATATTAAAGTAAATGAAAATTGTTTTTTTTTTTTATTTTAGGTAAAAAATTATCCCCCCAAGAAATAGCCAATGAAATAGTAACAAAATACACGTCTTCGTCGCTCATTGAAAAATTGGAAATTGCAAAAGCGGGATTTATTAATATTTTTTTGAAACGTGAATTTGGCGTTAAAACATTAACAAATCTTGTGAAATCGGGTAAAGTTTTACCGCCAAATTGTCGTAAAAAGAAAATTGTCATTGATTTCTCAAGTCCAAATATTGCTAAAGAAATGCACGTTGGACATTTGCGTTCAACAATTATTGGCGACAGTATTGCACGTCTTCTTGAATATTTAGGACACAATGTATTGCGAATTAATCATATTGGCGATTGGGGTACACAATTTGGAATGTTAATTGCACATTTACAGGACAAATTTCCCGATTATTTAAAAGTTTCGCCACCAATTTCAGATTTACAGGTTTTTGAATTTTTATTTTCCCCTTTTTTTTAATAGAATATTTATTTTATTTCATAAAAAAAAAATAAAATATATATTTTTTCTTTTTCTCAGAGTTTTTATAAAGAATCAAAAAAAAGATTTGATGAAGAACAAGAATTTAAAATCAGGGCCTACAATTGTGTTGTTAAACTTCAAGCTTTCGATCCTGATATTATCAAAGGTTGGCAATTGATTTGTGATGTTTCGAGGAAGGGTAAGTGATTTTAAATTTAAAAATTTTATTTATTTTAATAAATAAAAATTGATTAATTTTTGTATTAACAGAATTTCAAAATCTCTATTCTCGATTGGATATTCGTTTAATTGAAAGAGGCGAATCTTTCTATCAAAAACGAATGGAAACTTTAGTGAAGGAATTGGATGGAAGAGGATTTCTCGAAGAAGATGAGGGTCGAAAAATAATGTGGGGCGAAAATCCTGGAAATGGAATTCCTTTGACAATAGTTAAATCCGACGGTGGTTTTACTTACGATACTTCTGACATGGCAGCAGTAAAGCAACGTGTCGAGGAAGAAAGAGCCGATTGGGTAATTTTAATTTATATTAAAAATAAAATTATAATTTTTAATTTCTTTTATTTCAAGAGAATTTTTCTAAAATTTTAATATAGCAAAAAAAATTAATTAATTAATTTTTCTTTTAGTTAATTTACGTGACTGACGCAGGACAATCGGTTCATTTTCAAACAATTGAGAGTTGTGCAAAAAAATGTTCACTATTAACATCACGACATCGTATGAGTCATGTTGGCTTTGGCGTTGTTCTTGGTGAGGATAAGAAAAAATTTAAAACACGTTCTGGTGAAACAGTGAAACTAAGCGATTTATTGGACGAGGGTTTAAATCGTGCATTACAAAAATTAAAGGAAAAAGAACGTGATAAAATTTTAACTAGCGATGAATTAAAAAAAGCACAAGAATCAATTGCCTATGGTTGCATTAAATATGCCGATCTTTGTCATAATAGAAATCTTGAATATGTTTTTTCATTTGATAAAATGTTAGAGGACAAAGGTAATACTGCTGTTTATTTATTATATGCATTAACGCGTATACGTTCAATTGCACGCACTGCAAATGTAACACGTGAACAATTATTAAATTCAATGGAAACAGAATCAATAACATTGAATCATGAGAAAGAATGGAAATTGGGAAAAATTCTTTTAAGATTCACTGATATTTTATTTAAAATTACAAATGATTTATGTCTTCATTCATTGTGTGAATATTGTTATGAAATTGCATGTGCATTCACGGAATTTTATGATAAATGTTATTGTGTTGAGAAAAATAAGGCAGGTGAAATTGTGAAAATTAATATGGGACGATTAATGCTCGCTGAAGCAACTGCAATGATATTGGAACAATGTTTTGCATTATTGGGATTGAAACCAGTTGAGAAAATGTGAAAATTTTCCCTTCTTTCTTAATTTATATTTTCTTTTTTCTAATCGTATTTTTGTTGACGATAAATATTTACAATAAAAATAAATGAGATTTTTTGCAAAATGAAAATGTATCCTTTTCCATCTCCTAGTTCGCGCTTTAATCGAATGATTTCACATTTGGGACGTTCTTCACTGATAGCTCTCTTTATTTCCCTATCTTCCCAGCCCTGCTTATTTGTTGTCATTTAATCAGCTGTAATGCTCTTAAAAAGAACTACATATTTACGCGAGCAAGTCTTTTATAAAAATTAATTTCTCTAATTAAAATATTGAAAGCATAATAAAAAAAATGTCGAAAAATAATCAAAGGCTTAATCGAAAGACACATTTGTATCATTCACTTCGCGATAAACTTAATATTATTGAAGCAGTGAATTCGGGTGAAAAAATGACAATAGTCGCTAAACGTTATAATATATCAATGACGTCCGTTTGGAAATTAGTGAAAAATAATAGAGAGAAAAAAATTAAATACAGCAGCACATTGGATGAGGCAATTTTAAAAAGACGAAAAACATTTCGTAAAATTCACGATGGTTTATTGGAGAAATCATTATTAATGTGGTACAATGAAAAATGTTTAAATGGCCAGCCAGTAAGTGGTCGTGTTTTATGTAAAAAAGCATTATTATTTAATGAAAAATTAAATGGTTCAAAAGAATTTAAAGCGAGTTCAGGTTGGTTGGATAGATTTAAAAAACGTAATCTCATTCAATTACCATTTGTGCAAGGTGAAAAATTATCAGCAAATATTGATGCAGCTATTGAATTTTGTTTTAAATTTCAACATTTAATTGTTGAGGAAAATTATGATTTAAATTTTATATTTAATGCCACTGAAAGTGGAATTTATTGGAATAGTTTGCCGAAAATTAATACAAATGATGAACAACAAAATTTTGAAGGTAAAAAAAATTGTATTTTTAAAAATTTATTTTTCGAAAACAAAAAAATATTTCTAATTCTTTTTTATTTATATAGATCAGAATCAAACTACAGAAAAAATAACATGTTTATTTTGTGCAAATGCAAGTAGTTCTTATGCCTTACCATTGTTGATTATTGGAAAATCATGGAATTCACGTTCGAATTTAAATATTGAAAATAAACAACAATTATTACCTGTGATGTATCAAAATCAATCTTCAGCGTGTATGACAAAAGATATATTTTTTGATTGGTATACAAATATTTTTATTCCCTCTGTAGAGGAAATGCAAATGAAACGGAAAATTAATGGTAAAGTATTACTTTTAATTGATTCAACAAAATGTCATCCATCGGAGGAAATTCTTAATTCAGTGAATGAAAATTTTCACGTTAAATTTATACCATCTAATATTGCATCATTAATACAACCAATGAATCAAGGTATAATTGACAAAACAAAAAGATTATATCGAAAAGCATTAATTACATCATTATTGGAAGTAAATGAAAATATAACCATTGATAAATTCATTGAACAACATACAATGGAGGATTGTTGTTTTATGCTTGCAAATGCATTTGAAAGTATAACATCGTTAAATTTAAAAAATGCTTGGAATAAACTTTGTGGTGTATCACAATTAGATGATGAGAATGTTGATCCAGATGATAGAATATTGGAGGATAGAGCTTTCTGTCAAATGTTACACGTGATTAAAGGTATTCTTTTAAAAAGAATTTAAATTATTTTATTTTAAAATAAAAATTAAATTACTTATTTTGAAAAAAAAATATTATTTCCAATTTTTAAAATTTAGGTTTTGAAAATGTTTATCCAGCGAGTGTTAAAATGTGGTTAAATGCAGATCAGTATAGTCCAGGATGGGAACCGTTAAATGATGATGAAATCATTAATTTTGTCACTAGCGAGAAAGGTGAAACAATTATTGAAGAAACGTTAAATGATGAAAAAATCAAGGAATCAGTGAAGTCTACGAGAGAAAAGAATTCAGGAACAAAAAAATCGAATCAAATTGAAAAAAATGAGAATTTTGATAGGAATAAAATTACAAATTCGGAAAATGTTGAAGTTGCTATTAAATATTTACATAATTGGTGTAAGAAACGAAAAGAATATACAGAATCAGATTATCGTCTATTGTCTAAATGGGAAACACTTGTTCGAAAAGCTAAGGAGTAAAAAAAAAAACAAAAAAAGAAAATAGTTTTATAAATTTTATATACATAATGGAAATAAAGAAATCAAGACTGATTAGACTATAATTCAAAGGTAATTAATTTTATATTTAATTTGCAAATTTGTAAATTATCGAGACTCAATTATTCAATTTCAGGCCTCGGATTATACGACGTTTTTCTACTTATTTTAATAAAATGAGACTTTTTTAACATTTTTTTTTTTTACAAAATTTTTAAACAAAATACGTTTTTTTTTGGTTTAAAATGCAAATCTTCTTCAGATCTTCTTTCAATTATTTAACAAATTTTTAACTACAATTCTTCACTAAATTAATTATTTTTAATAATTTTAATGAAATTCTTCACAAATTCAAATTATCTTAAACTATTTTTCAATTAAAAATTTTATTGAAATTTAATAATTGTTTATAATTAAAAAACAATTTTTTTAAATTACAAAAAAAATTTTAATTCAAAATCACTTTAAATTAGATTATTTACCAAAAATTTCAATTATTTTTACAACATTCTCCAAAAATTCAATAATCTGAAAGCATTTATCAATTAAAAACTTTTGGAATTCAATTTTTTTTATATGATTTTTAATAAATTCTTCATCAACAGAAATTACTAAAAATTTCTCTTATTATAATAATTATTGTCTGAAATTTAACACAATCTTTTGAAATTCATTTTTAAAAATTTTCAATTTAAAAGCTTTTAAAATATAATTATTTCTAAAATTTTTTCATTACAATTTTTTTGAAATTTAATAATTTCAATTATAACTCTCCTGAAATTCAATAATTTTTAATGATCGACTTTTTTTGTGTCTTAAAGTCGATCCGAGGCCTGCAATTTGAATTCAGTATAAACGATAATAATTTTACATTCTTACAAAATTTTAATTATTTTAAGTACGAATAAAAAAAATGAAACGAGAATTTAAATTTGGCGGTTTTAATAAGGTGAGGAGTGGGGGGAATGTAAAACAGCTGATTGAGTAGCGTCTGCAAGTTTTGTTTAATGTTTACTGACACGTCGCCTACAGAAATTAACCTAAAAAATTTCAATAAAATCGAAATAATTCAAATCCTTTTGTTTCTTGTAATAAGTGAAAATAGTGATTAAATTGGGTAAACAGTTGTTATTATTAAGTTTTCTAATGAAAACAGTGATTTTATTAACAGTTTAACACTAAAAAAAAAATATTGTTTATTCCCGAAAAAGCTCAAAGTTAAAGGCATTTAATTTATTAAAACCCTTATTTTTAAGAATCATCAATTTTGTTAAAATTAAAATTTTAAAATAAAATTCAAAAAATTGTATATTTAACCTTAAAAATTTTTTAATTTCTTTCTTTCAGTCGGAATAATATATTTTTTCACTAATTTTTTTTTTTTGTACAATGAAAAAAAAATATCAATTTAATTAAAAGAAAAAATGTACATTAATAAAGAAAGTATATATAAATTAAAAAGAAAAAAATAAATTCGCAACTGTTAATAAATTTAGAATTTTGCAAAAATCAACGAAAAATGTTTATTATAAGAACTTTCTTTATTTTTCTCTCAATTCAATCGTGGGTGAATTCAATGAGAAAATATGATAAAAAAGATTTAATTGAATTAAGAGAAGAGGTACGAACAATGTTTAATCATGCCTATTCGAGTTATCTTAATTATGCATATCCATATGATGAATTACGTTCATTAAGTTGTGATGGTTTTGATACGTGGGGTAGTTTTTCATTGACATTAATTGATGCATTGGACACATTGGCGGTAATGGGAAATTATTCTGAATTTCGTCGTGTCGCTGAAATTATAAGTGCAAGAGATGATTTTGAGGCGAATATCAATGTTTCTGTATTTGAGACAAATATTCGTGTTGTCGGCGGTTTAATTAGTGCACATTTATTGTCAAAAAAAGCGGGTATCACACTTGAACCTGGTTGGCCATGTAATGGACCTCTTCTTCGATTGGCCGAAGATATGGCAAAACGATTGATTGCCGCATTTGATACACCAACGGGAATGCCGTATGGTAATTTAAAATAAGGATATTTTTGTATTAATTTTATTAAAAAAAAAATTAAAAGAGAATTTAAATTTGAAACAATTTTAATTTTCAGGAACAGTGAATTTAAAATACGGAGTTCCTGAAGGAGAGACGAGTATCACATGCACAGCTGGTATTGGAACGTTTATTCTCGAATTTGGAACACTATCACGATTGACGGGCGATCCACTTTATGAGGAAGTTGCAATGCACGCAATAAAGGCATTACATCATTATCGTTCGAAAATTGGCCTCGTTGGTAATCATGTCGATGTATTAACGGGACATTGGACTGCGCAAGATTCGGGAATTGGAGCCGGTGTTGATTCATATTTTGAATATCTTGCAAAAGGTGCACTATTATTTCAGGATCCCTATCTTGCGGCAATGTTCCATGAGAATAAATTGGCAATTGAAAAATATATTCGCAAGGAAGATTGGCATCTTTGGGTATCAATGACAAAGGGTCAAGTTACATTACCCGTGTTTCAATCACTCGATGCCTATTGGCCTGGGGTATTGAGTCTTTTTGGTGAAATTGACGATGCAATGAAATCACTTCATAATTATCATCGTGTTTGGAAACAATTTGGATTTACGCCGGAATTTTATAATATTCCACAAGCCGAGGCGGGTACAAATCGTGAAGGTTATCCATTGCGTCCGGAATTAATTGAATCGGTGATGTATCTCTATAGAGCGACGGGTGATCCTTATTTGATTCAGGTATTTATTTTATTTTTCGCATTTTATTATAAAATTTATAAATACAAGCCACGGATTATTTAACAAATTTTTCTCTAAATTAATTACTTTTAATAATTTTAATAATAATTCTTTACAAATTCAATTATTTTTAATTTATTTTTCAATTGTAAATTATATGAAATTTAACAATTGTTTATAATTAAAAAAAAAGAATCAAATTAAATTACCAAAAATTTCAATTTAAAAACTTTTAAAATTTTATTATTTTAAAAATTTTCCATCTAAAACTTTTAGAAATTTAATATTTTCAATTATAATTCTTTCGAAATTCAATTATTTTTAATGATTTTTATAATATTCTTCGAAAATTCAATTATCTGAAAGCATTTTTCAATTTAAAAATTTTACAGTTTAATTTTTTTCTTTAATTTTTAATCAAATTCTTCAGCAACAGAAATCACCAAAAAAAATTCAATTCAAAATCACTTACATTAAATTATTTTCAAAAAATTAAGTTTCCAAAATTTAATGATTTTAAATGATTTTTATAATATTCTTTAAAAAAATGCAATTATTTGAAAGTATTTTTTAATTAAAAACTTTTGACATTCAATTTTTGTATTCATCACAAAAATTTCAATTAAAAATAACTTGAAGTTCTATTAATTTCAAAAATCTGAATTGTAAATCTTTATAAATTCAATTACTTTTAAAAAATGTTATCTAAAATTATTTGAAAAATTATATTTAATTTTGTAAAATTTAATTATTGTTTGAAATTTAATTATTTCTGAAAAATTCAAAATTGAATTGTCGTCAGAATATCTGTTTTTTTTTAGAAATTTGTCTTACTTAATTAAATTTTTTTAAATTTACGTCTTCGGTTCTGAAATACTCGAAATAAATTTTCTTGATAATATTCCTAATTAATACTCTTAATAAGAAATTAATAAAATCGATTTAATATCTAATAACATTATTAATTTAAAGTAAAATACTTATTAACTAATTAAATTTAATTAAAATAAAAAAAATGGACTTTTTCGACTTTTTTTGGAATGTAAATCGACTAAAATGACTTTTTTGTGCTTTAAAGTTGATCCGAGGCCTGTAAATATTTTATAAATAAAATTGTAAATTTCAGGTGGGTGTGGACGTGCTTAGAAGTTTACAGCACAGTGCAAAGACAACGTGTGGATACGCGACAATTAATGATGTTCGAGATCATCGAAAAGCTGATAGAATGGAATCATTTTTCCTCGCCGAAACAACTAAATATCTCTATCTTCTTTTTGATTCAGAAAATTTTATACACAATAGCGGAGAGCATGGAGACATTGTCACAACTCCTTGGGGTAATTTTGAAATTTTAATTATTTACATATTTTGCGAATAAATTAAGCCTAATATTTTTTTAAATTTTATAATTTTCCAGGTCAATGTGTTGTTGATGCTGGTGGTTATATATTCAATACGGAAGCACATCCCATTGATCCAGGTGCTCTTCATTGTTGTCGTCGTGTACAAAGTGTATTTCCTGAGAAAAAATCAACTCTTCGAAAATTTGTCCCTGTTATGAATAAAGTCGAGGAAAATACAACAAATTCACATAATGAGCAAACAAAATTATTAACTAATGAAAATTTAAATTCAATGGAAATAATAAAACTTGTCGAAATGAGAAAAATGGTTAAAGCTGAAAAGGAAAATTCAACAATAGTTGAAGATAATTTAGAGCATAAAACAACAACAACAACAACAACAACAACAACAACAACGGCTGAAATTGTCGAAATTGATGCCGACGATGTGATTGGTGAAAATTCAAAAAATTACGTTTCACCACCACCAAATGAATTATTGAAAATTGACGATAGCGAGAATGTTGAAATTTATGAAATGGATAATGAAAGTGAATTTTTCACAACTGATACAATTAATAATCACAGTGATAAATTGGAAGAGGAACAAATATTGAAAAAGAAATTTGAACCACAAACAATGTTTGAAAATATACGTGAAAAAAATTTATATCCAATGAATTTAACAGCTAAAGTTAATTATCAAACATTATCATGTCGAGCTCAACCTTTTCTTCAAAGAATTTCAATTGTTGGTGAATTTTATTAAAATATGTCCTATTTTTTTTATTTTGACATCTAAAGAACAGTTTTTATTAATTATAAACAAAAATTGAATTCTATAATTGATAAATAGAAATTTGTGTTTGATTTTAATAACGACGATTGACATTCAATATTACCTTTTTTTCGTGTGTTAAAGGTTTTATTCTGATTTCTAGTCAAACTAGAATATTGTATTTGCAGAGTTTGTTAACATTCCATAAAAATTTACAAATGTTTTATGCATAATTTTTAAAGTTATTGAAATTTTGTGCAATATATATATTTATATTACATATTTATATATATATATATATTTATTATAAATAGTTGTTTCACTGTGAAAATTTTAAAACAAGACTGAAAATAAATTTTGCACTAGTGTATTGCACTTTTTGAAAATAAATAAAAATATTTATTTGTTCCGTACTACGAATTTCTATTTAAAAATTTTTTCGATTAACAAAAAATTTTTGGAAAAAAGACCAAAAACGCATCCAAAAGCATAAAAAACTTACAAAAAAAATTCAATTTTTCTTAGGCAGACGATTTTATTGCATATTCTTGCACAAAATACACCGAAAAGTGTAGAAAAAAATTGACACCCAGATCCGAGTAGAGGAAGACCATTTTTATGACCAAAAACACATCCAAAAGCATAAAAAAC